CCCCGGCAAAGTTGAAACCACCGCTACAAAAGACTTACATCACTTGACGGTATTAACGGCCTTTTTGTCCTAGTTGTAACCCTCGTGCTCACAAATCTTGAACTTGCTAGGGTGGCGCTGCACCTGCAGAAGTGTGCTCTTGCCTTCAGCAGACTTCCCTGTTTTTCTGTAAGTGCCGCGTAAGTGGAGCCTGGATTGCTGCTCAGATTTCTTCTCGTTCGAAGCTGTGTCATTTGCTTCGCACGAAGAAATTTTTGTTCCTGTGGATGAACGGAAAAGTGCACGTATAGTGAACAGTTGCGGGGTTTTACCGTGCCACGGGGACACTCCCTGTGTCTGACTTGGACACGCAGTTTTATTCATGTTGCTGGCTATGCGACGTACAAAGAAACGGAAATACGCGAACTTGTATAAAAATCTCCTAGATCGCACGAGACATGAGCATCCTTTGCAACAACAATAAAAAAATAGTTTTAGTTCACTGGAAGCACCGCCTTCTAAATCGAAGTGCTGGGCTACGATAATGGCCTAAAGCAGACAAAAGTTCGTCTGGCACTGTGGAGAAGTGCCGTGGCCGCTAAAGTTGATAAGCAAACAGCAGACTATGCTTCGGTGCCCAGGGCGCTCCACTGTGAACCGGTAACGAGCGAGCGAACACTGCTAGGCCTTTGGCATGCATGTTTGGAAGCCTGATTTCGCAGTCGCTTTTGGCTCACTGTCGGTGCTTTGACGTAGCTTCTCTAACGTACAGCGGGAGGGGTTTGAGGCCAGTCCTTCAAAACCAGAAGTGTAGCTTTCCTCAAGGTCACTCATTGGCAAAAAGAATGAGCCAACTGCAAGGCTTCTGCGGACAGCTTGGTGCTCTTTCCAGCATCAATTTGGACTGTGAGAACTCCCAAAAAAGCAGTAGCCAGTGGTGGCAGTGGCTTGTTTGTATCCGCAGCATCTAAGAGCGATTGATGCAGCGCCGAAGCCCCCACTTACCGCGGAAGCTTCTCAGCCATGTATTTGTCGTGCTTCCGTTTGCTCTTGACCATCCAACAACAAAGTAGCATGACCACAAAGAAGATAAGGATACAGACCATCAGTAGGACGAGGAGAGGCCCGTGAAATGTTGCGGGAGAGTCGAAGTCGAGCCCCACAGTTGTGCCCACGACCTGGCGAGGCATATACACTGGCATGCCTGTGTGAGCCAAAGCCGGATTTTGCATCATGCCGCCTATTTGGCCCCAATTAAGAAAGGAATAGGGTGCTCTGTCTACAGTCATTGAGCCTCCTAGTTCGTCCATACCTGCAAGCTGTGTGGACACGCCAGGGTTCATCTCAGCGATGTCTTGTGGCTGCCCTGCAAGAAGAGACCCAAAGTCCATCATGCTGTTCATCGGCCCTTCTGGCGGAACTCCATAGGTTGCTTTCCCTCTAGCTGCTTGGAGCAGCATCGAGGCTTGTCCTGCAGGCTTCCGATGTAGGTAGGGCTCTGCTATCGCTTCAAGGGCTTCTTGCCTTTCCAGTTGTGCTAATTGGTGCTGCATAAGCCTAGACACCTCCTCATGCATTTCCCCGTCAAAACCTCCCATGTGAAAAGGAACGTCACCAGGTTCTCCCACCTCGAGTTGACTAGTCTCAGGGTGTCGCACGCAGGAGACTACCTGGAGAAGGCATAGTATTGCTAGAGCCCCCAAAACTAGGCATTTCAATGCTCCACCTTTTAAAGAGATGGCGAGGCGCCGGCATTCCCCCGACGGTGAATGAAATGCTGCTACCATTACTTGCTGTGATGCAGCAGTATACTGGGAGGGGTGGGTCTCACGGCAAACGCCCCAAGAGCACCGGTTCTGGGACCCACAAAGTAGAGCGAAGCTTTTCGTAGAGCTGTTGGAGGGATTATGTAATGGGCTATTGTTCGGCCGATGCGAGGTGCGTCGACGTGAGGCGCTGGCTGATCCGTCTTGTGAAAGAGGCTGGATGAATAAGCCATCTAGTGGAGAGAGGTAATTAGCCATAGTTTCAAAGGAACCTTTTATCAGTGGCTGTCCAAGTACCCTCTTCGCCACCACTTCCCACCCTCAGTCCCTTCGCCGGCAGCAAACCTGCGGCGCAGTCACCCTCCAAGCAGCCGAAGTTCCGGCCCGTTGAAGTTATCTTAAAAGCCTACAATCGATAGTTGTACAGCCTAAAGCTTCGCATCAGGAGATCTTTCAACGAAAGAAGTAGCGTCTACTGACGGGCACGACCCTTTCACTCACCACCGAGTCGGCGGCAGTCTCTCAATTGCACAGACGATTGCTGTAGATTATCTGGGCCGGGAGGCTAAGCAGATGTCCACATTAAGTCCAATGACGCATGAGCAATAAATTCAAGTATATTACTACATTGGAAGTGCTATGGAAGGCCTTGGGGCTTACAGCCCCTTGATAGCCAGCAGCAAGTACGACGACTAATGAAGAACAGCCAGCTGCTACAAGCCACCTTTGCCTCGCATTACTTCTCTAACTAAGTGCTTTGCGCAAGTTCCGACAGTCTTTTTCTTTGTTTCAATGCGTATAAGTAAGCCTGCGTGATTCAGACCGACTTCTGTACGTTTTGCCTGTTCAACAAGCCACTGGTCGCCACTGGTCCCCGTACATCGTGTTACACTCAGATGCTTGCACGCCCACTAAATATCAGTAGACTGGGAGTATCTTATCTAAATTTTCCCTCACAAGCTCGTAGGCACAATTTTCAACACCTTTTCTCCTCCTTTTTTGTCGGCGAAAGCGAGCATCTGTGTCAACAGGCTGTGGTAATGTGTGTGAACTACTATTTTTCTCCTCTAGAGGGGTTCCGTAGAGCAATAAAGTCTCTTTAGAGGAAACTGGGGAGACTCTGTGTCCCTCATCACCAGCGCCTCTGCAGTTCGCGAGTGAATACACGATCTGTCTCTGGAGATGTAGGCAGGGCATCTACATAGAACTTCACACCTAGTAGGGCAGTCCGCGTAAAATGAGCTAAGGAGCAAAATCATGCTCCTGAGCTAAGGAGCCAAATCATGCTCCTGGCGTAGTCTTATCCATCTGGTGGATAAGCAAAGCTCACACAATGGCCCATCGACGTACTCTTGCACCGAAACGCATTGCTGCTTACGGATCCACTACTTTTAAGAAGGCGATCTGCTGCTTTTGTTGCTGCAAAATATTCTGTAGATCTGACGCTTCTAGATGCAGCCTGTGAAGCGAGATCTCACACTAGCTCAGTTCGCATCAAATGTTCATGAGACCCATGCTGCGTGAAGTCGTGCAACAAACTCTGCCCCAATCTCCCAAGATCTATGACGGTACGTAAGCTATACAATGCAGTTACCCCTCAGAAATCTGACTGGCTTGCCTTCGGAGGCGTTCTTCGAGCTCGCGGCACCTCATCGTCGTCAATATGAGCTTCCTCTCAGCCTCCCGCGGCTTTAGTCGCTTTATGGTGAGATCTGCTAGGACCTGAGCATTAAACAGCTCTAAAGACGAATATAAAGGTCCTAGTTCAGCTAGCCGTTCTGTGAAGGTAAAATTTGTGACATCTGGATGTTCCTGAGTTGGCGCTACCCCCAGTCGGGTAAGAAAACGTTTTACTAAACTTCAAAACCAAGTTCGGTACCTCCACTTAGTTGCTGCCCAGGGACCCTCGAAGCCCTTCATTTTTAAACTGCTTTGGAATGACGGTTATAAGCACACATAGTAAATACGGGGAAAGAAAACTAAGTTTGAGGCAGATTTTAGGGGTGCAGCAGCGAGACAATCGGACACACATTGAGCTGTTGCTTTTCAAAGTCTTCGGTACTCGATTCAATGTCCTGGAGGAATCCATGAGCTTTCTGTTGTAACGTTTCGCAGCCTAATGCAGCCTTCACAGGCAGCTATCAGCCGCGACAGTGGGTGAGTTGTTCCTGTTTCACTACACTGGATAAGCAAAGTAGAGGTAGGGTATGTTGGGATCAGTCAATAGAATGCGTACAGAAAGAATGCAGGCATTGCCCAGGCAAAGGTGCCTCAAGTTTCCCTTACCAATGAGCAGTTCATGTATGCTGTTGCGGAGGCTGGTGATTGCCGACTCATGCTCGGCGCGTAGGAAGTCGAAAGTTGGTGCAGCAGCTGAACCGATTTGCTCCATTGGCTCTATTATGTCTATTCTTGACAGGAAAAAAGAACTAGGCAATTTTCACGTGCAAATTGGAAGCGCCTGAAGCTACACGCATATCGGCGAGTCCTCAGTACCATATCGAGTCGTGTAGCCGTGGTGAATCCATATGGGCGCACGCTTTCACTGCCTAGCATTCACTTTATTTATTATGAACTCCAATTTCTCCCTCTACAAGGTGAGCTATCTGAACTCAATTTATTTCCGAAAACTATTCAGTTAATTCGGCACTTCGCTTGTAGCTCGCCCGCCGACTCATCGCATGCAGGCCCACCAGGACGGTGTTTTATGCCTCATCGAGGACGTCCGTGTACGTATAGGGCCTGATATTCGAATATTCTTTAGTTTAAATCAGTTGAGTTTATTACGCTCAATCCAAATGCATGGACGATCTTTGGAAGCTGAGGATCTCAGCGATTGTCTCGGGCTGGTCCCGTCACGGACCATTCATTCAGTTCGCATGGACTTGTCAGCGCGGCCTGACAAGTTCTGCGTAACAAGCCAAGAGAGCGACAAGGTTCTCGCTTAGTTTCTTTTATTATTTTTTAAATTTGTGTCTGAGCTGGACTTTCGTTCTCAATAGTTTTCCTGCTGGCTGTCGCGGCTCTGGGGTCACGCTCGCCTACGGGCACACCTTTCACCGTTATTCCAAGACAGAGAGGCAAGGGGTCCTCATAGGAAGCTCTACGGAGAGAGGTGCTTGAAGGTTTATGCAGAAGGTTGTTTCACTGGATTTCATACTCACTGCCTCCTTTTTAGAAGCTGTGTGGTAGGGATCCGTGCAGAGCCTGCTGCGCCCCGCGGAGACAAATGAGAACCATATAAGTTGAGAGGCAATGCTGCTCGTTGGAATTGGCGCATCGGCTGCCGCGGGGGCTGCTCTTGTGCTGCCGCTGCTGCTCTATTACCACTTTGTGGACCGTAAGAAGAGCACCCTCGTGACGGGTCTTACCTTCTGCTGCACCCTGACTTCCGCCCTTCTTCTGGCCCTTCTAGTGCCTATAGACATAATGCAAGCATCTACAGCAAATTCGGATTCTATGCAAGTCCCAGAAGAACCGAGGGCAGTGCAGGCACCATCTGTCACGGAGGCAGCGGCCGCTGCTCATGCTGCCAACGCCTCTTCCGCGTTTACCCCTGCGGGTGCGGCAGCAGCAGCAGCTGCTGCTGCTGGCTGGGCGGCTCTGAGAAGTGCTACTCTGCCGCTCACAGCAGACCTTCTTCAGCGTATCTATCTATTCCTTGGGGCTGCGGTTTTTGTGTGCTGCTTCCTCCTAACGCCCGCGGCCGTCTTCTACGCCAATGAGCGCAACAGAAGATGCGTGAGTAAAATCACATCCATTTGACGCCGTCGTAGTACTTCATTGACTACAAATGGTCATTTGAAGTGTAAATCGCAGCGTGCAGGGTGGAATGCATGCGAACATGAATGACTCACTGATACATAAGCACAACGAACTTACGAACAAGATATGCAGTATGCGCTAACACATGGCGATTTCGTGTGTCTTCGTACTGTTTCTGCAGGTGCAAGATGTGGACGAGGACGATTCGCTTCCGTGTGAGACGCTTTTCGTAGCCCTTCGGAAAACCGGTTTCTTCGTCCTGGCTCTATGTGCTGTGCTGCTGCTGCTCCTAGCGCTGAGACCAGGGATGCCTTCTCCTGCCTTTCTGAGACCGGAAAAAATAGCTCTTCCATCGGTTGCGCCAGAGCAGCAACAGCGCAGGCCACCAAACCCTGAAGGGACAAGCCCCGCAAGTTTGATGGCTGCAGCTGCAGCAGCTGCCTCTGCCGCAGCCGCCACGGCTAGTGCAGCAGCAGCACGTGCAGCAGCTGCAGCAATGCGTGTTGATTCGGAAGCAGTGCAGTTGTACACAGCTCAGCTTCTCGGTGTCCACAAGACAGGAGTGGACTCCTTGTTGTTTCTGGGGGCATGCTTCCTCTGCGCCGGCAAGCCAGCAATAACAACATTTTTGATTCTTTGCCCCACATTCCAGTTTGGTGGTGCAGCAAGGAGAGATCAGTGATAGAATGGAGGCGTCAGTTCGGCGCAGTGTCTGCGCAGTGTCCAGTGTCTGCTTCGCATTGTGTTGCTCCTCCGTATCGTTGTGTATTGTTCGTTCGTGTTCTCCACTTTATGCTTTCTGGTTTAGCTCAAGTCGTGTGGATTGTCTTCGGCGCTTTTGGCTTGGCGACTCTCCCTTTCGCATGGCTCTACCGCGGCCTGTCAACCCAACAGAAACAGCGGCAGGTGCAACATGAGATTGCAGCATTACGAGAGCAACAGCGTCAGCTCCAGGTAAACGCACCTCAGTACACACATGCACAGAGGAAGAGGGAGGAAAGGAAAGAGACAGCTGCAAATACTGAACGTGTGTACGTGTACAGTCTATAAAAATATGTACTGTCTGTATATGTAATAGGAAAATGCATTGCACTCACTGAAATACCGCATACAGAGGCGTTGCACGTGACAGACAGGGAAGGCCAGGATGACGTGCCTAGAGGCCACAAAACTCGGCGGCGAACTTACAGTTGGACTGAGAACACCTTTCTGATCTAACAAGTAGACCTATCTAAACATGGGTGTCAATCCTTTGGGTGTCAATCTTTCGGGTGTCAATCCTCATCTCTGCAGATAAAGTACGCTGGGGGACTCCATGAGATGAGACCCGAAGACTCTGAAGCCCTGGAGAAGCTCAGGGTACAGCAGCGGTTGTGCAGCGAAAGGAACTACAAGCTACAAGTGAGCCTGGCGTCACCGTTGGGGCCTCCAGTGATATGCGGCAATCTCGAGCAGTAATAAAGGCGGAAGGTGTCTGAATTCATCGGGGTTTTACCAAATACTGCCGAAGTGCTTGATTGAACTGCACAGGAAGCCGAGCAAGCTCACCGTTCTGCGTATTCGCTGCTCTGTCGATTGATGCTTCCATTTCGGAAGACAGTGGGGCTCGTCTTGTTACTCTTATTATTATTGTTGTTTGTGTCTCTCGGGACGGTCCTCATACGGCGCCTGGAAGGGTCTACCTGCGGATGGAGCTGCGGCTTTGCTACCCAAAGCTCGGAGGGCCCCTCGACGCCTGCCGACGCCGCACTGTTATTTCTCTCTTCAGTGCGTACTTCCAGCTTCTTTCTCTTCTGTGCATACTTTTCCGTAGTCTACCCTGTCAGGAAAACCCATGTGATCACGCATGCAATTAGTATATACTCTCTAGTGATCTGGCTTGCGCTGGTCTTCTGCAGTACCCTCCCACCGATCTGTGGTTAGTTTGCTGTTGGCTGCTACTTCTGCTCCTGGGCGGGCTATATGGACTTCTCGAGCTGTTACCACGCTGCAAGTCGAGGCGCACGGGCATGCGAGAATTACAGCAACACATGAGTGTAAAGGGCGGACGCAGCTCTCCACAAGTAAGCCTTCCATCGGCAGCTTCAGTTGCAGCTTTGTTTAACGCAAAATATTTTCAAGTCCCCTAGTGCGGGGTCCTTGTAAATGCTTTATTCGGGTCTTAATCAGGGCCGAATACGTACTATAATTGTAGCGATGTCTGCGCTTCTGTGCCTTTTCTGCAGATGCTCCTCCTACTATCTGCACTGCTTGCCCATCTAATCCTGGCAGCGGGACTCTGCCTATTCACAGTAGGTTATTCCAACTATCTACGGGCTGGCTTCCTCCCACAGGGGCACATTTCCTCCTGCCATGTTTCTTTGCACGGGAGCTTACTAGGATGTATTTCAGTTTTGTTAAAGCTGAAATTCAGTGAGACTCATCCTTGCATAATTTCTTGCTCATCTGTCAGCTTTATTTGTGACAGGCGGCTCCTCAGTACGCGTCGTTCGGGAACCAGACGTTCGTGCCCCAGGTATGTTATAGGCTCGCCTGAATATGATACCAGGCACTGTACTTGACGAGTTAGTGAGTTTCACTGGGGACTTCTCATCCGAGAACGGAAGACCTAGGCTTGGACGCATTGTTTACGGATTTTCTTATTGGCTATCTGTGAGTTTTGTTTTACTGTGTGTGTGTTTTGATGCAGAATGGATCAGACGCCATCACGTGCACATTACACGCTGCAGCTGCAGGCACTTCGTGTCATCTCACAATATTCGCTGCTGCTCTTTCCCAAGTGGCTTTTGGTAAGCAGACAAGAAGTAGGCTCTTCTGCTCCACTTTCCAGATGCCTGACTAGCTTCCTTTTATACTTACTCCTTACATATTCCCAAGGATCTGTGTGTTTTTTGCTCTGTTGCAGCCACTCCGATGCTCGCCTCAATACTATACTGCAGTAATTGGCTGTTCCTCAGTAGGTGTTTGCTGTTTTGCATTTCACCGCTTCTGTGTAGCCGCGTGAAATGCTCCTCCGTCTTTCGACACTTTCCTTGCTTTGCTGGTTGCTGGGATTTGCATCGAGCGAGCTTATTGGCTCGTGGCAAGCCCACATTGACTGTGTTTGTCTAGCGCTGTTTTTGTGGTGGCGTGGCTGCAGTCTGCATCATTCTGTGCTTGGTGTATGCGGCAATTTGCAAACGCGCCGCGCCTCATCTTGGGGACCCCTGGGACTCTCACCAACTGCGAAAGGCAGCGGAAGACCTCGAAGATATGGCAATTCTTGATGAATCCGCCAGCCTTATTGGCACGTAGTACAGTTACTCTGCCATGGGAACAATGGATCAGGCTCTATAGCCTCACTGTGGCTTCAGAAACGATAGAACCCTCTACCAAGAGGCTGTTTTGCAAAGAAGGAAGCGTTCCTCATCAAACTTATCCCGTTGTAAAGGAGCTTCACATGAAGCCTAGCTCGCTCACATCGCTGTGGTTCACGTTTCAGGCGTACATGAAGCATTTCATGTGTAGCCAATAATACTTCAGTGTAGTTGAGACAAGGTGAAGGCTATCGAGTGCTGGACTCATGAAAGGGGCCTCATCAGCGAAGAATGCAATAGGCCACCATTGGGGGACCAGAAATATCCTTGTGCAGCAACGAATACGAAAGGAGTGCATTGCTGGCAACACAGCCAAGCAGGCAGGAAAGCTAGAGACAATAGGTTTCAGAAACTTTTCAGCATTCGCTGATGCTCAGTCCAGAGTCCCCCGAAGCAGCCTAACTGTACTAGCCTAACGTGTGAGTCTTTATGCGGAGCCGAAGAGGAGCATGTTTACTGCCCTTCCCAGCAAGCTTTGCTAAACGGTTGTGCAGGCGTTGGGGGAAGAATTGCACGTAGCTGTGTGTTTTAGCGTTAAATGTCAATGATGGGGCGCCACTTTACTAAATTTATTTCGATTTCTCCCCTGGCTTAATTTCTGCAGCACGATAGCTCAATTCTACTGGTGAACTGTTGCAAACTCAACAGTTCTGACTGTGGTCCACAGCCATATCCTTATCCTTCCAGTGAAAGCTAACGCGAAGTTAGAGACTAAAGATCGATTTGACGAAGGTGAGACACTTTGTGTAGAACCATGATTAAATAAAGAAGGAGCGTGCTTACTGCATACTGTTCAACCGAATCGCGACCCCACAAAAGCAACACGAGCGGGAGCAGTAGACCGCCACTTACCCAAGGACAAAAACGCGTAAACGCTTGCACATTTGTGTATTACTGGTTCGCTTAACTCAAAACCGAATGTCAGAAAGAGCCATTGTTAAGCTTCTCCCTTGCAAGTCCCAAACTGCTATGGGGAGCTATCTTCGATTGCCTCTGCGGGTCAACTCAAGAGTCGCATAGTGCTTCTTTTCGCATTTCGCATACTTGGTGCACGGCAGTTAGTTGATTATATTTATGGTTATTTTGGGGACCATCATAGATGTCATACCTCCAGCGGTGGTGCCCCTATCTCTCGCAGCGTCAACTGATTGGCTTACTCGATGTCACAGCGAGCGTGGGGCCAAAAGACGTGTCGAAACTTTTTGCTTTCCACGGCTTCCCCTCTCATCTTTATAGGAGGGATTCCCAATGCCAATTTAGCTTTCAGATGCTGCCCTAATTCGGGGAATCCGCTGCGTCGCTGCGTCTGCAGCTCACCGTAAATTTTGACTCCCTCCCCAGGTCATATCTGCTGGAGTTGCTTCCGCCCCTTTCTTTCTTTACATTTCTTTTTCTAGAACTGCCGATTCAGTTAAAGGGCTGGCTGAGAACATGCAGAGCTTGCGGACAGGGGCGGCTCTCTGGTCCGTTGGTGCTGCCGTGTTTTATCTTTTTCAGTGTGCAAATTCAGTGTTAGACTCCGCCGAAAGCAAAGCTGTCGGTTCTGCCTCTGCTTCCAATGGCCCTCCTTTGCGGGAACTGAACGAAGATCCGCTGCAGGTAAGTTCGACAGATTGGGAATAAGCCTTAGGCGGCTCATCTATGGAGAAAGAAACCGTGTTGTTGGCAGGTTCACAAGATTATGGCCTAGCCTTAGCATCATCAGCTGTGAATGCTCGTAAAGTGCCTGTTATTGGTGCACAGGGGGATTCACTGCCAGATTCCATTGGTGGTAGCGGTCTGGAGTTTCTCGCCACCACAGACAGAAGCCAGGAAATCACCCGTCACAGGACGGAAGTGTCTGAGGAGGTGAAAGGTGTATCAGAATCACTATTACAGGAAGATGGAATTATCAGTTCAACACCCAAAGCACTCATCTGGTCGTGGAACCCCTTGAAGGCGAGTGATCGCACGGAGGCTGAAGACCTTGAGCATAGGGGGGTGCCTAGCGACTATACAGAGATTCCAATTTTAGACAAAGCTGCAGAGCGGCAGTCCAATCCTTCGGCGACTACTCAGGGCCGCGTAGAAATGAGCAGTGAGACATCACAAGCTCCACAGGCGGACGAAAATCGGGGTAGTAAGGATGCAGAAAGCAGTCACCTGACCACCCAAGTTCCCCTTTTAGCAGATGACACCAGTACCAAGTCTGAAGGCGCCGGAGGCTATTCGCTCAAGTTTCAGCAGATCGTCAGAGAAGGCAGGAGGAAGCCGAGGTCACCGGCTGTTTTACGCAGTGACGGAGAGGAGGGCGAGGTTCAATCGCCATCGAGCGAGGGTGAGGACCGCAATGATGCCCACACCAGAACACCCCACTCACTTGTTTCAGACGATAGTGGCCACGACGTTGGGACTAAGGGGGAGGCTGATGATATTGCGCTAGCTGAAGAAAGGCTTGACATTGACAGTGGTGATGGCATCGAGAGCACAACCCCAGAGTCACCTGCCACAGGTAGGTATACGAGCCGGTTCGGCTCCTGTAGTTAGTTGGTGGGGGTTTGCTTCTACTGTTGTTGGTGGCTGTCTGGCAGTTGCCACAGACTTAGAGTGGACACGTTATTACGGATAAACTTCTTGGATTGATAGGAACACGTTTAGAAGGCTTGTTAGTAGAACCCATTATAGTTTTGGGAGAGGGATGGACGGACGAATTCCAGCGTATACTGTCCAATGCAGGGAATGACAATGAAGCATCAGGAGGAGGCTCGGCACAGCCTGAACCTTCCAGCTCTCGGAAGGTTGGCCAGAAGTCGAAGGCCACCAGCGACTTTTCAGAGGAGCCGCAAGAAAGTTACCAGGGAAAAGAATGGCACCGGTCGTTACCCGTTGTTGATTCTGGGGAGAGTTCTGGGAACTCACAGTCTTATTCTGAGCAGTCAAGCGGAGCAGCTCCAACGAAAACAAGTTGCAGAGTCGAGGTGGGAGGGGTCATCGTTGATGCGTCCTACGTGGATTCCGCGTGCACGGGGCAAATAAATTTGGCGTACAAAACGAAAATGAGCAAGTTCTTGGAGCGGCGGATGCTGCTGACTAACACAACTGGGAAGCGATTGACTGTGGTGATGAAAACTGTCAATGCACGACTCACTTCCCCGGCCTCACAAGCTTGGGCCTACTCTCATCTGCAGATGGGGCCGGCTTCGTTTCTCCAGGGGGTATCAGAGGGGGAGACGAGCGAAACAGCAAAAGAATACGTCTACCAGATACTCAAGCAGATGCGTAGACAACGTCGAAAGCGGCCGGACGACCCGCGTGAGTGCTGAAGCGTAAAGGAAAGTTTGTGACATTTGCAGAAGCGCCGAGGAGCTTCCGAAGGGAGAGACCGTCTCGTTTCACATATTTTAGATGGCTGCTTAATTGAGTAGATGTGCTTGTCTAGACGCAGTCAGTAAGAGTCATACTCCCAAAGCTTTTGGTTTCCTCTACTGTAGAGTGCACTATGGTTGCTGCGGCCACTCAGACTAGATGGAGAGATCCGCCCCCTTCACATGTTTAGGAAGCCGTGCGCAATTCAAGTATTTTCCCGTCATTCTACTGCTGTTGTTTTGTCTGCTTGGGACTGCAGTTGACTTGGTAGTTAGCTTCGCCAGTCCGTTTGACAATCCAGGAGCAGCTGCTGGAGCGGTGAGCTTCATGCAGACAGAAGCGGGCGCTGCACGTATCACGCAGACATGCCAAGAGCTTTTGTCCGTGGTGGAGGACTCTCAGAGCTACAGCTGCGAAATTCTCGATGCTGTGGACATGGTCATCCTGCAGTTCCCACCAAACGCAGGTATCATACGACGCACATAGCAGTAGCTAGTCGTCACAGTGGTGCGCACTGTGAAAGCTGCCTGGTGGTTCTCCCCCAACAAAGCAACGAGAGGGGAGAAAGTGTTTTGGCTCGACACATCTGTTGGCGGGATATCCATTAAGTCTATTGCTTGTCCAAGTGCTACCAGTTTCATCTTGAATTCAGATATTTCTGCTGATGGAGGGGTGTACAAGCTGCTGTCGAAGCTGTTGGTACTTGAGGGCAAGAGCATTCTTTTTTGGGAGCTTTCCAAGCCTGTGAGACTGTGCATCTGAGAGTTGAGGCTCTGTGCTACACTCTTAAGGCAACCTGCTGACAGTTGCAATATTGAGATGAAAGAGGAGCAGGTGGCATGGCTTTGAAGTAGGGAAACCAGCCTATTTGCCAAGAACCCAGAGACGTATAAGTACAGTGCTTTGCGAAGTTTTGTTGCGTGTGCCTACAGACTTCGCTGCAAATGGTACCCGTTAATGAGGCCCTTCCTGAACCTCTGCCACAGCTTTTCGAGAAGCCTGCTTTCGTTCAGGCCAGAGCAGAGCTAAAGGAACGGTGTTCAGCAAAGGCGACTGCACAGACGCACCTCCTGAGTGGTATGCCGCCCTGTGTTTTCGCTGACCAAAGAGAGAAAGGAGCGGCCAGCGGAGGAGCTATAAGAGCAGGACCTACAGAACTAGCGCATTTTTTATTGCGGCCTCTGTGATAGCGCAGCGACGATGATGTGATGATGCCACTGGCTGGGATTATGGGATGTTCAACAGTCTTCGTTCATGCATCTATGCACGCTCGTCTTAATGACATGCATAGGATTTTCATCGTTTAGGAGTGAGTTCATCACCGGCATTTTTGCGCTTACTGTATTTCCAGATGATTCGCCGGTTTCTTCGAGGATTCCGACCGACCCTGACTTGGAGAAGCGCCTTTGGGGCATGTACGCTGCAAGGTGCGTACACGCATGGATGCACGGAGAAAAGGGCCACAAAGATGTAGTGGTGAGTCATTTTGCTCCTCGCTTTTCATCATTCTTTGTCACTGACAGACTTTGGAGTCGCATGCGACTTTGCACCCTGCGTGTACTTCGTGCTCCGTATTCTGCACCTTACTGCAAGGACATTTTCTCGAAGGAGTCAGTGTGGCTTGCTGTTGCTTCGGAGTATTGTGCGCCATGCTGGCATTTTGGTCAGGCTTGATCACCAGTCACAGAGCTCCAGTATGCGTGGCGGTGTCGCTCTGTTTATGGGCTTTGCAGGTGGCAGTTGTTGACTCTGGAGTTGCGAAGCATTACGACATTGATTCCAATGTGTGGAAAAATCTAGAGGAATCTGCTGATGGCAAAGATGACGACGGTGAGACCTAACTGTGCTGTTTATTCATATACGATATTGCTTCCTGTGCTTGCTGCACCGGAGGTGGGCATACATTTTGACGGCGGACTGTAGAGGGTAATGTTTTGGGTTGCTGGTTGTGCTGCTGGTTCTTCAGGCAATGGATTAGTTGACGATATTGAGGGGTGGAACTTCGCCGAAAACACCAACGTTATTGCTGACCTGAATGGCCATGGCACACACGTCGCAGGTGAGCTGCGCTTCTGCACCGAGATCATTGGGTTGATGCCTTTTTCCTTGTCAGTTATAATTCGAAGTGTTGCGCCCTTGACTTACCCACGCAGCATTGTGCTTTCTTTTACCGCAGCTACTCTAGCTGCGGCATGCGCTGATGTGGAACTAAGGTTTTTATTGCATGTATGGATAATACAGGCACCATTGGAGGGGTCGCAAATGGAAGGGACGTGGTGGGCTGTGCTCCGCTGGTGTCATTGATGAAGGTTCAGCAGTTCGGGGCAAGTGGAAGGGTAGGCAAGACTTTCAGCACTTCGTTATAATTTTTCGATTTGGCGCTTGTGCTCTCTGTTTTATTCCCAGAGATCAGGAAACGACGCTGTGTGACTAGTGTTGCGTTCTCATGCAGGGGTCAGTCAGTGATGCTGTGAGAGGAATGGCTTATGCAATGCTGAAGGGCGTGCACGTGATCAATAACAGTTGGGGTTCCACAGAATCCACATATTCTCTTCAGCTGGTTATCGAACGTTCCCGTCACATGCGGGAGGGGCTGGGGATACTTATAGTGAACGCCGCGGGAAACAGCAGCACGAATAATGACATAGAACCTTTCTATCCAGCCGCTTATGATTATCAGAACACGATCTCGTAAGTCACTTTGTTCCAGGAGCAGTGTTGTTATCTGCTTTGTCACCGTCAGCAGCAAAGGGACACCCAGAAGCTAGCCATTCCAAGGCCTTCGTCCTTCTGAGGTCATGTTTTCTCGTGGGCTTTTCGCATCTTCTCGTAACCCATTCGTTTGCAGAGTAGGCGCGTATGATGCTGATGGACAGCTCGCGTCCTTCAGTAATTACGGGGAGGCATCTGTGTCGTTGCTGGCTCCGGGGGATAGGATCTACTCGACTTACCTTGACAACGGCTTCACGTTTCTTTCAGGGACGTCCATGGCAACGCCTCATGTTTCAGGTGTGTCATTTCTGCGCATCTTCATTATAGAGTTTGCCGTGAGGCCTAGCTCTAAGGAGAGTACTGTCCAGTGCTGTTGCCCCTAGACGAGTAGATGCAGTGTGTGGGTCAGTGTGTGGGTCTTAAATATTGAAGAACACACGTCGCTGCACGTGCATTGGGCTAGCAGAATACAGCTCTGTAGGGATGTGCCTTAGCTTGCTCGAATGTATATGTGTGGGTTTCCAGGTATTGCAGCATTGGTTTTCGGGGTCTTTATGAAGGCGAATTCGGAAGTTACTGCAGCTGAAGTGAAAGATATCATTCATGCCACACTGCTGGACCTACCAGCGGCAAAGGGAGTCACGCAATGGGGGGGAGCACCCGACGCGATGTCTGCAGTTCTGGTACGTAGACAGAATAGCCCTGCGTTCTAAAGCTTAAACTCTTAACAGCTGAAACCGTATGTAGATTTCTTCAGCTTCAGCGTAGTTCCTAGTTATACCTGCTGTAGAGCACAGTACTATCAACTGGATTTTCAGTAGAGCAGTGGTTACGGTTTAATTTTACTTGCGCTTTAATTTGACACTCCTTGAATGCAAAAGGACGGTATATGCGATTGTGTTTCTTCTGCATTTGCACTGAATACACATGATATAGAGATGGAGGAACGATCAATCATTTTCGGGCTTATCATACTTTAGCTGACATTGTGTACGGAAGAGAACACATGACTGCCCTGTGTAACGTTGGTTGCGACCGCAATTTTATCGCTTCAAGGTCATGAATCATCTTTGATGCTAATGCTGAGGTAACGAACAGGTCATGAATCATCCTTGATGCTAATGCTGAGGTAACGAACGTGCATTGCACTACCTGTTGTGCAGATGGCGCGCATGGGAGGCATGTGGTTCCAGATGAAATGCACGGACATGATTGTCGATCTTCAGCCAGAGGAAGTCTATGCATCCACAATATACATCCGCGGTTACGCAGAGGGCACTTACACGTGAGTCGGCAGCCCAAGTGAGGCGCGTGAATTCGCTCTTGGTTGCGTTATTGGTTTCACGTTTGCAGTTGCCTTCTGCGCCATGTGGGTGACGGTTCAAAGGGGTAACTGATGTACGTGCAAGGAGTAAGGACTCATTGAAAGTAATGTGAAAAGGGAATGGGATGCGAATTGTCGTGCAAATTAGGGCGGAGATCCAAGTAGAAGTCTACGACGAAGAGGCCAACATGTTGGGATCAGCACAGATTCCAGTCCGTCTAAACAGCAGTAGCAACCCAGCGACAAATTCGCCGTCCGATGAAACTGCAGCATCTGCATTCAGCAGTCACGTTAGTGAAAAGGATCAGGGAACCCCTCTATGTGATGTACAAATGAAGTACACGGGCACTCTGGAAGGTACGTTGTATACATCACAGCCACTTGACAGTTCTTTTTGCTGGTTTCCAATTCTCTAACAGCAGCAAATAAACGACCAGCGAAATCCGGCACATGTTTGCCCGCCTGTAACTTCACGTCCGTTATTTTTTCTGTTCATGCGGACTTCCTTAGGTGGCGACGACTGGTCTAATGGGGAAATAGCAGCCCTTACGCTCGGTTGCTTGGCGATTGTCGGTGGAGCAGCTTGCATCATCTTTTACTTTCGCTAGTAAGCATTTCGCTCTGTCTACCCTACGATGACCGTTGCATAGACTTCATCCGATTTGTAGCTTAAGAGTTGTAGCCTTATGTAACATTTTGTGTCTGGAGCTCGTTTTTCTGTTACAGTTCTGTTTCTTTTGCGCAGCACGACGCTGCGTAGAGTTCCAAGAGCTCAGTTGCTAGCAGAGAAACAATAGGGGCTTCTCATGCTTGCTGATTGTCTGCAGCAACACTAAGCAGCCCGGTGAGAGACCCAGCAGGCCGAAAGCAGGTGACAGGAAGGAATTTGGAGAGCCTGACGCAATGACTGCCTTACTACAAGACGACTGAAGGCTCCTTAATCGTGGAGTAGAATGGTGGCCGCATCTCTTTTGCTGCAGGGAGAACTAGAGGACTCACTGAGCTGTTTTATCGATAATCGGTGTCTGGGTATGAGTGGGTATGTTTTTTTTAACAACTCTTCTTCGAATTGCTCTACGGTAACGCTCATGCTGTCCCCCGCTTTTACCACGTTCAGCAGCGTCAGTGAAGGGGGGACGGTGGATTAGTTGTCTTCCTTTTCTTGGCTTCTCATCCAGGCTTGGTTGCACTTCGTTGAAGTGTGGCGCGAGGCGGCGCAGTATGATTTGACTGCTCGGTGTGCGTAGTACGCCACCGTTTTGGCAGAGAGCGGGCCAAGGAGTCCACGTGCTCTCATTTGCAATTCATCTTCTTTCACGGGATATATGTACTTTGTGGGAATTTGTGTACATATTTCTCACATTAAACATATAGGCGTTTGTTCACCGTACGCTATTCTGTGCCCGTCTTGGCTAATATGGGCAGCCGAAAAACTTTATTGAGGCGGATTTCGGGCTCTTGTATGTGTACCTTTGTTCTTCGTCTCGTCGACGCATCGCTGATTGGGCTGAATTATGCAGACTTTTACGCGTTCAGCAACAAAAGGCAAAACAACAGTTAGTTACAAGAGCAGCATATTCAACATTTTATGTAGAAAGGCGACGCGTATATATATATTCCTGAGACCGAGGTGGTTTGCTTTCAGCACGGGTTGCCTGAGCAGCAACGGAAACTCGCAAATCAGTTTTATCTCAACAACAGATGTAAAGCCTATGTATAAGGGATTCTCCGGAGTGTAGTTTCGCTTTCCGTCAACTTCTCATATGTTCTCCCGGATCGAAGAAGAAACGGCCTAGGGATATTCTGTCTATGCGTAACAGCATGATTTGAAATATTCTCCGAAGAAGTTGATAAAGTATTCGTGCCTTCATTTAAATCGATCATCTATGCTCTTGGGGGAATGGCGATAGGGCTGTTGAGAGATTCTACACGCCGCTACCACTTCTTTTCATGTTCGGTGCGGTTAAGTGCGCGGAGCGGAGCTTTGGGCTGTAGTATGCCTCTCAAGCCTATGGTGCTGTGCAGAACAGGACGGAACTGTAGGATCGCGCTCCCGCATTAGATATTTTAGTTGCTATTGCATTAGTAACTATCTGAGAGGCAACATAGATCCGTCCACCTCTACAAAGTGCGCAAATGCTGATGCATCGAATGTACTTCTAGTGGTGAAGTGAGCACTCCGGTGTTGACAGTGGTGCTCGTGCCGGGTTCCCTGTATATGGTTTTGCGACTATAGATCAAGGCTTTAGGAGGACCAAAACACCACTATATTAAGCAGAGCACATGGAAAAAAAAATCAATGCTTCCACACAAACACGAGCAAGGGGGGCTCGTTAGGTCAGCGTCAACCTTGCTATGAGGAAGTGCAGGTGACACCTTTGCGTGGCACTGGCAAATAGCCCCTTAGCACCGTTTCGCGGGAAACGTCTGTGCTAAAGATAAAATTAGCGGCGTCCGTCCTAAGAATTACTCGGAGGGGGTTTTACGACATCGGCGGGACGAGGCCAAGCTCTCTGCAACACGCGCACGCGTTGGCGCCTACAACAAGCCGCAATAGCCACTTGCTCCTGAAATATTTTGTATTTAGCGCTGGTGCATCAAGAAGACCCGCTTTAAGCCTCTAACACTCTTTTCTAGGGGACTGTACTTGGTCCGTCGTCCGTACCAATGTCTGAAAGCTGCCAAAGTCCCGCGCCCGCACTTCAGAGATACAGACACAAATTCGAGGCCCGTTAAGTGTACAGTGTACGTAAGAGAATATTAAGTCACACTGCATTGGCTCTAACCGTTAAATTCACAGCAGCGCTGGACATGAAATCGCGACGAAGCCCTCGGGGAGGCACAGTACGGACCAAGGTTCGTTACACCGGGGCGACTAGGCCCAGAAATGCCCACAAAGGCTCTGAATATTTATTTAGCTACTGAGAGAGCAGCAGAAGCAGCGTTAGCGAGTTCCAGCTGGCGTACCTGAGGTGAACGGCGTCAGCACACAGGTAAGCATTGGCGTCCAAAATAGAGAGCATCGTTTTCCTATCCAGTGGCTGAGAACCATTGCAGATCTGATGCACTTGCATGCAAATAACGGAAACTTCTTCAACTTCAACTTTGCACGTTGGTTAATTGCTACGGATTCCTATGAACATGCGGCGAGGGCCTTCTGCAGTCGAAGTCTACGCATGGTTCTCGCAGACGACATACGTCTGTGTTCACCAAACAAGCGGGATAGCACCTACATTTATACTGGCTTATTGTTTCCGACACCATTTGCGGTTCTTCAAATACGTTATGGCGAAATTTGATGCCAGGGACACTACAGCGGTAACAGTGCTCGCTGCGCGCGAATGGCGCAAGTCGAATACGCACACAGCCTGTAAACTCTTGCCAATCCTTTCTATTCGGGGTCAAATAAGTACAATATTCTTGCTAAAAGAGGTTTAGTTCGGAGAGTTTAGCTTGAAATGCTCACTCGGGCGCGGCAGGACCGGAGGTTGGCGGAGTCTGAAGGATCGAGCATGCAGGAGGAGCGGACGCTCCCAAGGTGTTGCTAGAAGCTCCAATAGCGGGTTTACGATTAAAAAATGGAGCTAAATTCAAAATTATCTGCTAAACAATGTCAAATATTTTCTAAGGGGAAGGAGAAAAACTATTCGCCTTCCCCGAGTCCTTGTCGGTAAACGATGCAGCTGCCAGCTCACCCCAAAGTTCTAACACGGAGTCACGCATGGCTCTAGAACCACATTTCCTACCTATTTTTCATAACAGGGGTTACTGCGCGCTTTGGCCATAGCGCTGCAGCAGCAGCGTCGACGTAACGGAGTTCCGGGGAGCCTAGGGAGTCAGATTTTGCGGTGCGTATTAGACCGGTAGCTGCACCCACAGCAGCACATTGTGGTGGCAGCTAGAGCAGCTTACGGCTCCCCTGTGTTTTCCAGGCCTATCTGCGGTTCGTGCCAGGCTGCTGCAACGCTGCGTTTTGCTGGTAAGTTTTGCGTGCTGCTAGCGGCAGAGGTTGGCCCCCTAGACGAGCGCCTCGTTAGCGTGACCGCGAGCTCCTTGCGGGTCTTGCCTTCACGTCTATCTGTGCTGCCTGCTGCCCTCCTTTGGCGCCTTCGCCTCATTTTGTTTCTGCTTTCCCGTGGTCCCGATGCCGTCATCACCTTCGCCTCCGCCGCCTCTGTCGGAGACTGTGGGCGCCGCTGCAGCCCCTGAAAAGATGCCGGGAGAAGGCACTGTGGAATCCTACGCGGGCAGCCCAAGTCTGGAAATCGACGAGGTAGTGTACCCCCAGCAGCAGCAGCAGCAGCAGCCGCGGGAAAAGGAGACGCGGAGGGAGCGGGCCGGCGGGACGGAGAAGACCCGGAAGACGCACCGCAGAAGAGGAGAAGAAAGTGCCACGAAAAAGAACACGAAAACCCAAGGCCGGGAGAGGGGGCGGCGGCGGTCAAGGACTTACCGGCGGCGGCTGAAAGTGACAGAGGAGAGGACGAGGCTGGCGAAGCTGCGGCGGTCCATGAAGAGCATGATGAAGCAGCCGGACGCGGCGTTTCAGTTCAGCCTGAGTGCAGCACTTATATTTCTTTTGTTTTCTCTGGCGGTGCGTTCGCTGCTGAAGACCGACGCGGACTTGGACTCCGAGCTGGTGCTGCGGCCTCTCCTCGAAGACGAAGACCTTCTCCAGCCCTCCCCAGCCGCCTCTTCGCTGCCGCCGCCGCCCCCCGCGCCCCCCGCGCCGCTGGCGCCGCCTCCAGTGCCCAAGCTGGCGCTGCGCGTGGGGCTGGGCGAGGCGGAGGTCAACGCGCTGCACAAGGAGCTCAGAAACGCAGTTCGCCAGCTGCGCCGCACTTGGCACAAGTGCCTCAGCGACTCCAAAGAGGACTTCGCCGACGCGTACCTCCCCAGCGAGTTCCAGGAAGACCCCCTGGCGCCCTTTGTGGGGCTTGTCGAGGAAGTTGAAAAGGAACGCAGGCCTCCTTTGCCCGTGGGCTTCGAAGACCTCGTGAAGCAGGCGGAGCCCGAGACTACCGAGGCCGCCGCGATCTTCCACGCGGACAACGAATACGGCGGGGAGGACTGGAGCAACTGCAGCAAACGAAACTCCGGCGCAGAGAGCAGCACCATGAGCTCCGGCGTGTACAGCAGCGCCACTCGGATCTCCGTCGCGGACAGCAGCAAAAGAAGTTCCGGATCCGGCAGCAGCAAAAGGAGCTCCGGCACTGACAGCACCTCAAGGGCCTCGGACCCTGATAGCAGCACCAGAAACTCGGGAACCTACAGCAACAAAGGGACGTCAGACCCTGACAGCAGGACAAGGACCTCAGACGCCTACAGCAGCGCTAGAGTCTCAGACGCCGACAGCAGCGCAAGGACCTCTGAAGCTGACAGCAGCGCAAGACGCTCAGAGGCTTACAGCAGCGTAAGAAGCCTAGACAATGACAGCGGCATAAGGAGCCCAGGGGATTACAGCAGCGTGAGGGGCTCAGCTGCTGATGGCATCGAAAGGAGCTTCGCCGCAGACCTGATGCCAGAGCATACAAAGGAACCCCTCAACCCGAACGGGAAAAGGCAAAGAATCCGTACCAAGAAAGTTGAAGACGACGAAGATGAGAGCGAGACTATGGCAGGCTCGGACAGCGAGACTGATGAAGCTGAAGAGACACAAGAAGGAGATCCGGCACACCCAATTCAAACTGGGTTGGAGGAAGCAAGCGCGATCGGGGAAAGTACAGCAGGGGGTGAGCTGCTGCAGCACGTGCAGCAGGAGCTCGGGCAACACGCGGCGCCGTTGAGCATAAAGGCCGCCGCTGCCCTGCGGGCTGCTGAGGCGATGATAGAGGCGAGAAAGGAGTATGTGGGTCGGCTGCTGCTAACTCTAGAGGTACTTAAAGCCGCTGAAGTCCGCGTGCACACGCTGGCAAGGTTGCGCCTGTCCGCACGCTCCAAGTCCTTGCCTTCGCCCCCGTTCTACTACTGCGGGCGGCCGCTGCCCACGCCTGAGGGCTACAGAAAGAAACGAAAGTACAGTTACGTTTCTTTCGACTTCTTTCTGCACAACCTCCCTCCCCATCTGGTGCCAGAGAACCTTGAAGGTAAAAACGGGGAGCCGGTGGTTCCCCGCGATGTTGTCACTTTCCTGAGTGACGCGGTTACCATAGCGGATGCGCACTTGAGAAACAGCAGGGCTGTCAGCAGGTCGTTTAGCGGCTTTCTGACGGCTGTGGAGCCAAAGGAAGCGGAAGCAGCAGCAGCAGCTCCACCAGACGTGTCAGAAAGGGTGAAAGCAGCAACAGAAGCAACGGCGGCGGCCGTTGAAATGCAGCAGGAAAGCCCAGAGATGTCGTTACCGCTGCCCCAGGCTCTGGGCTCCTTATTCCCCATGTATTTGTTTCGTAAAGTTGTTGAGGAAATGCAGCAAAGGCGAGATGCGGCCAGTGTGGACACAAAACAAATAGAGGAGTGGGGCAGGAATTTCCACACTGCGCACATCTGCTCAGAGCTCGCGGGGTTTCTCGATAAACAGAGGGCCACCGCTCGTGATTTGCGCAAAAGAAAGGAATCCATCATACAGCAGTGGGCGAAGCTGCAAACAGACAAGCCAGCCCCTAACCACCCCTTCATCTTAGCGCTTTATCTGCTCTAGCGAGCAAAATGGCACATTTTCGTGCTGCACTCCTGCTGCAGGGCTCTTCGTTTTTCTTCATTAGAGGCTCCAGGCTGCCGGCGTTGCGGCTACCAGCGCTTCGGACGAGGCAACGGTTCAGAGGCTTAGCTGCAACCACGGTGCTGATCCTGGTGGGCCGCAGCAGCCAACAATTGGGAAATGTGCTCACCAGGATGTGCGTTTTTTACAAACTCGCACCTAGAAGGCGCAAGCGCAGAGGCTTCAGGGAGTTCTAACGGATCCGTTACTGCTCCTACACAGCGGTTCTCAAGCTAACTATTCAAGGGCTGCTCAGCCTTTCAATGCTGTCATACGTATAGGATAATATGGGTCATTGATGGCCTCACCCTGTCCATCTGTACCTTTTGATAAGGCTTGTTTTATCCTGAATTGTAAATAAACTTCTGTCGAAAAGGGTGATAAATAGCGAGACTTCAGATCAAGCGAGGTAGGAAAGAGTTTACCTACGCAATTAATCCGCTATCTATGTAGCCAGCATCTGGGAAAGTAGATGGAGAGGACACCACCTTCTGGTCTACAGCTTGAGTGTAAGTCCGTATATCTAGTTTCGTAATTCACTGCCTCGCTAACACATGCAGCTGGAGGTGGAGATCACCAGGATGTGCGTTTTTTACAAACTCGCACCTAGAAGGCGCAAGCGCAGAGGCTTCAGGGAGTTCTAACGGATCCGTTACTGCTCCTACACAGCGGTTCTCAAGCTAACTATTCAAGGGCTGCTCAGCCTTTCAATGCTGTCATAGGTCTAGGATAATATGGGTCATTGATGGCCTCACCCTGTCCATTTGTACCTTTTGCTAAGGCTTGTTTTATCCTGACTTGTGAATAAATTTCTGTCGAAAAGGGTGATAAATAGCGAGACTTCAGATCAAGCGAGGTAGGAAAGAGTTTACCTACGCAATTAATCCGCTATCTATGTAGCCAGCATCTGGGAAAGTAGATGGAGAGGACACCACCTTCTGGTCTACAGCTTAAGTGTAAGTCCGTATATCTAGTTTCGTAATTCACTGCCTCGCTAATAACGATTCTATCAGCAAGCCCGCTAAAAATGAGCTCCTGCGTGACACAAGGCGTCTGTGAATTTGCGCTTCGATGCACCTCTACGTCCTTCAAGGACTGCCAAAAACTTAAAAGAACAAACGAAAGTATGTCTGTGCATGCAAATGCATGCTTGCACACATCTACACATGCATCATACTTGAATGCTAAGCCCTTAACGGCCAAAAGCACTCGCGATAAAATCAACTCAACCCCCGCCATCGCCACCCCTAAACATGTGGTGTCTATGTATCTGGCCAGAGCTCGACTTAGGCAAAAGCCCCTCAACTTTTTGCCGAACTCTTGCGGCCAATTTCTCGTCATTAACAGGACTTACGACATCATCTACAAACGCCTGCAACAACCAGCAAAAAACAGATATCTCTGCATATAGGAGCATATACATATATACATACACATATGTCGGGCGTGGATGCACGTTTGCCCGCAAATCCGGACAAGTGAAATTACGTTTGCGCATGCAGCTGTAGGCGCACCTACAAATGTATTGCACGCATACCCATCCACGAACTCAAAGAGGTGCGTTCACATCACAGCCTGGCTGAAACTAAAGTGGAATTAGCTATGATATGCCTCCTACAAGGATGCGTCTACCACCGGCGTCGGCAAAATATTCATTGGCACCTTGCACCCAAATGCAACTCAGCATGGATTTATTATTTCGAATGCACAAAAGGCTCATGAACGAAGACTAATGATACCCGGTTGGTCGCATATTCCCCGTATTTGTACTACCCATTGATGTCCACACAACACCGCCTTTGCGGGTTACTACACTGAAGCCTCCTTGGTTTGAGCTCTATCGTCTTCAGCAATTTGTTAACATGCGAATGCGCAAATGCGAGCAGTCACCCAAGCAAAGGTATTTGCAACTGAGGTTCTTCATGTGTCATTTATATTTAGGAGGTTAGCTTAGAAGCAGCTATCCTTAAAGAGTGCGTAATAGCATTCAGAGGTCCGCGCTGTCGCACTTGAGTTCGTGTGTATGCACTGAATTAGACTGCATGCAGCTGATTTACAATGCATGCAGCTAGTCCCTAAACCGTGAAGTCTGAAAGCCAGAATCCTTGAGTCTGCCTTACCAGCATCAAAAGCCTTTTGGCCTTATCTATAGGAAGTCCGCGGCTCATCATATAGAAGAGCGGCTCCGTGTCGAAGTCCCGTATGGCAGCTCCGTGCGTGGCCTGCGAGCAACAATGCACGAGACCTAACCTCTGAACGCTAAGTCCTAGATCCTAGGACCCTAGGGTTTAGGGTTTAGGCAAGCCAAGCCCTCACACTACAGCAACCAAGCGCCTGCACCCTAGAACACGACCGAAGCACCGAAGCCCCAAACCCCGATTCAATTTTCCTAACTTAAGCAGCTCATGCACTAATCCAGAGAAAATAAACCTAAGACCTCGGCCTCAATCCATGAACTCTATCCGATAAACCAGCACTCTCGATGAGGCAAGAGCTCAGGAAGCCTCCACATTACCTTTTTGATGTCCTCTGGAACAATTTCGAGAGTGGGCACTGCGACACATCTCGCGCCGTCCTCGAGCAAAATAACACGATTTAAGGACGAGGCACTCGCTCCCGTTCCCTGCCGTTCTATCCTTATGCGCCCTCGCCATATAGCCCGAGCTGCATGCAGCGAAGCGGAAGTGACCAGCTACGCATTGCGTACTTTGCCTGTCTTCCTTGCAACCTAGCTAACAAGCTAGCTGCCTAGCTCGCTAGCTTCACGGCTAGCTACCATGTGATGCCGCCGTGCGTGGCTTTCATTTGCGTCAAAACGTGGCTAGCTAGCTAGCTGTTAGCTAACTAGCTGGCTGCTAGATAGGTGGCTAGCAGATATAGTTTCGGGGCGCTGCAGGTCTGCGTGTCTGACCTTTTCCTGCCACCAGGCTCTTGTGGACCTGATCTGTCTCTGCGTCCGGGGCAATGTGATGCAGCATTTCAAATTTGGAATGGTCTTGGTCTTTGTTTAGCAACGAAATACCCCGAGATACGTGTGACGAACCCTCAGAGCCCTCCACCTGCATTCCGTAGCACACAGTCAAAGCGCAGACACCCTACGCTTTAGGTCGTGCGCACTAAAGCCTGCCTACCAAGCCCTAGGCTAAGCGCCGTGGGACCCTACTTTAACTATTTAAGTAAAGCTACAGTCACATGCATTCCTTCCCGCTGTTGCAGCTTCCTGCTGACCAGATCGCCGCTGCTGCTGCTGCTGCTGCTGCTGCTGCTGTTGTGGCTCTGCCGGAGGCGCTTTGGCAGTTAGCTGCTGACTTGGCGGTGGGGCTGTTACCTGCAAAGCGAAGCGGCTGATGGCTGCTCCTACGTCGACAAAAGTGAGCTTGTACTTCGATCGAGGCTGGCAGCAGACAGAGAGGTTCTCAAAGTGTGCGCTGTCTTCATCAAGTTCCTGCGAACAAGTTGAACGGCATGCGCAATAGACGCAAATGGAATTTACAAAGATTAAGCTATTCAATCCTTAGCTTTAAATGCTGTTTGGGTTAAACTAATGCTTCAAAATTACTGTTTGAATGCACGCGGCGAGATAATCATGTGTACGCTGCAAGCAGCTCAAAACAGTGGCAAGCCGACAGCAGAAGCGGTAGCAGCAGCAGCAGCAACACAGGCCAGTTCAGCTGCAGTGGTACAGCCATACTCCTGCTAGCTGGCTGGATTTGCTGTCTGCAGGAAGAGCTGGCTACCTGGGAATAAACATGATGCAACTCTGCCCCTTCTTCCAGGACTACTCTTGTGGCTGAGTTCACGCAAGGCCCCCTGAACCCCTTTTGTGTCAGCTTCTGCTGCTGCTGCTGCTCGCGTTTGTGCTGCTTGAGCTGCTTCAGTTCCTGCTGCTCCGCCGGAGACAACAAAGAAGAGAGGCTGACTTGAGTTTGGTGTATTTGGCACTTTGCGTTGCGGCCTACGTGGATTACAAAACGAGGGTTTATCAGCGGAGTCGCAATTCTTGCATTATCGCTGCTGCTGCTACTGCTGCTGCTGCTGCTTCCCCCTTCGCCAATGCGATCTATCTCATCTGAGGTTGTTACGTGAATGACTTGTAAAACAACGGGCTTCCTCTTGGAGCGCCCATCTGCGTTTCCTGTATCTTTAACTGTCGCTGCATCTCCTTCATCTTTACCATCCCCTGTTGCTCCCTCTGGTGCTGCTGCTGTTGCTGCCCTATGGGAAGCCTCTTTGTGCTCATCACTACTGTCATCGCCAGCAGCAGCAGCAGCAGCAGCAGCAGCGTCGGCAGGCTCTTCCTCCCAGTCAGTAACAATCAGCGCTGCTGCGTCATGCATCCCCGCAAGATTCAGTGCAGACATCTTTGCCATTCCAAAGTCCAGCTTGCGATAGTCATAAATGGCAAAGTCATTGTCGTACTTGCGGCTTGTCTTCCCCACCTGTCAGTACACCCCAACACGCCACACATCCATTTGCATGCACGTGGACATCTGCATCCAGTCTGTGCGAACTTTTGTCCACTTCACATCCTTTAAAAGGCGCGTAAGCCCCCCACTTATAAACGTGAGCCCATATGCGTATGAAATATATATATATATATATATATATACATGTATACGTATATATATATGTGTATATACACGTATGCGTATACATAATGCATACATGCATAAAGCGTATATATACACATTCGTACGTTATGTAGCGCAAAAGCATGCAACAGCTGCAAGGAGCAAACGTGTGCAGTCATTTGAGTGTACGTACAGGCAAACAGCCACGAAGGATACCTGTATTTCGTGGCTCTTTGGGTGTACATACACTCAAGTGAAATGCATGCATGCAGAGGCTTATAAGCACAAAGCAGCAGCATCTCTCTGCAGACTCAAAGCACCTGTGGGCACTTGTGCAGTCCGCGCAAAGCCCCACCTGGCCTCTGTGGAAAGGCTGAGTGTTCTTCCGCCAGTAATTCGTATATTCAGGAATAAACCTCAGCTGCTGCTCGATCTCTGCCCTCACTGCTGCATCTTGCAGATCGAAAAAGCTGCAGCAAACTGCAGGCAGCGGCTCCCCTTCCCCATCCTCCCCGTCCTCTGGCTCTCCCGCAGCAGCAGCAGCAGCTGCTGCTGCGGCTTCTGCCGCTTCTGCTGCTGTTGCGGTCTCTGGGCAGCCGCAGGCGCTCTCTTTGTGCGCGCTGTGCTGCTGCTGCTTCTCGTGAGGGTTTTTTCGCTCCATGCCTTCCAGCAGGCTAGCTGCGACTCCCCCCACCTCTTCTTGGTCAGCTAGCTGGCTAGCCAAGACCCCCACGCCCCTGCTGAGGCTGGGATCGACAATCCCATCCCGCAGCACCAACACTGCGTCTGCATGCGGCAGCACGTACTCCTCCAGGTGCTGCGGCAGCAACTCGCGGTGTACAGACACCCGACAGTCAAAGCGAGTGAAGTACAGATGACGGAGCTCAGAGCCTAAGCGCCAGCTCTCTAGCCGAGAGTGGGGAGTGGGCAGTTCCAAACATGTATCCCTGCAGCAGCAGCAGCAGCGGCAACAGCAGCAGCTACAGAGTCAGACTTGCTGCAGCGGGCTCGGGAGGCAAGATCGGCATGTCACGCACCAACGCTTCAAAGCGCAAAGACCGCAGCAGCAGCAGAAGCAGCAGCAGGTGCTGCTGCTGCAGCCATGGCTCACCATCCTGCTGCATTCATAAGTTTAAAAACATTATAAAACCTGTGGTTTATGTTGGTTAGACTTCCAGGCAAGGGAAATGGAGGAGGAACTGCAGCAAGACACAGACACGCCGGCATCAGCGACTCACCCAGGCATGCATCGGCGCTTGTGTGCAGTAGCAGCAGCAGCACAGCAGCAGCACAGCAGCAGCACAAAAGGAGCCGCTGCAGCAGCACTTAAGCTCTTGGGATTTGGTACCTCGTCAGTTCCTGGCTCAAAGCCTACGTAGTTGAAAATCATGCTCACCTGCTTCTGCCTCTGCGTCTGTGTTTGTTAGTTCTCCCGTGTCTGTTTGCTGCTGCATGCTTGCTGCTTCCTTGGCTTCCTGCTGCAGTCGCCAGTCCGTTTTGTACTGCCTGTGCTGCTGCTGCTGGTGGCACTGCCGCAGCCAAGTTGCTGCTGCTGCTGCGCGGCCCTCCAAAGAGCGCACAGCCACGCCCAAAGTCTTCAGCCAGAAAGCCTGCAGCAGCGGAAAACAGCGAAAAGCAAAAAGAAGAAATAAAGTAAAAGAGAAGCAGCAGCTGCTGCAGCAAGAGAGCCGCAAACGCAAAATAAATCAGAAATTCTCCCAGCCTTTGGCTGAGACACTCAGACCTGGCAGCGCCACAGACATCTGCAGCTCAAAGCCAAAAAAGGAAAAAACATGAGAAGAAAATTAGACAAAAAAAAGGTTAAGTGAAAAAGAAATTGGGGGGGAACCAGAAAAATGAAAGGAAAAGAAAGAGAGGTGCCAAGACACTCGAGAGGGCATTAAAAAGAGACATGAAAAAAGGCAAAAACGAAGTGAGAGGAAGGCAGCAGCGGCAGCAGAGGCCGCCGCAGCAGCAAAAGGCTGCCGCAGCAGCAAAATGAAGCAGCAGCAGACGCAGCAGCGCAGTAGGGAGTCTCAGAACGAGTCCCAAGATATACATTATAGTGATAATTTTTTATATAATAATTTTAATAAATATATAATTGAATTATTTAATTTAACATTAAAAACTTAGAAGGTTTTTATCTTTTCCAATTTAAATGATAGGTTTTTTTAAAGATGTCAAGTTCCTTTAATGTAGTTATCTCACAGCGTTTTAGTACGGGTGATAATATATTTTAACATATACATTTTTCCAGCTATATATTTTTATTTATATATTAAAAACTATATTATAAAAATATAATAAAAATTATAGGTCACTATTTGTTATATATATTTACAGTAAAGGAAGTTTAACCTTATTACCCATCAATTGCAGAGAAGCAAAAACACAAAGAGAGGAGAAGCAGCACTAGATCCCTCGCGCTGCTGCTCTTCTTTTGCTATTTTGCCTGGAAGCCAACGCGGTGTATAGACACCTCGAGTGGCTGCGCGCAGAGGTCCTGCTGCTGGAGTGTACAGACACCGCCGCTGGGGTGTATGCGCAGCTCATTTGGAACGCATGCAGGAGAGAACTGGGGTGTCTGTACAGCTCGGCTGGGGTGTACGTACACCTGAACCGGGGGAAGCTCACGCACTTGTCTTTTTCGCTCCAAAGGGCTGACAAACTGCAACTTTAGTCGATTTCGCAAGGCAGAATGGGTTGTGTCGATATCGGGTTTCGACAAATGGCTCAGCGACAGAGTCGAAATGGCGGTGGAGTTCTGCGGTGTACAGACACCGCAGCGAGCCGCAGCACTCAGTCGCAAACACCGCATGCATGCAGACGCGCAGAAGTCAAGCAAAGAAAGAAAAATAAAACAAACAAAAGTTCAAGAATAGAAACAACAGCAAGGGCTCTCAACAGCCCTCTGACAGGGGCACCCGCTGTCAGGCTTGCTGTCAACAGCAGCAGCAAGGAGGCTCGCCGCAGCAGCAGCAAGCACAGCGCCCGCAGCAGCAGCAGCACCAGCTGCGGCAACAGCAGCAGCAGCAGCGGCGAGGGCAGCAGCAGCGGTAGCAGCAGTAGGAGACGCGGCAGCCGCAACAACAACCGCAGTAGCAGCAGCAACAGCAGCAGTAGCACCAGCCACACCAGCAGCAGCAGCAACAGCAGTAGCAGCAGTACCAGCCACACCAGCAACAGCAGCACAGCAGCAGCAGCAGCAGCTCTCACAAGAAACGGCCTGGGGGCATCTGTCCAGTCGTCGGGAATGAATCTTGGCTCTACACTAATGTCCGAATATGTCTCTGAATCTTCATCTGCATTTATTTCTTTTTCATTTTTACTTTCATTTCCATTTTCACTTTCATTTTCATTTTCCTCTTCTGCAACAAGACGGCGAATTAGGCGGCTCATGGAGCCCCACAAGTCGTCGCTCCTTGCCTTCTGAGGCCCCTTGGAGGCAGCAGCAGCAGCAGCTGCTGCTGCAGCAGCAGCCTCAGCAGCAGCAACAGCGTTGGCTGCTGCTGCTGCAACTTGCTGGTCTGTGCCCCCATGCTGCGCCTCTCTCCAAGCCGCCTCCCGCGCTGCTGCTGCTGCTTCTGCTGCTGCTGCTTTGGGGACAAAGGTGTCTGTTGCTGCATCCAAGAAGCGCGAGGCTGCTGCTGCAGTCCACGGCGTGATTGCAGCAGCAGAAGCAGCAGCAGCACCAGCAGCAGCAGGCCGCAGCTGCAGCAGCAAATCGCGCGGCACCTGAAAGGGAGACAGCGAAGACGGAGACCAAGTCTTGGGTCCCTCGTTTTGCAGCAGCCTGCTGCTCCACTCTCCCTCTAATTCTTCAGTTTCTGCTATTGCTGCTGCTGCTGCCGCTGGATCTCCTGCTGCTGAGCCTGCTGCTGCCGAGCCGCTTGCTGCTGTACCTGATGCTGCTGCAGGCGGTGCTTCACCAGCTCCTGCAGCGGCACCGCCTGCAGGTTGGCCGGCAGCAGCAGCAGCAGCAGCCGGCGCAGCAGCAGCAGCAGCCGGCGCAGCAGCAGCAGCACCCGGTGCAGCAGCAGCAGCAGCCGGTGCAGCAGCAGCAGCACCCGGTGCAGCAGCAGCTGCAGACTCCCCGCTGCGGCAAGAAAAGCCGTTGGGCCTCCTAGTAGCTCCTGAGAAATGCCTCTTCGGGTGTACAGACAATAAGCTTCCAATGTCCTTAGAGAGGCCCCACATGGGCACCTCTAGGGGGCCCCCTTGTTGAGTCCTCGGGGGGCCCCCCAAGGGGGCCCCCGGGGGACCCCCAACGGGGGTCCCCAGGGGGGCCCTGGAGACTAAGAAAGCCGCATGGGGCTCTCCTCCAGCCCTCCTGGAACTGCTGCTGCTGAGGCGCAAGCTAGAGGCTTCCCACAGCAGCAGCAGCAGCAGCAGCAGCAGGAGCCACCGCTGCAGCACCGGCAGCAGCTGCTGCTGCCGGCGAGGCCAAACGCCCATAAGCAGTCAAATAAACCGCGAGGGCCATCGCCTGTGAAGAGGCCCCATGCACTTGAAAGAGCAGGACCCCGTGCCGCAAACCCCAGGAATTAGGGTTTAGGGTTTAGAATTTAGGGTTTAGAGCTGATGCTAGAGGCCGAGTGCGGCTACTGGATCCCTCGGCGGCCGAAGGGAAACAAGGTTTACCGTTTAGGGTTTAGGGTTTAGGGCTGGCCTAGCTTGAGAGCCAAGGAAGCCCTTGCAGAAGTGTTAGCCCGCACCGTGCACCCCGAACCTCAAATATTAAGCCCTAAGCCCTAAACCCTAAACCCTAAACCCTAAACCCTAAACCCTAAACCGTAATCCCTCACCAGCAACCCTCTCGTTATCGACCAACGCTGTGGACGAGCTATGTCTCGTCTTCGGCTGCAGCGGCGCCTCGGCAACACCGGGAGAGTTGAGGAAAAAAAGAAAAGAATTAAATTTAAAAATGAAAAAAAGTTGCCGTCAAAGGCGATTTGAAGAAGTGGCGCTCTAAACCCTAAACCCTACACCCGAAATCCTGATCTGACATCGGCGGATCCATGAGCGCTGCGCAAGCCAGCAGCATCTTTGTCTCGCTAAACGATTTTTTCCTTTCGCTTTTCCTTTTCTTGACTCCCAATTTAACGCTTTATTCCCGACCCTATACCCTAAACCGTAAATCCTAAACCCTAAACCGTAGTATATGGCGTTGCTGATGCTCGCCGGTGTTCTTGACTGCTCCCGCTGTCTCGCCTCTGCTTTGCAGCAGCAGCCCTAAACCCCAAAATCGAAACCCTAAACCCTAAAGCTTTTTGTAACTATTCAAGCCTGACAGGGAACGCCAAGTTTGTAGCTGCAGACCCTAGATCCGACAGCTTAAATCCTAGGCTTGCTAGCCTCTATGCATTGAAGCTAAACCCTAAACCCTAAACCCTAAACCCTGACTCGGGCCTGGAGCGACGAAGATGCGCATTGTGTTCTTCGCCCTGGCCTTGTTTCTGAGTGGCTACGAGACTCAGGCCTCAGAAGAGTACAAGGTAAGCTCGTGCTGCTGTTGCTGCTGCTGCTGTTGTTGCTGCTGCTGCTGCTGCTCTTGCTGACGCGATCTGCGTGCGTCCCGCGAGCAAAGGATTGTTTTGGATGTGTTAAGGACTGCTGAAGCATCTGCAACACGCTCACTAGCTGCAGCAGCAGCAAAGGCAGCAGCAGCAGCAGCAAAAGCAGCAGCAGCAAAAGCAGCAGCAGCGGCAGCAAAAGCATCAGCAGCAGCAAAAGCAACACAGGTTTCTTATGTTTGCGTTCCTTGTCCCAGTTCCCTTCCTTCCGCCTCGTCCCCGACAAACGAAACCCCAACTCAAGCGCGCCTGCTGCTGCAGCTGGTGCTGCTGCTGCTGCTGCTGCTGATTACGTCCGAAGCTGGACCTTCTACCAGCCGTATCTGTACCGGCTGCAGCTCTCTGCAGGGCCGGCAGCGGAATCCCCAGCAGCAGCAGAAGCAGCAGCAACAGAAGCAGCAACAGCAGGCGTCTGCGCCTTCGTGGCTCTTATACATGGGCGCGATATTATTACGAACTCGCGCTGGAAATGGACCTGGACTTGGCAGTGGGATTTCATCAAAAAACAGCTTGAAAAAGAAGCCAGGGTGGGCTGCTTCTGCTGCTGCTGCTGCTGCTACTGTCCTGTTGCTGCTGCTGCTGCTGCTTTAGGTGCTACTGCTTCTGCTTTCTCGCTGTTGTTGCTTCTGCTACCTCTGTTGCTGCTGCTGCTGGTCTTCTTGCTGTCGCTGCTGCCGCTGTTTCCGGTTGAGCGGCTCTTGCTGCTGCTGCTGCTGCTGTTGTTGCTGCTGCTGCTGTTGTTGCTGCTGCTGGCTCCGTCGCTTGCTATGAAGCGCCTCGTGAGGCTGGACCGTTGCAGTGCTGGTTCTTCCCAGTCCCACTTTTCGTGTTTCTTATTCTCCACTCTTATTTCAATTTCCTCCTGTATTTATTTGCAAGTTTTATTTCTTTTATTTTCATTTCCTTTCGGCCTCTCGTCCGTGCTGCTGTACATACAGCACACTGACGCTCCTCAGTACTCATAATTCATCTTTTGCATGCAAAAGCAAAAAGCCCCGCAGATGTACTAAGATAAATTCTGCACTTTTTAATTTCAACTTTATATTATATTATATTTCATATTTATTTAATTCTGCATGCGCTGCCTTAGTTCTGCGAATTCGCCTTGGGCTGTTTTGCCCACATGCATTTGCGCTTCTGACATTTATGCCTCAACTCATTTGCCAGTGGTCCACTGGACCTTTGGGCCTGCAAGCAGGAGTTAGCGTGGTCCAGTGGTCCATGGCGCATGCATGCAGGCGCCACTCTGGTCCAGTGGTCTTTGGGGCTTGCATGCAGGGGCCAGTGGGGCACTGGTCAATGGTGCATGCATGCAGAAACCAGTGGGGTCCACTGGTCCAGCGCGCATGCATGCAGGCGCCAAGGACCAGTGGACCCCACTGGACTTGTGTGGCTTTTGCTGCGCAGTGCACTGGCGCATACAAAAGTGGATTCTTGTCTTTTTATTTATCTGTACCAGTTGTGCATACAAAGGCCAGCACATGTGTGCATGCAAGCTTGCTGGTGCTGGTGCTGCTGCTGTTGCAGTTGGTGGTTTTACTCTTTTTCGGGGGCAGTTGCTGCTGCTGCTGCTTTCGCTGCTGCCTTTTTGCCTTCGACACCGCTGCTGCTGCTGCTGCTGCAGTTGTCATTTGATTTACTTTTTTCCGGTTTTTGCTTCAGCATGATCGCGTGCTGCTGCTGACCCCACAGTCCTCCCAGCCCTCGGGGTGTCTGTACAGACAGATCCAGCAGGTGGCGCAAATCATCTACCGCGCTTTGTCGCTTAACACGGAGCCCATAGAAGCAGCAGCAGCAGCAGCAGCAGCAGATGACAGCGACCCTGCTGCAGCGCAGCCCCTGCTTCTGCAGGGCGCAGGATTTTTCAAAGGCTGCAAAAGAGTCCGGGTGTATCTACACGCCGCTTGTCACGGCTCCATTGTCGCCAGAGCAATCTTGGCCAAAGAAAGCTCCATCTGGGAAGGCCATGTCAGAACTGCTGCTGCTGCTGCTGCTGCTGCTGTTTGTTTTAGCTGCAATTTCGGCTACTGTTGGCTGTGGTAGTGGTGGTGGTGGTGCCGCCTGCCTTCGCTGCTTTTCGTGGCGCTGCTGCTGCTGCGGCCGCCTTTGCTATTACAGCTGGGCTCCCCGCTGCTGCCATTCCTGCCTCTGCTGCTGCTGGTGCTGTCATTTCTTTTTGCTGCGCCTTGGTTATCTGCTGCTGCTGCTGCGGCTCTGCCGTTCTGGCTGCTGCTTTTGCGGCTGGTATTGCTGCTGCTAGTGTGCTCTACTCCTTGGCCTCTTGGCTGCGAACTCCTGCGTTGCTTCTGGCTGCTGTTGCTGCAGTTGTGGGTGCTGGCTTCTGCCGCAGCTTCTGCAGTGGCTGCAGCAGGCTCAGCCCTCCCGCTGCTGTTGCTGCTTCTGTAGCTGCTGCTGTTGCTCTGTACGAGGCTCGTTGGGTGCTTTTCGGGGGATGTGCATTGCTGCCGGTGTTGTCGCTGCTGCTGCTACTGCTGCTGCTGCAGGGTCCCGCCGCTGCAGCAGCAGGTGCAGCAGCTGCGCTGGTGCAGCGCCTGCTGTCTTCTCCGTTTTTCGATTTGACTTCTTTCACTTTTGTCGTTCCTGCGCTCGCGGGGGTCCGGGAGAACCCGCGAATAACGCCGAAGGGAGCAGCAGCAGTGGCGGGGCCAGCAGCAGCAGCAGCAGCAGCAGCAATATCTGCAGCCGAAGCTGCGCTGCGCCTCTTAAGGCTGGACCCCCCCATTGCCACCATTCTCGTGTGGGGTGGAGGCAGCGGCCCGGTGTACTTACACCGAGACGCCGCGCGCCTTTTGTGTTCCTTAGCAGCAGCAGAGACGCAAGATAGCGGCAGCAGCAGCAGCAGCAAAAGGGGCTCGCTGCTGCTGCAGTTCAAGAGACTGGCTGTCTTTGCCAACCTAGACGGCGACATGATTGTTTCTCCCCGCTGCGCTGCGGGCGTGAGCGACGCCTTTCAGACTTCTGCTGCAGCAAAGGCTCTGCTGCAGCAGGCACAAGCAGCAGAAGCAGCAGCAGCCAGAGCACCTGCTGGAGCTGGCTTTGGAGCAGCGGAAACCCCCAAAGCCCTTCTGCCCCATAGGATTCCTGTAGAGCTGGCGCCGCTAAATCAGTACGCCTTCTGCTGCTGCTGCTGCTGCTGCTGCTCCTACTGTATCATCTTGTCACTACTACTGTTATTGCTGCCGTTTTGCTGCTGCTGCTCCTGCTCGTTTGGGTCTCCCAAAGGAGCTGCTACGGCTGCTTACGAGAACAATTGAGGCATTGCTGCTAACGAGATAGGCGAATGAACAGCGGGCGCATTACTCTTGTGCTGCGATCGCCACATTTGCCGCTTTCACCGCATATGCTGCTGCTGCTGCTGCAGGCGCGCTGCGAGGCAGCCAATGCCGCCCGATGTGCAGGAGCTGCTGACCAAGAGGTACATCTGCTGGGACCCGCAGCCGCCGCGGCGGGAGCGGCAGATCTACGAGCTGACGCTGAAGCTGCTGCAGCTGTGGGATGTAAACAAGCAGCTGCAGCAGCAGCAACAGCAGCAGCAGCAACAACAACAGCTGCAGCAGCAGCAGCCGTCGGAAGGCCGGAGAAGGAAAGGAAGGGCACGGTGGTCGCTGGGATCGCTGGTCCCAGACTCGCACAACCAGCAGCAGCAGCAACAGCAGCAGCAAATCCTTCGCTTTGTAGTGTACATACCCCCGGTGAGCAGCCGAAGGGCCGTAGCAAACCACCCCCACTTCCTGGCTTTTGGTTCCCGCAGCTGGATGCTGCCAGTTGTGGCTCCGCTGCTGCGCGCCGTCGCTGCTGCTGCTGCTGGCAGCAGCGAAGAGCTGCAGCAGCTCACAGTGATGGACACAGACCAGAACTGGTGGCACCCCTAAGTGTTTGAACTCCACATGCCGCCCGCAGCTGCCGCAGCTGCTGCAGCAGCCACTGCAGCAGCGGCTGCTGCAGCAGCAGCAGCGGCTGCTGCATGTTCCAGCGGCAGCGGCTGCAAGTGCTGAAGTGGCTGCAAGTGCTGCAGCGGCTACAGATGCTGCAGCAGCAGCAGCAGCATTTGCAGCAGCGGCAGCCGCATGCTCCAGCAGCAGCAGCTGTTGCTGCTGGAGCATCCGTTGCAAGCAGCGCTGGTCTGCAGCAGCTGCACCAGAAGCACAAGCAGCAGCAGCAGCTGCAGCGTGCGTCAACAGTAGCACCTAAGACACGAACAGCTGCGGCTGCAACAGGTGCAGGAGCAGCTGGAGCAGCAGCAGCCGCTCCAGCAGTAACAATACCACCCGCAGCAGGTGCAGCAGCAATGAATGCTGCAGGAACGGCTACCGGTACAGCAACGCTATCACCTGCAGCACCTGCCCCGTGCAGCTCGCTGCTTGCAGCAGCAGCAGCAGCAGCACGCGAAGCTACTAACTCTACTTACGTCACCTCCGGCTACTAAACCCCTGCTATTACCCCCAAACCCTAAACCCTAACCCCGAAAATTACGCTGTCACGCCCCCTGTTCTTGTTGCTGCGGATCAAATTGAACGGCGCAGTAGCAGTGCTGCAGCAGCAATCGCTGCTGCAGCTGCTCCTATTGCTGCAGCATGCCTTTCTGCCTTTGGTGGACGGGCTGCTGCAGCCCCTGCATTGAGGGCTGCAGCTGCAGATGCAGCAGCCCTTACTGCTGCCTGACTGGGACCGCTGTGCTTCCTGCCATGCTGCAGCTCTTGCAGCATCAGCACCGGCAACTGCAGCAGCAGCTGCAGCGGCAACAGCTGCAGCAGCAGCTGCAGCAGCAGCAGCAGCTGCAGCAACAAGACCAGGTGCAGCAGCAGCACATCAACTACTGCTGCCGACACCTTTGTTCTGCTTCTTTGACAGGCATTGGTTCCTTTTGGTGGTGCTGCCTCTGCTGCTGCTGCTGCCTTTGCTGCGGCTGCCTTTGCTGCTGCTGCTGCTGCTGCTGCTCCACGCTGTCCAGCAACCTCGTTATGCGCGGGTCACCTTCTTCCCCCTTCAGCACTTGCTGCAGCAGCCCGGGGTCCAACAGGTCAATGCCTTCTGCTGCAGCAGCAGATTGCAGCGCCCCCACAAATCCGAAGAAGTCCGACAGCTCTTCTCCCAGCGAGCTGCTGCTGCTGCCCTCCTTGCTGCTGCTGCTGCTCGCGTTCACGCCTCCTACTGGCGTCGAGCTCGCCGTCGCAGCTTGCTGCTGCTGCTGCGGCTGCTGCAGCGGCTTCGGCCGCTCCTGGGTGGGTGGGCCCGCCGAGAGAGCAGCAGGTGCAGCGGCAGCAGCAGGTGCAGCAGCTGGTGCAGCAGCAGGAGTAGCAGCAGCAGCAGCAGCAGCAGGAGTAGCTGCAGCAGCTGCTGCTGCTCTGGCTTCTGCTGCATTGAGCTGCTGCTGCACTTCTGGCGGGATGTCCCCTAGGTTGCAAGCCTCCTCCAGCAGCTGCTGAATCTCCAGGAGTTGTCCCCATGAGGCTGCTGTTGCTGCTGCAGACGACTCCCTCTGCTGCTGCTGCTGCTGCTGCGGCTGCTGCTGGTCACACAAGAAGACAATGCGCCTGTAGACGGTCACTTGCTTCTCATAGGTCTTCAGCTCCTCGGGTGATAGGCCTGCAGCAGGCTGCTTCCCCTGCTGCTGCTCCTGCTGCTGCTGCTGCTGCAACCAAGGCTCGTACACCTGCAGCAGCTCCTTCACTGGGTCAGCTATTGTGCTTATGGAAAGATCATCGCCTTTCAGAGCTTCCAGAGCTGCAGCAAAAGCATTGGGGCATGCTGCTGCTGGTGTTGCTGCTGTTGCTGCTGCTGCATCTGCTGCCTTTGCAGCAGCACCTGAAGCGCTACCATCAGCAGCAGCAGCAGTAGCAGCAGCGTCTGCAGCAAGGAGAGGCCCTTTCTCGACTGCCCGCAGCACATCAGCAAGGGTCTGCAGCAGATCCACGGGCCCGCTTGTGCCATCCTGTGGCTTTGCTGCTGTTGCTTCAGCTGCTGCTGCTGGGGTGGTGCTTGCAGCAGCAGCAGCAGCAGCCGAGGACGGCACAGGGGGAGACTGCCGCAGCAGCTCCTGCTCCAGCTCCTTTACACAGAAGCTGAGAGAGTCGCACTGCTTCTCTGCTGCTGCTGCTGCTGCTGCCGCTGCTCCACCCTTTTTGGGATATGTTGCTGCATCCATTGCTGCAGCTGCTCGCGGCTCCAGCCTTTCATCTGTTGAAGGGGCTGTAGTAGCAGCTGCTGTTGCTGCTGCTGCTGCTGAAACACCTGCTGAATCTTTTGCTGCCTCGACAGCTGGCCCTGGCTGCTGCGGCTTCTCGTGCCGCTGCAGTGCGCCCCCTTGCTGCTGCAGCAGTTGTTGCTGCTGCACCAGCATCACCTGCTGCAGCAGCGGATCCTGCTGCAGCAGATGTGGAGACTCATCATGTCTTTGCTGCTGCTGCTGCTGCTGGCAAGGGGGGAAGGAAAAGGTTTCTAGGTCGTGCAGTGTTGATGCTATTAGACAGTCGAGATCTGTGCCGTTGGCGCTGTTGTTGCTGCTGCTGCTGCTGTTGCTGCTGTTGCTGCTGCTGCTGCTGCTGACGATGCTGTTGCTTTTCAGGTACTCCATCGGTGCGAGGAGAAGCTGAGAACAGCCTTTTAAGGCACAAGGCAGCGACCGCCAGCTGTAAACCCTAAACCCTAAACCCTGGGCTCTGTCTCGTCTACGGGAGAGCGCTCACAAACGCTAAACCCTAAACCCTAAACAGCAAATTCTAAAGCCCAAAATTAAAAGAATATGATTTAACCGGAGACAAAAAGATGGACGCCCCACTCGGACCGTAACTCCTAAACCCTAAACCCTAAACCCTAAACCATACCGCTCGAACGTGGCGTGTATAGCATGCGCTGCCGGGGCTGGGCTGCAGAAGCAGAGTTTAGGGTTTAGGGTTTAGGGTTTGAAATTACTACTGAAGTTTTATTTCGAGTTGAGAGGAGCTTATTGGTTAGTTGTGTGCTATGACGGGGTAGCCAGTTGCTGCCTACCCCAGAGCCGCGAACCCTAAACCCTAAACCCTACACCCTACAGACCGAAGCCTAAGCGCTAAACACCAAACTCTAAGCCATAAACCCTAAACCCTAAACCCTCATATCCTTCGGAAACGACACCCAATGTGTGAACTCGAAACCCTAGCGCCTCCAGCTCCAGTCGTAGCGATCACAACCCTGAACCCTGAAGTAGCCAGCCGCCAGAAGCTGCCGCTGCTGTTGCTGCTGCTGTTGCTGTGACTGCTGCTGCTGCTGCTGCTGCTCCTAAAGAACAAAGCCAGACTAACGCCGCAGCATACGCCGCAAGACAGCAGCAAACCACGGTAACCGTGGCCACGGTAACCGTGGCCATTGTTTGGTACTAAAATTGCTGCTGCTGCTGCTGCTGCTGCAATTTCTGTTGCTGCAGCAGCAGCAATTTCTTTTGCTGCAGCAGCAGCTAGTTCTCCCGCTGCAGCAGCAGCAACTTTTGCTGTTGCCGTATTAGCAAGCGCTGCAGTAAGCTCTGCTGCTGTAGCAGCAGCAGCAACGGCGAGCTCTGTTGCTGCAAGTTCTGCTGCGGCAGCAGCAGCTGCAGCAGCAAGCAAGACTTGCTGCTGCTGCTGCAGGTCTTGCTTGCCGCGGCAGCAGCAACAACACCACCAGGGACTAAAACGGGGCATTTGCTGCAGCACGGAGGACAAGAGTTACCGCCCTACGGGCTGCTGCGGCAGCAGCCGCAGCAGCAGCAGCAGCAGCAACGTTTAGATGAGCTTCTTGGTCTCTGCGAGCTGGTGTTTAATCCAAGGCAGCAGCAGCACGAGGGCCTCAAACTCCTCCAGACTCAGCAGCAGCACGAGCCTTTTGCTGCAGCAAAACCCTAAAGCTGCTTCGCGCTTTAAACCCCCGCCTGTGGCTCTGCTAAACACAAACAACTCCCGCCCCAGGGGGCCAAACTGCACGCAGCCACAAACCCTAAACCCTAAACCCTAAACCCTGAACCTGGGAAACCCTAGAAACCTAAACCCTAAACCCTAGACGATCGGCGTCCCAAGCCTGGCCGGCAGACAGGCTTGCAGCCAGCTGCGGCAAACCCTAAACCCTAAACCCTAAACCCTAAACCCTAAACCCTTACCCTGGAGTGTTCGTCTCCAATGCGGATTCTGGAGCGAGGAGGCCAGCCCTCGTAAGAAGACCAGGCTTCTGCTTTTGTCTTTTTGTTCTGCTGCTTTGCTGCAGCAGCAAAACGAGAAAGACAGACTTTTAAAGGTGCTTCTGCTGCTGCTGCTGCCATCGACGGGAAGCGCTCGTACACAGACAAACGGGCGCCACCTGCTGCCGCTGCTGCTGCTGCTGCACCTGCTGTTGCTGCTGATCCTGCAGCTGCTGCTGCGGGTGATGCTGCGTCCGCTGCTGCGTCTGTTGCTGCGTCTGCTGCGCCTCCTGCTGCTGCCCTTGCGGCTCCTGCTATTGCAGGAGCCGCGGCACTTGCTGCTGCGGTCTCTAGTGCTGCTGCTGCTGCTGCTCGCCCTTTGGGAGCAGACGAATCTTCTGCTGTTGCTGCTCCTCTCTCTCTAGCAGCACCACCAGCAGCAGCTACTGTTTCTGCAGCAGGTGCTGCAGCTGCAGCAAACTGCTCTTTTTTCTTAAGCTTCTTTGGCGCCGCTGTAGCTGCTGCCGCATTTTGCTGCTGCAGTCCGGAAGCTCCTTTTCCTGCTGCTCGTTCTGCTGCTCTAGTTTCTGCTACTGGTGCTGATGCTTCAATTGCTGCTCCTTCAGCTGCTTGCGTTGGCTGCTCCTGCAGCTGCTGCTGCTGCCGACTATCCGAAGTGCTACCTCCTGCTTTTGCTGCTGCTGCTGCTGCAGTCACCAGCTGCCTTAAGCCCGACAAGCTGCTAGCAACAACAGGAACAGTGGGAACACGGGATGGTGCGGCACCACCAGCAGCAGCAGCAACTGGAGACGCTGCGCTGCGCCACTGCTGCAGATCCTTACATCTTCTGCCTACGCACCCTGTATTGACGTGTAAATTTGCTGCTGAGTCCTTCGCTGCTGCTGCTGCTGTTGCTGCTGCTGCTGCTCTGGTCGCCGCTGTGCAGCGGCAGCACAAGGGAGCCACAGTAGCAGCAGCACACTGCAGCAGCAGATAGCCGTTGGTCATTGGCTAGGGCACAGATGACTCATTGCAGCTAAAATGCAGCAGCAACAAAAACGGGAAGGGTTTCAGAAACCCTAAACCCTCATGTCCTTAACCCCGTGGACAGACAAGCGCGCTGCAGCGGCTGCTTCTGCTGCTGCTCCTGTTGCTGCTGCAGGGCGAGGGCAGCCTTAAAAATAGAGATGGCCTTTGGAAGAAATGTGCCTAAGAAGGCTAAGAAGGGTTTAGGGTTTAGGGTTTAGGATTTAGGGTTTAGGGTTACGGGGCTGAGACCTGGCGGGGCAGCCCCACCGATGTGGCGGTTGGCTGCGAACCTTAAACGCTAAACCCTAAACCCTAAACCCCCTACCGTAAACCCTAATTTGAGATCTTTCCCTGAAGTGTAACAGCGGTGCTGCTGCTTCGGCTGTATGCTAAGGGGGGCAAAAGAAGGAGCAAACCCAACACTCCAAGCCCTAGATCCAAATTCTTAAACCCCTAAACCCAAAACCCTAAACCCTAGGAACAGGGCTTCGCTTTCCCTGGCATCCCGCTTCATTTTTCCAGGCCTAGGGTGTAGGGTTTAGGGTTTGCGCTCTCGCGGCTGAGGGTTTTCGCAGTGCCTTCGTCCACCCCTGAACACCAACCGCGAACCCTGAACCCTAAACCCTAAACCCCAAACCCTTATCGCGGGTTTAGGCGAGTCCGCGCGCTTTCTTCTTCCCCGTGGGGTGCCCCGCGTGCCAGGCCCCATCTTGAAACCCTAAACCCCAAACCCTCGGCAGCGGTCCTCCAAACCCCAAACCCTAAACCCTAAACCCTCAGCCGCGAAAATGCCACCCGCCAAGAAGAAAGACACCAAGAGTGAGAAGGGGCAGCAGAAAGCCCTCGAGAGGGAAAAGCAAAAAATAATTGAAGACAAAACATTCGGCTTGAAAAACAAGAACAAGTCCAAAGCTGTACAAAAGTAGGCTCTAGGGTTTAGGGTTTAGGGTTCAGGGGGCGACGAGCGGTGCTTTGCGGCCAGCTTTTGTCGGCGGAAGCAGCTGCAGCGCAGGCGGCACCTGCAGCAGCAGCAGCAACAGGCGCTGCTGCTGCTGCTGCAGCACCAGCAGCACAAACCCATCCCACGCGCTGTGGATTGGCTGCTGCTGTTGAGTGCCACGCTGCTTCTGCTGCTCCTGCTGCTTCTGCAGCTTTTGCTGCTGCCGCTGCTACTTGTGCTGCTGCTGCTGCTGCCCCTCCATCCACTCTTCCTCCCGTTCTCAGGCAATTCCTCTTGCTGCTGATCCTTCTCGTGCTGCTGCTGCACTTGCTGCTGCGGCCGCAGTTGCCGCTGCCGCTGCCCTTGCTGCTGCTGCTGCACTTGCTGCTGCTGCTGCTGCTGCTGGGGATTGCGTGGGGGCTGGCTGTGGCTGGCATTTGCTGCAGGTTCATAAAGTCGGTGCAGCAATCCGCCAAAGGCCCCCAGAAGGGTGGAGAGGCCCACGAGATTGCGAAGAAAAAAGAAGAGCAGCAAGCGAAAAAAGCCATGCTGCAGCAGCAAATGCTGCTGCAGGCGCTTTTCAAGGGTGAGGGTTTAGGGTTTGACTGCCTGCGCCGCAGCACGAGGGTTTAGGGCTTGCTCTTTTCGCCCGCTGAAGCCTACAGCGGGCAGGGCGCCAAATTTAGGGTTTAGGGTTTAGGATTTAGTGTTTAGGGGAAGAACGCGGCCTTCAGGCGCTCGCTGAGTCTCTTCGACGCTAGGCGGTGGCTTGCTGGGATCTGCTCTTCTCTAGGGCTTTGGGCCAGAAGTTTGGGGTCGAGGGTTTAGGGTTTAGGGTTTAGGGTTTAGGGTTTTCGCAGGTACTGAAAACGTGAAGAAGGCGGCGAGCGAGTCCAACGTGGGCACGTATGACCCGAAGGAGTCAAAGCAGGAGCAGAAGATAGACTTGTACATAGACCAGAGAGAGCAAAGCAAGCCTAAACCCTAAACCCTAAACTCTAACCCCTAGGGAGCTCAGCTCTTCTTCTGCTGGCCGTGCATTTCTGCATTCGCTTTGCTGCGGCTTTTCTTTTGGGTCTTTACCAGTGGGGGGCCAGAGGGTGCAGAGCGGGGAAATCAGGGGTTTAGGGTTTAGGGTTTAGGGTTTAGGGTTTAGGGTTTGCGCGCAGCTGGCTGCAGCCGGTGGCCGGGGTCCAACGGCGAAGAGGCGGAGGGGGACACTTCGATTGTTTGCAAATTCTTTTTAGAAGCTGTTGAGAAGAAACAATATGGGTGGTTTTGGGTTTGTCCAAATGGAGGCGATTCTTGCAAGTACAGGCACTGCCTGCCGCAGGGTGCGTGAGGGTTTAGGGTATAGGGTTTAGGGTTTAGGGGTTGGCTCGCAGGCAGGCTTTGGGGAGCGCCCACGCGCCGAGGACCGCGACGAGGGGAGGGGATGAGGGATTCGCGTCTAGGGTTTAGGGTTTAGGGTTTAGGGTTTAGAGTTTGGCTCGGCGTGCGCGGTGGAGAGGGCAGAAGACGGCCCAGGGATTAGAGTTTAGGGTTTAGGGTTTACGGTTTCGGTTCAGGGTACGTGATGAAGGGAGAAGAGGACTCTTCAGTTCCTGAAGAAGAAGAGCCAATAGAGGAAAAGGTCGAGAGAGAGGTGGGGTTTTAAACAAGAAATAAATGCATTTATTTATTTGTTCATTTGTTTGTTTATTTATATATTTATATGTTTATTTATTTATTCATTTTTATTTAAATACTTTAAAATGTGCATTTGCATTTATCTATTTATTTATAAATATTCGATAATTAGTAAGTTTATTGTCTTTCAGTCTTTAACTATTTTAATTCGAACTTAAACGAAATGCAATAAAATGAGCAGCTACACAGATCTATTTGAGTCTGCTACTGCTCTCTTTGCCAATATAATCCAACTATGCATTTACTAATAGTTCAAAATTTAAAGATAAATGTTTTCATCAAGAATTCCACCTACAAGTGTCTTTCTCTTTTGCTGCGCCTCTGTCTGCGGCTCTAGCAGCAGCAGCAGCCACAGCAGCGGCAGCAGCCGCAGCAGCAGGGTTGTTTTGGGGTGTTTTTATCTGCTTTTTGAGGTTTCCAAGAGCCATTTAAACGTCAGATGCCAATTAGAATAGTTGGAAATGTCAAGAGTAAATAATTAGCGATATTTAATGGAATTAAATGCAATTTATTTCTTCAAAATTCCACTTCTTGATCCTGCAGCGCCAAGCACTGCCCCCAGGAGGCACACCAGTAACTCCGGCCACTTTTGCTGCCTGGAAAAAGGCGAAGGAGGAGCGGCGGCTGGCGGCGCTGCGGGAGCAGCAGCAAAAGGAGGGCAAGCGCAGCAGCAGCAGCAGCAGCAGCAGCAGCAGCAGCAGCAGCAAGGGGCAGCAGCTATCAGGAAAAGACCTGTTCTCATTTAATCCGGCGCTCTTCGTTGACGCTGAAGGCGCAGCAGACGAAAAGGATTATGAAGAAGATGAAGACTGGGTGGCGGAGGTTTGTTGGCATTTATATTTAATTGATTAATCAATTGCTTAATCAAAATAAATGTTGTTTATTTAAAAGACTTGAATTCTGTTGCTTCAGTTCGTTGCTCGCGCTTTTGCTGTAGGCGATTTTGAAACGCCATTTTTGTAGTTGTATTTGTTAATCTTATTTTATTTGATCCTTTTACATTTATAAATTACATTTTATTTGATTAATTGACCTTCAATAAATATATTTGTATTCCGTTTATTAGTGCACATTTGCACTTACTGGACTTGAATAATTAGTTCGATTAAATTCTATTAAGCAAAGGACCCTTTCCAGATCCAAACGCTAAACCCTAAATCCTAAACCCTAAACCCTAAAGTTGTAGGGAAAGGACTCTTTGCATATCCAAACCCTACGCCCTAAAGTTATAGGGAAAGGACTCTTTGCATTTCCCCGTAAACCCTAAACCCTAAAGCTATAGGTTTGACATCCCAACCCTAAACCCTAAACCCTAGAAGCCCCAATTGTACTTTTTTGTACAAGAAAAGAAATGCAACTTGAAATTTTAATTTCTCTCTACAACTGCTGCCAGAAGCTGAAACAGCTCTTTTGCCCTTTTGTTCAAACATTTTTAGTTCAAATAAATCTTTTTTGTTTTCATTATTTAGAAAATTAACTTTATTTCTTTGCCTTCGAAGTTGCTTACTTTACCAATCCACTGATCCACCTGTTTATTCATTTATTTATTTATCATTATCATATATCTGTTTCTTGTTATTATTATTACCTGTTTATTATTTATTATTTATTTATTTTTATTTGTTTAGTATTTATTTATCTGTTTATTTGTTCTTTAGAGAGAAAGAAACCAACAAACACTCGACGAAGCAAATGCTGCAGCGCGGGCGGCGCTGCGCGAGGCCTCTGAGAATGAGGGCGAGACTGACAAACGAGAAGATGCAGCAGAAGATGCAGCAGTAGCAGCAGCAGGGAATGATAAGGGCAGCAGCGGCAGCAGTGGTAGCAGCAACGACAGGAAGGCGCCGCAGCCAATCAAGGCAGAGCTCTTCATGGACGACCTCGTTCCCGTGAGGCATATAACGCAGCTAGCTACATGGCTAGCTAGCCAGCTAGCTATCGAGCTAGCTTGCTAGCCAGATAACGAGATATATATCGAACTAGCTAGCCAGCCAGCTAGCTAGCTAGCCAGCTAGCTTGGCAGATAGACAGCTGGCTAGATAACTAGGCAGCTGGTTAGCTGGTTAGGCAGGTAGACAGCTGGCTGCCTACTTAGCTATCTAGCCCACAAGTTAGCTGCATAGCTGGGTAGCTAGCTGGCTAGCTTGCTGGGTAGGTAGCTGGCTAGCAGTTTGGCTAGCTAGCTGCTTCATGAGTTCACTGGCTACTACTTGGCCAGCCAGTCACTCATGTGCGCGAGCTGCGGCTGTTCAGGAGGAGCTGGAGGCGCTTGATGACTGAGAGAGGAGTTGGGGCGGCTAGCTAGCTAGGTAGCTAGCTAGCTAGCTAGCCAGTTGGCAAAGGACGGAGGATTTCCTGGGGGAGCTGGAAGTGTCAACACCGCCTGAAGCCCGCAGCTGCGGCGGCAGTGATCAGGTGCTAGCTGGCTAGCTAGCTAGCTAGCCAGCTAGCTAGCTAGCCAGCTAGGCAGCTTACCAGCTAGCTAGCTAGCAGTCTAGCTAGCCAGCTAGCTAGTCAGCTAGCTTGCCAGCTAGCTCGCCGCCTAGATGCCTGGCTAGTTAAGTCGAAACCAGGCTAGCAAGGCAGCTAGCTAGCCAGAGAGCTACGTAGCTAGCTAGCTAGCAGGCGGCTAGCCGGGCCAGCCGCCCGATGAAGTGAAGTGGACTGAGTCTTTTAATGTTTAACTAGAGGAAAGAAAAAAGTGAAGGACGAGGGAAAAGAAAATAAATAAAAAGAAGTAGAAAGTGAAAAGGGAGGAAGAGAATCAGAAAATAGAAATAGGAGTAAAAGGGACTACCAAAAGACAAAGGGATTAGTAAACGATAAAGAAATGGTATATATGAAAAGAAGAAAATAAAGATGAAAGTGAGAAAATAATAAATAGGTGAAGGAGAGAATCAAAAGAAATGGAAAAGATGAAAGAGTAAACGGAGAGGCAATAAAGATGAAAAAGAGATAATTAAGAATCAAAATAGAAACAGTACAGATGAGAAAAGACAATAAAAATGGAAAAGAAAAAGATGAAAAAAGCAAATAAAAGCAAAAAAGAGAATAAAACAAGAAACGCAAGGAAGCAAAAGTGCAGAGGGGGAACTTTTGGGGCTAGGAGAAAAGAGAGAAAAAAGAAAGAAATAGAACAAATAAAAGAAATGAAAGAAGAAAAGAGAAAAGATTTAAAGGGGAGAAAACGGAGGAAGGGCAGTTGGAAGCAGCCGCTTTTTCGTTTTTCTGTTCTCTCTTCTTTTTCATTTAGTTTTATTTTCTAATCTTGGACTTTTATTGTTTTTCGACTTTTGTACTTTTATTTTTTAATATTTCCCTTTTGGTTCTTTAATTTTTTCTCTTGTTTTTTATCTTTTCCTCTCTTTTGGTATTTATTTCTCCCCTTCAATTTTACTCCATTCTCTCTTCTTGATATTTCCTTTTCTGCAATATTTATTTGTCTTCTTTTAATTCTTCCTTTTTTATTCTTAATTTCCTCTTATTCAATCTCTCCTTTTTGTTTCTCTCTCCTTGGTATTTGTTTCTCCTCTTTGAATATTTGTTTCTCCCTTTTTGGCATTCCTTTTCTAAAATCTTTGTTTGTCCTTTTCTGGCATATGCGTCTTTTTGAACATTTGTTTATCCTTTTTTGGCACTTACTTCTTTTTTAAATATTTGTTTTTCCTTTTTGGCATTTATATTTATTTTTCAAGTCTCAATTTGTTGGATTAGAAACAAGAAGCAACTGAGAGGCAAAAGGAGAAGCAAAAAAGAATAAAATGTCTTTTTTAAAAGGAGTTTTCTGAAAAATAAATCAAACGTTCCTCTTTAAACGTCTGAATCAGTTTCTAGCAAAAGCTAGCTGGCTAGCCAGCCAGCTCGCCAGCTAGCCAGCCAGTTAGACGGCTAGCTAGCCAGCCAGTTAGCTAGCTCACTAATGAGGCTCCCCCGGAGACGTGCGCTGCGAATTATAGGCTAGCCAGCTAGCTAGCCAGCTAGCCAGCCAGCTAGCTACACAGTCAGCCAGCTAGCTAGCTAGGTAGCCGCTGTCTAATTAAGCGGGCAACCGCAGGCACAAAGCAGCTAGGTGTAGAGCTAGTTAGCCAGCCATCTGGCGAGCTGGCTGGCTAGCCAGCCACGTAGCTAGCTAGCTAGCAAGCTAGCTAGCTAGCTACGCGTAGCCATTTAGCTAGCTAGCTAGCTGGCTATATGGCTGCGCGTGTAGACAGCTGGCTAACTGTCAGTGGCGCTAACAAGTCAGGAAGAAAGTATACGGCGGAGCTTTTCCCAGCGGCGGAGGGATTTCCAGGGCTGCTGCTGCAGCAGCAGCAGCTGCTGCTGCTGCTCTTGCTGCTGCCGCCAGGGGACGTGATGGTGGTGCTGCTGCAGCATGGAGCCTTCTTTCTGCTGCTTCTGCTTTGCTGCTGCTTCCAGCAAAGAAACCACAGCAGCAGCTGTTGCAGCAGAAGCGGCAGCAGCATGGATCACCAGCCGACACAGTTGCTGCCTGCTGCTGCTGCTGCTGCTGCGGGCGTGGTGAAGCACTGATATGTCTACTCCCAAGGCCCCCAGCCTGCAGCAGCAGCAGCAGAAACAGACGCAGCAGCAACAGAAGCAACAACAACAATGACAGTACTTCAAAGCAACAGCAGCAGCAAAAGACGCAGCGAAAGCAGCAGCAGCAATGACAACACCACCATTTCTTAGCAGTAGCAGCACAACTGGCAACCATTGAAGCAGCAGCACTAAATAAGACGCAGCAGCAAAAGCAGCAACAGAGCTAGCCTGAGCAGCAGCAGCAGCAGCAGCAGCAGCACAACCCTGAGCAGCAGCAGCAGCCGCAGCAGCAACAAGAACATACGCCTGCAAGTCTCTTGCTACGGCGAATAAAGTCGACTTTGGCTCCAACGCGCACTGGCTATCAGCTAGCTGCTGCAGATACTCCTCTTCAAGCAGGCACAGTCCTTGCTGCTGCTGCTGCTGCTGCTGCAGCGGGTAGTGGCGGCAGCGCCCCAGGGAGCTGCAGCCCTGGGGGTCCAGGTGGAAGTCCCCGCAGCTGCTGATGCGCCGCTGCAGCTCAGCTGTTGCTGCTTCTATTTCTGCTGCTGTTGCTGCTGCTGCTTCTGCTTCATCTTCTGCTGCAGAAGTGGTGCTAGGCCCATTGCTGCTGCTGCTGCTGCTGCTGCCCGTATTGCTGTTGCTGTTATCCTCTGCCGAGTGTCTCACTGGGCTCCACAGATGCTCTGGATGGAAACCTGCTGCCTCTGCTGCTGCCTCTGCTGCTGAGGTTGCTTCTGTTGCTGCTGCTGCTGCCACTTTCGCTGCATCTGCTACTGCTGCGTCTTGCTGCCGCTGCTGCTCAGGTATATCGCCAGCTGAGCTTGCGTTGAAGGGAGGGGGTGCAGCAGGATCGTTTGATGCTGCTACCGCCATTGCTGCTGCAGCAGCAGCAGTAGCAGCGGCAACGTGCAAGGCTGTTGCTAGGCGCATACTTGCTGCTGCAGTTGAGACTCCACAGCTGCGGGTTCAGGGTTTAAGCAGTCTAGGGTTTAGGGTTTAGAGCCTGGATTCCCGCTCCACGTGGGGTTTAAAGAGCTGCTGAACTGGCAGGAAGTGCGTGAAACCCCTTGCTGCCTTGCTGCTGCTGCTGCAGCGCAGCTGCTGATATTCTGACGCTGCTGCAACAGATAGGCAACAGACAGAAGCAAGCAGACAAAACTGCAGCAGCAGCAGAAACAAAAGGTGAGTAGCAAAGGTTGAAGAAGGAGGAAGGCTATGAAAGTCCTCAGCAAGAGCTGGTCTCGACCCCCCAGGGCCTTTCCTGCTGCTGTTGCTGCCGCTGCTGCCGCGTCTTATTAGCATAAAAAATGAACGTAGATGCCTTAATAAATGAATGAAATTCAATAGGTCACATCCTGAGGTAACTAGTGGGAGGCCCTGCTGGTCGTGCTGCTGCTGCTTCTGCTGCCCTTGCTGCTGTTTTTGCATGCATGGCGACTCGGCAGCGGGGCGCTATCAGATCTGGCAGCAGCAGCAGCAGCAACCACAGCAGCAAATTAAATAAGATGAAATTATTTTTAAGGAGACGCAGAAAGGCAGGACAAACGAACTCCTGTACACTCCAGCTCGCCTGAGGCGGTCTGTTGCTGTCGGCTGCGCCTCTATAGCAGAAGCAGCAGCAGCAGCAAGAGCAGCAGCAGCGGAAGCTACAGAGGAAAATCTGCAGAGAAACAGGAGCGATGAACAACATCCTATCAGAGGTACGTCTGCTGCTGCTCTGCTGCTGCCAACCGGATGAGCAGCACAGCAGGCTGCTGCAGCTGCTGTTGCTGCAGCTGCTGCTGCAGCTGCCACTGAAGCTAGCTAAGAGAGGAAGCAGCAGCATGGTCTTTAGCTTATAAGGGTTCTGCTTACGTATGGATTAATGCGGCAGCTGGGGCACAGGGAGCAGCAGCTGCAGCCGTTCTACGAGCGGCAGAAGTGGCAGCGAAAGCAGCAGCAGCAGCTGCCGCAGCAGCAACAACAGCAGCAACAGAAGCATGGGATGCTCTCTGCGCGCTTGTGCTGCTGCTGCTTCAGCCGCTGCAGCTTTTCGCTGCCGAATACTATGAGGCGGCAGGCTCCGCCGCCGCTGCTGCTGCTGCTGCAGCAAGAGCAGCAGACCCTGCTACCGAGCAGCAGCGAGAGTTCATTCAAGTCGCAAGCGAGCATCTGCTTTTGCTGCAGAAGCAAGAGCCCCGTCTGCTGCAGCAGCAGCACCCGCAGCAGCTGCATCGGCTGCTGACACACAACAACCCGGCGATCAAGGCCTTGGCTCTGTTCCTGCTGCTTACCAGATATGTGAGTTGCTGCTGCTGCTGTTGCTGCTGCTGCCTGTGAGCAAACTAGTGCGGGCCCTTTCGATGCTGCCGTTGCTGTTGCTGCTGCTGCTGCTGCAGTGCGGCCCGACACAGCAGCAGCAGCTGCAGAGCGAGTTGGAGGAGCTGAGCAGCACTTGCGCCCCCGCGGCATTTCTAGCAGCAGCAGCAGCAGCAGAAAGAGACCCCGCTGCTGCTCTTCGCATCTGCAGCAACTATTCCACAGACGAGCTGTAAGTGCAGTTGCTGCTGCTGCAGCAGTTGCTGCTGCACTCAGTGCCTTAGCGCTGAAATAGAATACAAACTCGTAAGTGTTGCTGCGGCTCCATCATGCTGCTGCTGCTGCTTGCTGTTCTAACCTGCTGCTGCTGCTGCTGCAGGCGCGCTCTACGGGTGCAGCTGCTGCTGCGGATACACCGCGACGACTCCGCCAAGGCGGAACTCGACTCTGAGATTGTGCGCAGACCCTAAGCCCTAAAGCCTAAACCCTAAGCCGTAAACCCTAGGCCCTAGGCCCTGAGCTAAAGGCTGAGGTAGATGCAGACCTGTTGGCTGTTATGATTTGTTTGCTGCTGCTGCTGCTGCTGCTGCTGCAGGCTTCAACAGCGTACGAGACGGCGGAGCAGTCCATTTCTCGAGCTCTGTGCCAGCTCTGTGAGCGCTAGGGTTTAGGGTTTAGGGTTTAGGGTTTAGCGACTGCGCCGGTGGTTAGGGGGTTCAGAGGCGCGCAGCCTCCCCGCACGTTCAAGGAAGCGTTGGCTTATCACTTTTTAGGATTTATTATTTAAAATTTGAATTGTTTTAAATGAATTTTATTTTTATTTCTATTTTATTTTAATTTGCTGCTGCTGCGCAGGGAACGGCGACTGCGCTGCTGCTGGCGCCTCGCTGGCCGACGCCGAGATTTCCCTCGTGCGCAAAGGGGGGGGCATTTCGGCAGTGATGGAAAACGGTGAATTTGCATTTAAATTGGAATTACTTATTTCTGTATTCATAAAATTATTTATTATTTTTAATTATTTTCATTATTTGCACTTATTTATCCTCGCCTTTTGCTGTTTGCTGCTGTTTCTCGCGCCTGACTGCCGCTCCCTGGTCCCACTCTGCCGTGCCTTTTGTTCTTCTTTCTTAAATTAAATTAGATTAAATTTAGTTGAATTAATTCACTTGAGTTTGGTTCAGTTTAGTTTAGTTCCATTAGTTGTTAGGCTTTTGTTCTATTTTTCTTTTTGCTGCCATTGATTTTATAACCAGCTTCCATATTTGTTCCGCTCAGATCTTTCTGGCTTTTCAAGTTTCTTCCATCTCTTTTGTTTCGTTGCTTATTTATTTCCTTATTTCCTTCGAACTTTTGGGCTATCTGGCTAGCTATCTGGCTAGCCATCTGGCTAGCTAGCTAGCTAGCTATCTGGCTGGCTAAATAGCCTGCTGGGCAATTCTAACTTGCTGGCTAGCTGGCAAGCTGACGAGCTAGCTAGCCACCTAGCTGGCTGCCTTCAGAGCTCTCCAGTTAGGCACGGCGAAACAGCTAGCTAGCCAGCTAGCTAGACAGCTAGCTAGACAGTCAGCTACACAGCTAGGTAGCCTAATAGCTAGACAGCTAGCTAGCCGTCCAGATATACAGCTAGCTATACATCTAGCTAGACAGCTAGCTGTACAGATAGCTGGAGAGCTAGCTAGGCAGCTGGCTAGCCAACTAGCTAGCGAGCTATCTAGCTAGCCAATCACGGCTTGTGGCTTGTGTTCAGCGCGCGCCGTCTGCGCGATGCAGCGAGGGGACTTTCAAACAGCAATTGAGCTGCTGACGAATTTACTTGCTGTTGTCAGTGCCGTTTGCTACTGCTGCTGTTTGCTGCTGCTGCTGCTGTTTGCTGTTGCTGCTTTTTGCGGCTGCTGCGGTTTATTGCTGCTCTTTGCTTCCTCTCCGTCTTTTTTGCTGCTCTCTGCTGCGGCTGCACGCGTCTGTTTCGTCCCTGTGCTCGTGAGTGCCTTTGCTCCTTTCCTTCCTCCGGGTTGCTGCTTCTGCTGCTGCTGTGCTGCTGTGGCTGCCAGCCACGCGCCTCCTGATGTCCGCGCCGCCGACATCGCGCTCCGCTGCTGCTGCTGCTGCTGCAGGCGCCATGGGATGAGACAGCGTTGAGCAATGCAGTTTGCTGCTGGCGGCATTTGCAAAAAGACAAAACAGCAGAAGAGTTATCTGAGTGCGTGGGGCTGTTGGAGTGTTTGTACACCCCAAGTTGCAGACATTGCAGGCAGCACTCGGGAGGTTCTCTTTGCCTCATTTCTTTCTTTCTTTGAATTTATATATTTAATTTTAATTTAAATTGTTAAATCTTTGTCCAAACGTAATGCCTCTTCTTTGGATTAACTGTTGGCCGCTTATCTAATGCGGTTGCCACTTGCGGGGCGCTTTTTCTTGTGCTGCTGCTGCTGCTGCTGCTTTGGTGCAATTAATGTGCCTCCTTATTGTCTTGTTTTTCCCCTGATTTGCTGCTGCTGCTGCTGCTGCAGCCGCCTCCTGACAGAATTTCCGCGGAACTTCCTTTCAGTGCAGCGCCGGCGCCTGCGGGACGCGTTTGCTGCAGAAGCAGCAGCAGACTGTCCGCTGTGAGCCCTTGCTGCTGCTCCAGCTGTTTGCTGCAATAGCAAAGCAAACAGCAGCAGCCGCTGCAGCAGCTGCCGGAGCAGCAGCTGCGGCAGCAGCAGCTGCAGCAGCGGCAGTTGGAATGTTATTGCTGTCCACGGGGCGCCTTTCTGGCGCTAGAAATTCTTTTTTCTTTGAACGTACAGGCACACGAATGCCTTATTGCTGCTGCTGCTGCTGCTGTTGAGAAGTACTTTGCTGCTGCCGCTGTTGCTCTGAAGGACTTTTCAGTTGCTGCTGCTGCCGCTGCTTCTAATAACGATGTGAAATGGGACGAAAACGTCAAATGTAACGACAGCGCTGCAGCAGCAGCAAAAACACAAGCATATAGGCCGTTGCTGCAGCAGCATGTGCTGCAGCTGCAGCAGCACGAACAACTGCAGCGGCTTGCGCTGCAGCTGCCGCAGATGCGGCAGCTGCTACACTTCTAGCAGCAGCGGCTGATGCTGCCGCTTCAGGCTCACTGCGGCACCTGTGGCACTCGCAGCTGGAGCAGCAGTGCTATTAATGCTGCTGCTGCTGCTGCTGCCAGCAGGAAGCATTGCTGCTGCTGCTGGCGAAACAGCAGCAGCAGCAGCAGCCGCAGCCGCTTCCTAACTAAAGAGAGATATGAATACAGCTGACACAGCAGCCAGCTGCTGTCGCACTGCAGCAGCCGAAGACTGCTGCTCCCTGCTGCTGCTGCTGCTGCTTCCGTCCGGAGCAGCAGCAGCAGCAGCGGCTGCACGTGAAAGAAGACAAACCAGCAGCGACGCCTCAGAAAGTGACGCCGGCTGCAGCAGGGACTCCCCGCTGCTGCTGCTGCTGCTGGTGCTTCGAAGAAGCAGCGCTGCTGCCGAGACAACTGCAGCACTAGCCTCGGAGCCTCTTTGCTGCTGCTGCTGCAGCAGGCATCCACTGCGCAGCAGCTCCAGCAACTCCTCTTTCTGCAGCAATGGCAAATAGAAAACAGCCAAAGAAACACCAGCAGAATTAGAGCAGCAGCAGCAGCACTGGTAGCAGCAAGAACAACACTGTGGTCATACACAAGGCTCGTCAAAGCAGCAGTGGCACCGCAGCAGCAGCAGCACCACCACCACCACCAACAAACCCAGCCTCACTGCTGATGGCAAAAGTTTGCAAAGGCGCAGAGCTGCTGCTGCTGCCTTTAGCTGCACACCCCACATCCGCAGTCTTGACAGATGCCCCTTGGCTGCTGCCTCTGCTACTGCTGCTGCTGCTGCTGCAGCGTCTGCTGCTCCTGTATCTGCTGCCCTTGCTGCTGCTGCAACAATGGCCGAGATCGAGCACGGTGAGCAGTATGGCTCCTTGCTGCTGCTGCTGCTCCTCGTTGAAACCTCTGCTGTGCCTCTGCTGCGTAGGCTGCTGCTGCATGTACTGTTCCTGTCTGTGCTGCTGCTGCTGCTGCTTGCGCCAGCGGCCAGAAGCACCAAAGGCAGCAGCACTCCCGCCTGCTGCAGCTTCTCCCCAGCGCCTCTTGCAGCAGCGCCAACAGCAGCAGCAGTGCCAGCAGCACTGCCTTCCTGAGGCGTCTCCTCCTCCGTTTCTTCAGCCGCTTCAGCAGCAGCAACAGCAGCAACTGCTGCAGCAGCAGCAGCTGCTGCTGCTGCGCTCTGCGGCCGCTCTTCCGTCGCTGCAGCGTCGCCTTCAAGCCGGCACAAGTCAAGTGCTGCTGCAGCGATCCTCCCATACAGGTATTTGTTGCTGCTGCTGCGGCCGCAGGTGCCGCTGCTGTGCAGCAGACACAGCAGCACAAACACGGAACGCAGAGCTGAGAGCCAGAGAGTTGGAAGCTTCGTGCTGCTGCTGCTGCTGCAGCAGGCTCCAGCTCGGCAAAGTGGCCTTAAAACCCTTGTGGATTCTTCCTGCAGCAACTGCAGCAGCGGGGCAACCAGCAAGACATGTTGCTGCTGCTGCTGCCGCAGAGTCATAGCAGCTTTTGGAGGCTGCTGCAACAGCGTGAGAATGCTTGCTGCCGCTGCTGTGTCTAGCAGCAGAAGCAGCAACTTCAAAGTCTCTTCTCGCAGCAGCGCAGCGAAGTGCAGCTGCAGAAGCAGCTGCTGCCACAGCATTCCTGCTGCTGCTGCTGCTGCTTCGGCTGCTTCTGCAGTGGCCCTTTGCAGCGTCTCTACACCGCCCCTTCCGGATACGCTTGCTGCTGCTCTTTCAGTCATTTCTGCTGCTCCGTCAGAAACACAAGAGGCAGCAGCAGCAGCAGGCGCTGAAGTAGCAGCAGCAGTAGCAGCAGCAGCAGGTGCAGCACCAACAGGGGAGAGAGGAAGACAAGGGGGGACGTTGTGTGCTGCTCCAGTGTCTTGGCAGCAGCAGCGCTCCTGTGTCTCTCCACAGCACCAGCAAATCCCGCTACTGCTGCTGCTGCTGCTGTTGCTGCTGCGCGACTTCAGCAGCCCCCACGGGCTATCTTGCTGCAGCAGCAGCAGCGCAATTCCCTGCCACATGCAGTGCAGCACCTCCTTGTACACAGCAACAGACCGCCAATGCTTGTTTTGCTGCTGCAACAGCAGCAGCTGCTGCTGCTGTTGACGGTCCGGAGAGTTTCTGCTGCTGCGTGGGGCGAAAGCGTACAGCAAAGCTTGGACAGTGCCGGGGACGTTCCAGTGCTGTGCAGCAGCAGCAGCAGCAGCAGCAGCAGCCTCTGCTTCTCCTTCGCCATCACTACCGTTAAGGTGTTTTGAGCCTCTCCTGCTGCTCAGCCGACGCTTTCTGCTGCTGCTGCTGCTGAGCCGACGCTTTCTGCTGCTGCTGCTGCTGCTGTTGCTACTTTTGCTTGCAGTGCGCTTCATGTTCTTGCTGCAGCTGCTGCTCAGAGCCAGCGAATCGGAAAGCTTCCTGCGGCGCCACGCCGAGCGCGCTAAGTCTAGCTGCACTTCACCCTGTTGCTGCAATTGCTGCTGCAGCAGCTGCTGCTGCTGCTGTGGACTGATTAAGTCAGGTGCACTGATTGCTCCAGAGGAAGAAGCAGTGCCCGGGAGAAGCCTTCCCACCTCTGCGGCTGCTTCTGCAGCAGCTGCTCCAGCATCAGAAGCAGCTGCTGCTGCTTCTATCGCATCTGCTGCTTCTGCTGCAGCAGCAGCCAAAGAGCTCACAGAAAAGCCACCACAGCGCAAATGGTCAAGTGCTTCCGCTGCAGCAGCTGCGCCGCTGCAGTAAATTGCAGCCGCATCTGCCACGGTTGGGGAGTCGTCGCTCTGCTGCTGCTGCTGCTGCTGCAGTCGCTGCAGCTGCAGCTGCATTTGCTGGCGTATGGTGTGCAGCAGTTGCAAGAGCACCTCTATGTCTCTTTCCACGCTCCGGCCTGCAAACTCAACAAACACATATATTGATACAGTTGCTGCAGGCTGCTGCTGCTGCTGCTGCTGTTGCTGCTGCTGTTACGGCCGCGGCTGGCCTGCTGTTGTAGGTGCAACGCTGCGCTATAGCGGCAGCAGCAGCCTCTCCCACCTGATTTCTGCATATAGAGACGCAGCAGCAACAGATGCGGCTTCGCTGGCAGCAGGAGAGGAAGCTGCTGGTCTGCCAGCAGCACTTCACGCGTCCGCAGCAGCAGCCAAGCTGCTGCTGTCCCTGCTGCGGGGGGCTGCTGCCGCAGCAGCAGCCGCTGCTGCCGCTGCTCTCCACAGGCCTCCTCCGGTCCTTCAACAGGTGCATACATGCTGCTGCAGCTCCAGTTGCCGCTGCTGCTGCTGCCGCTGCTGCAGCAACGCGTCAGGCTCGTCAAGCTTGTGCGGCAGTGGTGCAGCAACTGCTGCCGCGCTGCTGATTGCCTGCAGGAGCAGCAGCAGCAGCCGCACACAGGGCGTAAAACATGAGAGCACACAAGCTTCTTTGTAGAGTGAGTTTTTCAGCTGCCGCTGCTGCTCTCGCTGCTGCTGCTCCTGCTGCTCCTGCTGCTGCTGCTCTGCCTACCTTGTAGCACGACGCCACTGCTGCAGATCCTGCAGCAGCAGCTGCTGCTGCCACTGCAGCGCTGCTGTGAGAACCTCCAGTTGCTGCTGTTTTCCTTCTGCGCACATGAGCTGCAGCGCCTCGCGGGCAGCCGAGAGTTCAGCAGCAGGCCCTGCAACAGCAGCTGCTGCTGCGCCTGCGGCCTGCAGCAGCTGGAGCTGCAGCAGCAGCACTCGTTGCAGCTGCTGCAGCTGCTGTTGCTGCGCATTGTTGAAGGCGCTGGGGCAGCTGTTTTGTGTCTGCTGCTGAAGCCACAGTTGCTGCAGCAGCCGCAGGCATGCGCGTCCCCCAGAAGGTGCTGCCTGCAGCTTAGAACCTGCTGTTGCTGCGGCTGCTGCACCTGCTGCTGCAGCTGCTGCAATTGATGCTGCAGCAAATAAGCCACCGCCGACCCACAAGAGTAGCAGCAAAGTGGATGCTTCCTCTGTAGGGAGCGGGCTCTGCTGCGCTGCCACAATCTGCTTCTGCGGCTGCTGCTGCTGCTGCGTGCTTCGCAGCAATGTCGCGAGGAGTTGCGTCGAGTAAAAGCTTATAGCATATGCTTCAGCAGCAGCAGTGCAGCACTGTTGCTGTTGCTGCTGCTGCTGGCCTGCGTGCCTGATGAGGTGCAGCAGCAGCACCATGCCAATGCCGGTGCTGCTGACCGTGTACTCCAGCATGGCAGCAACTGCTGCTGCTTCTGTTGCGCCGCCCTCTGCTGCTGCTGCCGCGGCTGCTGCTTCAGGCTGCAGCAAGTCCCACAGCAGTGGCAGCAGCAGCAGCAAGCAACAGCGCGAGGAAGCCGGGAACATCTCGCAGGTGCAGCCTGCTGCTGCTTCTGCTGAACACTTTTCCTGTTTCTGCTGCTGCCATGCATTCCCTCTAACAGTCTGCTGCAGCAGGCCATTCGCCATAATACTCCTAAGCCAAAGCAAGTCACACAGAACCTCCAAGCTCCTGCTGCTGCCGCTGCTGCAACTTCTGGTGCTACTGCTGCTGCTGCTACTTGTATTGCTGCTACTTCTGCTGCTGCTATTTCATCTGCTGCAAATTCTGCTGGTGCCAGTTTTGCTGCTGCTACTTCTGCTGCTCCATCGCCATCTACTATTGCTAGTTTGCTTCTTTTATTGCTGCGGCCGCTCCTCTCTGTTGGCCCTGTTCTTTCTGATGTTGCCGCTTTCGCCCGCTGCTGCTGCTGCTTTTTGCTTGTACTTTTGATCCTGCTACACCTGCTGCTACTTCTGTTGCTGTATTTACTGCTGCCTCTTTTCATGCTGTAGTTCTGCCTGCCGCTGCCCTTTCCGCTGCTGGTTGTTCTGCAGCAGCAGCAGCAGCAGCAGCAGCAGCTGCTGCTGCTGCTGCTGCACTGTGCGTCTACTCACCGCACGGCGATGCTGGCAGCGAGGGCCAACGCCTTCAGAAACGCCGCGGCGCCCAGCTCCCGGTCCTCGAGTGGGCTCTGCGGACAAAAGGCAGGACAAGGCTAAAGGCCATAAGCATTCGGCAGCAGCAGCAGAAGCTACTGCTGCTGCTGCTGCAGCAGCAGCACCAGGCTCTACACGCTGCAGGTAGCATTTCTTGTTCGCTAAATCAGTTCCCTAGGCACCAGCTACTGCGCCCCCAGCAACGCACGGTCTTGCACAGCTCCACGCCAGCCCGCAGCGCAGCAACAACAGCCTGCAGCAGCAGCAGTAACAGCAGCAGCAGCAGCAGTGTTGACACTGAAAACGCATGCAGGCAACAGAATGGCCCAAAACAGCATCGAGCGGTGATACCTGCACGGCTACGTCCTTCTGCGCATTCTGCTGCAGCAGCTGCTGCTGCAGCTTGCTGTACACTGCCCACCTCGCACAGAAGAGGCGACGGTTGCTGCTGCAGTTGCTGCAGCAGCAGCTGAAGCAGTGGCATCAACAAAACCGTACGTTGTTGTTTGCCGCTGCCCCAAATTTGCAGCTGCGCCGCCTCGTGCTGCCTCTGCTGCTGCTGCTGCCGCTGCTGCTGCCATCTGTTGCAGTGGGAGCCCAGCAGCGCGAGGCGCTGCTGCAGCACGGCAACAACGCCAACGACGCGCTGGTACAAGGGATTGTCTGCAACAGCTGTTGTTGCTGCTGCTGCATTTGTGGCTGCAGCTGACGCTGCTGGTGAGCTCTCTTCTCCGTGCTGCTGCTGGTCAGCAGCAGCAGAAGGCGTAGCAGCAGCAGAAAGCGTAGCAGCAGCAGAAGGCGTAGCAGCTGCATAAGGCGCAGCAGCAGCTGCGGTCACCGAGTCAACCAAAGCCTACAAGTGCAGCAGCAGTAGCGCAAGCACCAGCAGATTCCAAAGCAGCACTTTCAAAGTCGCTTTTGCTGCTGCTGCTTCCGCGCTCTGTGGGCAAGTCGACTCCAGCAACAGCTCACTTTCAGCGTTGCTGCGAAGACAGCAGGCGTAGCAGCAACCTGCCGCAGCGCGAAACTGCTGCTGCCCCAGAACCCTGCCTTGCTGCCTCTGCTGCTGCCGCTGCTGCCGCTGCATCCTTCTTTGAGACTTGCAAGCAGCGAGACAGCAGGCGACTGCTGCTGTCTGCACATTTGCACACTTAAAGGCCTCAGGTACAGGCCGCCAACGAACTCGTCTGCAGCAGCAGCAGCAGCAGCTACAGTACGCGATAGGAAGGCAGCAGATTCCAGCAGAATGCCTCAGCAGCAGACAAGCATAGGGCTGTCTAACCAACGGGACGCCTAGCTAGCTAGCTGGAAGGCTAGCTGGCTAGCTAGCTGGCGAGGCAGTTTCTAGCTGGCTTTTTAGTTCTGACTCCATCTCTTTGCTCTAGCTGGTGTTGCGTTCTGCTGTTGCTGCTGCTGCTGCTGCTCACTCAGCATGTCACTAAATGCCCTCAGCAGCTTCAGCAAACCCGACTCGCTACTTTAGGGTATTTGCGCAAAGAGCTAAGGCCTCAAACTTAGGGTTTAGGGTTTGAATCTTAGGGTGGGGGGCTTAGGGCTTTTAGCCTAGGGTTTAGAGTTTAGCGTTTTGTGTTTAAAGGTCAGCATTCAAAAGCTGGAGCCTAGGACGTAGGGTTTAGGGTTTAGAGCCAGGCATTTAAGGCTTAGAGCGTAGGCCTTGGGGTCTAGGACTTAGGGTTTAGGGTTTGAAGCTGAGGGTTAAGGGCTTAGCGCCTAGGGTTTAGGGTTTAGCGTCCAGGGTTAGTTAGGGTTTAAAGAACAGAGTTTGCTGCGGGTTTACTGGTGCGCAAAGAAGGGTGCTGATAGTGAAAACCCTCGGCAGCGAGAAAACTCTCCAGGCGCCACACAGGCAGCAAAATCCTGCTGCAGTCTACGCTGCTGCTGCTGCTGCTGCTGCTGCTACTGGGTATCTGTGCTGCTGCAGGGCGGCTCATGTCGATGCCAGCCAGGCTGAGAAGCAGCTGGCGCGCCTGAAGCAGCACATGACAGCAGCAGCAGCAGCAGAAAGCACAGCAACGGACAATATTTCATGCAACAATGGTGATGCAGCAGCGATAGCAGCAGCGTGCGGCCTGACAAACACAGCGCCAGCGCTACTCCATCAGAAGCAGCAAGGCAGCAGTAGCAGCAGCAGCAGCAGCAACAGCAAAAGGGTGGTTACAGCAAATGCGCACTGTCTCCGCATGCACTGCTTCGCGAGCCGATGGGCCCCAGACGCATTCTGCGGTGTCAGAACACCCCAGCAGCAAATGCACAAAGCGGCAGAGCTGCTGAGTTGTGCAGGCAGCTGAAGGAGTCCAGCCTGCTGCTGCCGCTGCTGCTGTTGCGGGTCCAGCGGCCGCAGCGCCCTTGCTGCTGCTGCCATCCAGAAGAGACAGCTGCAGCAGCCTAAGGCAGCCGCAGGCGCAACAGTGTCTTTGCTGCGGCAGCAGCTGCAGCAGCAATGCGGGCGTCAGCAGCTGCGCAAGGGCCTTCACTGCCTGCAGCAGCAGCAGGGCAAGAGCTGCTGCCCCAGATGAGCAAAGATAGCATTGATGTCAAGGCACAGCAGCAGCTACGCCAGCAGCAGCTGCAGCAGCAACCGGCGCGCAGCACGAGGGCCAGCAGCAGATGCATACGGTTGCAGCAGCAGCAGGGCCAGTATCGGCAGCGAACGCGGAGCAGGCGACAGCAGCAGCAAAACGACACACTAAAACAACAGCTGCTGAAGCGTACGCAGCAGTCGCTGCAGCAGAGAAGCGGAGCAGCAGCAGCAGCAGCAGGGTCTTACCTGCTTGTTCGGGCGATTCCACTCAAGCGAGTTTCCTCTCAGCCAAATCCAGTGGCGTCTGTTGTCTGTCTTCTCAACAGCTACCTCAGCGTCAGCAGCAGGAGCAGCAGCAGCAACAGCAGCAGCAGCAGCTGCTGCTGTTCCTGCTGTTGTTCCCGCCACTGCTGTAGTAGCAGCAGGCACAGCAGCAGAGAAGCAACAGTCAAGAGCCACTGCAGCAAAGTTGCTGCACCGGGGTGCCACGCCAACGAAAGCAGCAAGGACCTCCGCCAGCAGCAAGCGAACCTCTAGGCGCTGCACCGCTGCTGCTGCTGCTGCTGCTGGTTTTGCTGCTTCTGCTATTGCTGCTGTTGCTGCTGCCGTTGCTGCCAGGCGAGGGCCATTGGCACAACGCGACCCTTGCTGTTGCTCGCCTGTCTGATGCTGTTGCTGCTGCTGCTTCTGCGGAGTTGTATCTCCGCGCAGCAGCAGCAACTGCAGCCTGCAGCAGCAACACACAAAACGGCTCCCCATTCTGCTATTTTATGCTGTTTTTGCTGCAGCTGCTGCTGCAGCTGCTGCTGCAGCTGCTGCTGCAGCTGCTGCTGCAGCTGCCTCTGCAGTTGCTGGCAGAAGCCAACGGCATCTCTAAGTATAGCAGCGAAGCAAAAGCAAGGAATAGGGTCCCAGGTGTACGTACACCAGAAGAGGGACCCCATGGCGCAGCAGTCGCAGCTGCGAAGACTTCTCGGAGCAGAGCAGCAGCAAGCAGCGCAGCAGCAGCTCGATGCAGTTGCTGCAGCAATAAACAGTGCCGTTGCTGCTGCTGCTGCTGCTGCCGCTGCTCGTGTGCACCTCTGCCAGCAGGAGCAACAGGCCCTCAGTTAGCGTGTAGCAGCACAAAAGACGCAAACACCGCCACCTTTGCTGCAGCTGGCGCCGCTGCTGCAGCTCAGTAGTGCAGGTTTTCCCATAGCTGGCGAGGCCGTTACTACTCCCGTTGCCGCTGCTGCTGCTGCTGCTGCCTTTGCTGGGCGACGTCGCGGCGTCGCTGAAGCCCGCAGGCGCCTCCGCGAGCCTCGAGTTGCTGCTGCCTTCGTTGCTGCCGCTGCTGCAGCAGCAGCTGCTGCTGCTGCTCGCCCACGTCGGGGTGGCAGCCACAGCAGCATGTCGGGCAAGCGCAGCATTAGCAACAAGGCAATGGACTGCAGCAGCACCGCCACCGCAGCCGCAGCAGCGAAGGCGGGAGCATCAGCAGCAGCAGCAGGCTTAGCGCGCAACAGCATAGATGGACGCTGATAGCCTCGTAGCACGAAAAGCAGCAGCAGCAGCAGCAGTAGCAGCGTCGGCACCAGGATAAAGGCCAACAGCAACAGTAGCAGCAGCAGCAGGCTTCGCGACCCACCTATTTCCAAAGCTGTCCGACGCAAGTGTGTCTCCTGCTGCTGCTGCTGCTGCTGCTGTTGTCCACGCGTTGCTGCGTTGCGTGGAAATGAGGCAGCAAATGCCGACAACGACAGCACCGTGAGCTGCTCGGAGGAATCATCATGCAGCAAACTACTTATCTGCCTGCTGCTGGAGCTGGCTCGCTGCTTCTCCTGCTGCTGCTTATTTTGTCCCTGCGGCTGCTGGCCGTGGGCCTCGTCTGCAGCAGAGCCAGTTGCGGGGGAGCTGCTGCTGTCGGCAGTTGCTGCACTGCTCTTTGTCGCTAGGCCGCTCCTCCTGCTGCAGCTCTTGCTGCAGTTGCTGCTTCTGCTGCAGTTGCTGCTCCTGCTGCTGGGCCTGCTCGTCCCCGAGCTAGCTCTGCTGCTCGTGCTTCTGTTGCTGCTCCTAGGAGTGCTCGCAGCGGCTGCTTGCTGCAGATGCTGCCGCAGCTGCTCCAGCAGCCAATACTTTTCGCTCTGATGCTGCTGCGCCTGCTGCTGCGCGGACTGCTGCTGTTGTTGGGCGCTGTACTGAAGCTCCTGCAGCAGCAACAGGAGCAGCTCTATGACGCCTGACCAGAGGATCCGCTGCAGCAGTAGTGGGCGTGAGGTTGCTGCTGCTGCCTGTGCCAGACCTAGAAGCAGCAGCACTTGTAGTAGCTGCACTGATTGCAGCAGCAGCGCGGCCGGCAGCAGCCAACGGCTACGGAGGACAGACTTGATTTGCTGCAGCAGCTGCTGCTGCAAGCAGCAGACTCCGCAGCAGCAATCCGCCTCTCCGGCTTCTGGCGCTGCTGCCGTTCCCGCTGCTTTCCTCAAGGGGCTGCTGCTGTAGCTGCACCGCGCGAAGATGTTCGGAAGCAGCAGCAAAAGCAGCTGCTGAAGGCGTAGCACATGCATTAAATCCAGATCGCTGCATAGCCGCCTTGAGCAGCAAATGGCTTTGCTGTGTCCGCTGCTGCTGCTGCTGCTGCTGCTGTTTGTTCCTGGCTGCTGCATCATTCTTTCAAATTGCACGCGGAAGCAACGCAGCAGCTGCAGCAGCAGCACTACGGGGCGCGGCTGCTGCTGTTGCTCCTGCTCCTGCTTCTGCGGCTGCTGCTGCAGCGGTACGCGCCAACATTTGTGCGGCAGCTGGGGCGGCCGTTGGCGTCGCAGCGGTAGCAGCGCCAGCTCAAGGAGCACTTCGTCTTGCTGCTGCAGAGCCGAGTGACACCACAAGTGCAGCGAAGCTTCATACGTTGAAGCTATTGCTGCTGCTGTTGCTTTTGCTGCTGCTGCTGCCGTGTCCATTTGTGCTGCTGCTGCTGTGTCTGCTTGCGCAAATGCTGCTGTCTCTGCCTCTGCTGCTGCCTCTTGAAAAACATCTGCAACGCCGTCGCTGGCTTGCTGGAGCACTTGCTGCTGGGCATCACTCAAGAGCTGCTGCTGCTGTATGTGCTGCTGCTGCAGTTGCTGCATCTGCTGTTTTTCTATGTTGTGGTAGGGGCAGAGAGAGCCCCAGGTCCGACGAGATTTCTCAAGCTCCTGCTGTTGCTGCTGCTGCTGCTGCTGGTGCTCCTTCAGTTGCTGCAGCAGACGGCCCCACAGGTCCTCAGCCCTGCGTAGCGTGACAGCCACAAAAAGTGTCCCAGCCACCAACATCAGCGACAGCTGCGGCTGCTGCACATGCACTAGAGCACAGCGCTGCATGCCAGCCACTTTCGCAGCAGCAGCAGCAGCAGCTGCTGCTGCTGCTGCTGCTGCAGCAGGCATTGCAGCAGCGCTGGTCGTAGATGCCCCTACTGCAATGTGGTGCGTCTGCTCTCGAGACACCCCCAGCGCTGCTGCAAAGCTGAGCTCTCCGTGCGCCTCCTCGCTGCTGCTGCTGCTGCTTTCCCGCTGCAGCAAGTTGCTGATGGGCTCGCAGAGCTGCTGTAGCAGCTGTTGCTGAAGGGTGCTGTTCCAAATGAGCTGGGGTGTCTCAACACTGCCCCCCGCAGCACAGAAGGCGAACAGATCCGCCAGTGCTACAGGCCCGCGCTGCGCACGCCGAGTTGCTGCTGCTGCTGCTGCTTCTGGTTTTACAGGTGTTCCTGCTGCTGTTGCTGCGTCTGGTGCTGCTGCAGCAGTCAGCGCCAGCGAAGCCTCGCAGTGCAGCAAACGGACAAGGGGACTCGGCAGGAGCCGGCATAGGAAATGTGTGCCTAAGGCCGACCCGCCGCAGCAACAGCAGCAGCAGCAGGCGTCGCCCTCCTTCTCTTCCCTGCAGCTGCCGTTGCAGCAGCAGCTGCTGCTGCTGGGCCTCACCTTTATAGCGTTGAGGGCAGCAGCAACGCCTCGCAGCACTCTGCATGCAGCCACCCGAGTAGCAAGCCCCGAAGATACGCTGCAGCTCGTTGGCCACGACACCTGCTTGCTGCTGCTCTCCTTTAGGCTGCAGTTTCTGCTGCTGCTGCTCGCAGCGCCCAAATCTAGTCTGGAAGCAGCAGCGCAGCAGATTGGCAGGGCTGCCTCTTGTAGAAGCAAAAGAGAGACAGCTGGGTATCGGCGCAGCAGCAGCAGCAGTAACTTCGATGCTCCGACTGCCAGCCGCTCATGCTGCTGCGGCAACAGTAACAGCAGCAGCAGCTGCTGCAGTGTGCAGCGGCTGCAGCACAGGTGGCGAGTAAGCGCTGAGCTGTACGTACACCCCAGAAATAGCACCCGCAATGAGACAGATGCTTCTGCTGGAGAGATCCTTGCAACGGCAAATTTTGCTTCAGGAGGTAGCAGCAGCAATGGCTGCTGCTGCGGCTGCTGCTGCTTCTGCTGCTGCTGCTGCTGCTGCTGCCCCTGCTGCTCCTGCTGTTGCTGCTGGTGCTCTTCATGATGGTGCTGCTGAAGCGGCTCTGCACCATCCAGGGACCCAGCACCCGCTCCGCGCTGCAGCCACTGCCGCTGTAGCAAGGTGCAGCCTGTTTGCTGCTGCTGCTGCTGCTGCGCTAAGTGTTGCTTCTTCGCGATTGGCCGGCCGCACCGAGATGCTGCTGCTGTTGCTGTTGCCGCTGCTGCTGCCGCCGTTGCTTCAACGCTCTTCATGCCATGAAGCACGTGCGGATCTCTTCTGCCGTTGCTGCGCTTGCTGCGCTTTCCTGTGCCACTGCTGCTGCTGGTGTTGCTACTGCTGCTGCACACGCTGTGGCCGCGTCTACTGCCTCGGCTGCAGGTCAAACAGTCTGAGTATTTTTCAGAAACCTTAGTACTTAGAAGGGACGGCAGCAATAAGGTTTCTTGCTGCTCTTGCTGTTGCTCTAGCTGCTGCTGCTGCTGCTGCGGCTGTGCTCTCAAGGGCGAGAGCCTCGTTCTGTGCACAGCTGAGCGTCGAAGAGTCTTCCTCTTCGCTCTGCTACTGCTGCTGTCCCGCGTGCTTCCGTTGCCGCTGCTGCCCTTGCTGGTCCTCTTTTTGCTGCTGCTCGCTCTGCTGCTGCATCTGCTGCTGCAGTGACTGGCGCCGCAGTCCCGCCGTGTTGCTGCTTGACTGGGAGCCGCCAGATTGTCGCAGTCAGTGCTGCCAATATTCGCGCGCACGTCAGTTCTTGCTGCAGCAGCAGCAGCAGCTGCTGCTGCTGCTGCTGCTGTTGCCTTTGCGGCTGCTGGCTCCGCTGCTGCCTTCCAAACAGGCGGCAACAACAAAGCCTCCGTCGCCAGAAAGGCACTCGTGCGCCGATTCCTGCTGCTGTCGTTGCTAAGGGCTGCGCCGCGTTGCTCATGCTGCTCGCAGACCTTGGAGTGGAGCTGCAGCAGCTCCTGTGACACGAATGCGCGCAGCAGCAGCAGCAGCACAGAATGTCCACCGCACTGTAGCAGCAGCTGCACAAGGCGTTGCCGTTGCAGCCGCTGCTGCTGCCTGCCTGCAGCAAGCAGCAGCAGCAACACATTCAGGGCAAGGCAGCGAGCCGCTGGTAGCAGCCCGCCGCCCTGTTGCAGCAGAGCCACTGCAATCTCAATTCCTTCTAAGTAGACCCCTTGTGGTGCTGCTGCTCCTGCTGCTGCTGCTCCTGCTGCTGCTGCTGCTGCCGGCGCCGCTGGGGGTGACACAGAAAACCAGTCGCGCAGCAAATGGGCGTCGTGGCTGCTCATGTTGTTGGCCAGCTGCAGCGCTTGGGGGTAGCACTGCAGCAGCCGCTGCCACAGCAGCAGCAGCAGCGGCAAGGGAGCAGCAGCCGGGGCTGCAGAGTGCAGCAGCACCTGCTGCATGACAGCCTGCGGGAAGCGGCAGATGCAGTGGAAGCATACGCTTGCAGCAGCAGCACCAGCAGCGGAAATCACACCAGCATTGGCAGCAGACGCGGCAGACGCAGCAGCAAGGGCAGCGGCAGTGCAGCCGCACAAGGAATGCAAGCAGCAACGCAGCAGCAGCAGAATCCTACTCTGCACATCGCCGGAGGGTCCGTAACAATTGTTGCTGCTGCAGCGTGCTGCAGAAGCAGCAGTTCCTCTCCACCGCGCTGCAAAACAGAGCAAGCTGCTCCTTCTGCAAGGCGAGCAGCTGCAGCAGCTGCAGCTGCCGCAGCAACTGCAGCAGCCGGATCAGCCTGCCTTGCTGCTGTAGCTGGCTCTTCGCTCACTAGTTCGAAGCTGGCCAAGCTGCTGCTCCCCTTGCTCCTGCTGCTGCTGCTGCCATGGCTGCAGCCAGTGCTGCTGCCTCCGTGCTTGCGCACAGGATGCAGGTCAAGCAGCTCCCACTCCCAGGCATCGGCGGCGCTGCTGCTGCTGCTCCTGCTGCCGGCTAAGGCAGCAGCAGAAGCTGCGCGGCGTCTTCTTTGCATGCGCTGCAGCAGCGACAGGCGACGCACAAGCTGCAAGAGCTCAGCAGGTCGCAAGAGCGCTCTGCAGCCAACCCACCCCTGCTGCTGCTGCCGCTGCTGCTCGTCACCGAGTCCTCGAGGCATCCTCAGGAAGATCTGGTACTGTGGAACCTGTTGCTGCTGTTGCTGTAGTTCTGGCTTCTGCTGCTGCTGCACGTGCAGCAGCAGCAAAGAACCCCAGTCCTCCTGCTGCAGCTCCGCGTATAGCCCGCCGCAAAGGCCTCGAAAGAGCAGCAGATCCTCCCACTGCTGCTGCAGCAGCAGCAACAAAGCCGCGGTGTATTTGCTGCTGTCGCTGCAGTCCTGCTGCTGCGGCTGCCAAAGGGCTTGCTGCAGCGCAGAGGCAAAGAGTCGCCACTTCAGGGGAGGCTCCCAGCTGCTGCAGGGCGACAGCAGCTTCTCGCCTTTGCTGCTGCTGCTGCACTCCCATCCCAGCGTTGTATCTCCTTTTGCTGCTGAGGATGTAGACAGCTGCCTCCTTACAATCGGGCAGACAGCGCCGTCGTTGCTGCTGCTGCTGTTGCGGAAGCGCCACGACGCTGCAGTAGAGGCGTGCTGCAGCTGCAGCAGGGCAGGAGGAGGGAGCACTTGAAGCAGCAGTAGCAAGTCTCGCTCATCACTGTCGTTGCTGCTGCTGCTGCTGCTGTAACTATTGTAGGTGCTTCCCTCGCTTCTGTTGTCTGCGGGCTCCACTCCCCCACAAAGCAGCGCCAGAACGCTCAACAGCAGCGCCCCTTCTGCTTGCTGCTGCTGCTGCTGCTGCTGCTGACGCTGATCCCTGCTCACTGAAAGCAAAGTACTGTCGCCAGCAACAGCGTAAACAGTAGCAAAGCAGTCACAAGCAGCAACAAAGTTACTGGGCTCTCCTGATGCCTCGCTTCCCTTCCGCAGAGCTTGCTGCTGCTCCTGCCGAAGTTGATGCTGTAGTCGCTGTAGCTGCTGCTGCTGCAGTGCTGAGCTGCGCTCGACTTTGGGCTGGCTCGCAGTCTGCTGCTGCTCCGCAGGCGGCTGCAGCAGCAGCAACAGCCGCAGCAGCAGCGGCAACACCATACCAACGCGAATGGCAACAGCGGAAATTTGGCGTCTGAGGGGGGCAGACGAATGCAGCAGCAGCAGCTGCAGCAACAGCAGAGCCTGCAGCCAGACCACAGGCTCACATGCTGCTGCACACGCTAATGTCACATTCGTAGGCAGCCCATTGCTGCTGCTACTCGTCTTAAATGCAGCATCTGCTGCTGTTTCCGGAGCCTCTGCAGCTGCTGCAGCAACGGGTGCGCGCCGGAAATGCCAGCAACAACACCAACTGCAGCAGCAGTAATGCCTCCGGCTGCAGCGACGCAAGCCTCCATCTGAACAGCAGCTACACCAGCAGCAGCAGTAGCAGCAGCGAAGGAAACAAAGGCAGCAACAGCAAGGAATTTACCTTGTGTCTGCAGCTGGCGGTAGGGTGCTGCGTTAAGTCAAGCAGCAAACCCACACTGCTTCTGCTGCTGCATGCAGAGACAGCCCGCAGCAGCAGAGAGATGGGACAGTGCTGCTTTTCGCCCAGGCAGCAGCACCACAGCTGGAGCAGTGCACAGACAACTTCAGCATCAGCAGCAGCCAGCAGGTCACGGGGAGGCGCCGAGAGGCCGTTAGCAGCAGCAGTTTCCGCAGAAGCAGAACCAGCAGCAGCAGCAGCAGTAGCAGCAGCAGCAGCAGGTGCTGCTGCTGCTGAACGTAATAGCTGGCTTGCTGCCGTGGGGCCTCCTTTGCTTTGCAGACCAAACCGCTCATCGTTGTTTGGCGCTTCTGCTGGCGCTGCTGCTGCTGCTGCTGCTGCTGTGGGAGCTGCCGCTGCTGCTGTTGCTGTGGGTGCTGCTGCTGCTGTCGTTGCTGCTCCCGATACGCGCATATTTACTGTGGCGCCGCCGTGAAAAAGAGGACGTGCAAGGTCGCTGCTGCTGCTGCTGCTACCGCTGCTGCTGCTGCTGCTGCTGCTGCTGCTCGCCCGTGTTGATGCCCACAGAGGAGACGAGCATATACTTGCGAGGGGAGCGCCAGTGTACAGCAAAGATCGGGGGACATCAACAGCTGCTGCTGCTGCGGTTGCTGTTGTGGCCGCTGCTGCTTCTGCTGCCGCTGAAGCGCTGCACTGCGAGTGTGCAGCAGTGCAGCTGGCGAGGTTCCCTTCTTGCCACTTTCTCTCCTGCTGCAGCTCCTGCTGCTGCTCCTCCTCCTGCTGCAGCAAACACAACTGCTGCTGCTGCAGGTGGCGGCAGAAGAGCAACAACTCCATCAGGAAGTCTTGGCTGATCCATCTTTCTCTCCAGGCCACTGAAAGCGCATGCATCTTCGCTTGCTGCCGCCTCTCCTTTCGTGTAAGCAGCTGCTGCTGCTGTTGCTGCTGCTGCTGCTGCTCCTCGTGCATGAACACGCTCCAGCCAAGCTGCAGCACCAAAGCAGTCAGCGCTCTGATGAGTGCGAGCTGCTGCACATACAGCCGCAGCAACGCATGCCGCTGCTGCTGCTGCTGCTGCTGCCGAGCCTCCTCTGCACGGGTTCCTTCCTCTGGTGCGTCGGATGCATCTGTTGCTGGTCCCGCAGCAGCAGCAGCAATAGATGCTGCTGCTGCTGCTGCAGGTGCCGTGGCCACGGCGCAACGCATGCGACGCGCGCCTTGCAGCAGCTGCTGCAGCAAAGCTCGAAGGGGAGAACCATCCGGCAGCAGCGCTAGTTGCTGCAGCCACAGCGGCAACAGAAACAGCAGCAGCAACAGCAGCAGCCTAGCCACAGCAGTAGCCAGGGCCGCAAAACCGTTTGAAACGAAAGCAGCAGCAGTAACGGAGAATCACGTACATCAGCAGCAGCAGCATAAGCAACAGCAACAACTGCCGCCCGTTCTGCTCCTAAACATCCGAAGGCACGCTTTGAAAGGCAGCAGCAAGAACAGCAGCAGCAGCAAAAGCATCAGCAGCAGCAAAAGTGGCACGGGCTTGCCTTGAAGAGTGCATGCGACTTCAGTAGCTGCGCCGCCACCTGCACCAGCAGCAAGGTGTCAACCTGCCAGTTCTCAAAAGCTGCTGCTGCGGCGTCCGCTGCTGCAGCTGCAGCAGCTGCTGCAGCTGCTGCTTGCTCTGAAGCATCCGCAGCATCTGAAGAAGAGCTACGGGGAGCCCTCTCTGGGAGAGCACCGACTGCGCGCGTCGGAGGGGCGACGTGCTGCTGCTTCTGCTGCTGTTTCCGTTGCTGCTGCTGCAGTGCCCCCAGAAAATCGTCTAGCAGCAGAGAGGCCTCATCCACAAGTTGCCATCCCTTTTGCCACAGGCTGTCTGTACACCTCACGTCCGCCCTGCAGCACCCCACAAAAGCGGCGGCCAGGAGCCCCGGTGCAGCAGCAGCAGAATGAGCAGCAGCAATAGCAGCAGCTGCAGCAGCCCGAGCAGCACTGAAGGCAACATGTGCCGCAGCAGCAAGACATACCAACTGCAGGGAGCCTCCTTTGCAAAGTGCTGCAGCAGAGACACGGCTACGCAACGCCACTGCTGCTGCTGCTGCTGCTGCGGGAGATCTGCTGACAGCAGCAGCAGCGACGCTTGCAGTTGTTTCTCCTCCGATGACACGTTTGCCCCCATGGGCCTCGCTGTGTAGGGATGCTGTCGCTGTTGCTGCAGCTGCAGCACTTGCAGTTGCGGCAGCTGCTGCTACTGCGGCTGCTGCTGCGGTTGCAGTCGCGCCAGCTGCTGTTACTGCTGTTGTTGCTGCGGCTGCAGTAGCGGCAGCTGCTGGTGCTGCTGCTACAGCTGCTGCTGGTGGCACCGTTTGAAACGCTGCGCTCCCCCTTCCCAGATCTGCAGCAGCTTCTCTTCCTTCCGCTCTGTTACGCTGCAGCTGCTGCGGCGGCGATGCTGCGGATTCTGTCTAAAGTGTATAGACACCGCAGTGGGACGCCCGCTTATGATGCTGTCGCTGCTGCTGCTGCTGCTGGCTACTGTTTCCGTTGCTGTTGTCACTCGTCAGGTACCTTTGGCCAAACCCTCCTTGGATCTGGTCCACTGCGCTGTTCGAGACATCTGCGGTTTCAGCCGAGCCCTGGTCTCCCGCTGCTACTGCTGCTGCTGCTGCTCTTCCTGCTGCCGCTGCTGCTAGTGTTGCTGCAGCTGCACAGACCCATCATCTGTCAGCAGGACACCCTACGGAACCACTACAGTGCGTTGTTTACAGAAGATCCCTGCCTGAGGAAGCCCCTAGTGGCTGTGAGTTTATTGCTGCCGCTGCTGCTGCAGTGGCGGCGTGAGCTGCTCAGGCCCCAGCACCGGGAGCAGTGGCGTTGGCTGCCCTTCAGCTGCAGAAGATTCAAAGTAAGGAGAGTTATTTTGTCTAAATGAAACCCTAAACTACGTTAATAAATCAGTGATGAGCAGCAGCTGCTGCTGCAGCGTGAGCAGCAGCAGCTCCCCCCGCAGCCGACGGCTGCCTCTCTTCTGCTACTGGTCTGTCTCAGCGTTTCACAGCTCTCTCCACCCCCACTTCTGTTTCATTTGTCTTTATTATCGGCTGCATCTCTAATTGGCAGCAGCAGGTGCTGCGTGGGCGCTCCTTCAGCACAGGATTTTGGGCTTCCCCGTGTCTGCTGCGCGGCTTGAGAGCCTGTAGCCTCCCCAGCGCTTCAGCGCAGCAGCTGCTGCTGCCTGGGGCTCTTCTTTCCCTCAGATCCCACAGTAAGAAGGGCTCGGCCCTAGGTACTGCTGCTGGCTCGCTAGTTAGGGCTTTTGCCCGAGAGCGCTGCAGTGAAGGCCTGCTGTTGAATTGCCGCTAGCCATTTCGTGCCTTCTAGGGCTGCAGCAATAGCAGCAGCAGCAGAATAAGAAGAAGTGGAAGCAGCAGATGCTGCTGCTGCTGAGTGTGTTAATCAGCGGTAGCAGCAGCAGCGGCTGCTCCTGCAGCCTAATATTTCCTGCTAGCTTATGCGTGGGAAGCGGGGCGCTAAGCGCCCTAGAGCCCCTGGCCTGAGCTAAGGCCCAGTGCACATCTGCTGCTCGCACTCCGGCTGTTGCTGGTGCTGGTGTTGCTGCTGCTACTGCTGGTGTTGCTGCTGCTACTGCTGCTACCGTTGCCATGTTTGCACTTCCTGTGTCCATGCGCCTCTGCGAATGACGCTGCAGCAAATCAGAATCTGTTTCATATCTAGTTTTGCTGCTGCCGCGTTTTAGTGGCGCTGCTGCTGCTGGCTTGCAGCGCAGTCCGCAGCAGCAACTGCACCTGCACCTGTGGGGTGCCTAGCCTCCACTGAGGAGCGTCGCATGAGTCTTGCTGCAGCGGCAGCAGCAGCAGCTGCTGCTGCTGCTCTTACTGCGGGTGAAACAACAGCAGCAGCAGCAATAGCCGCACTGGCGGCGGAGCTAAAGTAGCTGCGTGCGCGCGCTCTCTTTCTGCAGTATACGGACACCTTGTGCTGCTGGTCCTAGGCTCGTTAAGAATAAAGAAGCAAAGACAGAATCATAAGGACCGCTGTTAAAATGAACAGCAAATGCTAAGCGTTACCTGCTGCGGGTTGGCAGTAGTAGCTGCTGCTGCAGCAGCTACGAAGACAAAGCTGCAGCTGCCGCAGCAGCAGCAGCTACAGATGCAGAGCTGCAGCCGCAGCAGCAGCGCCCACAGCCACGAAGCCGCAGCTGCTGCTGCTGCAGCTGCAGCTAGAGGGTCGCGTCGCCTCTTGCACCCATCTTGGGTGCAGGGGCAGCTGGCTCCCTTTGTGGAACCTGCTGCAGCAGATGGCCAGTCTTCTGCTGCAGCAGAGCTGCTGCGGCGGAGCTGCTGCAGCAGAAGGCCTAGGCGCACTACGTCCAGCCCCAGTCTCGCTGCTGCATGCGCTGATTCTGCTGTTGCTGTTTCTGCTGCACCGGCAGCAGCGTTGAGGTTCAATGCTGACTTCTCAGACTGCGCTGCTGCTGCTGCTGCTGAGCTTGTTGCAGCTCAGGCCCTGGATGGGTCCTTCGCGGTATGACGTGCAAGTGTTGTTGCTGCTGCTGCTGCTGCACAGCAGAAGAAGTTCTCGATGTTTGCAAATATGGATTATGCGGTGTGCCTGAACCTCGCTGCGGTTGCTCCAGCAGCAGCTGTTGCCGCAGCGGCATCTGCTGCTTCAGCGGCAGCTGCTGCTGCACTTTCTGGCCCCTCCCTGAAGCTATCAGTGATGTTTCTGGCCTGGCTATTGTTTGTTGCTGTTGCTGTCGCCACTGCAGCAGCAGCAGCTGCTGCTGCTGCAGCGGCTGCTGCGCCTGAACGTCGCCTCTCCACACAGGTGGCGAGCGAAGACTTTGAAAAGAGCCAGAGGCGCCGCGTAGGACTTTGGGCTGCAGCTGCGCAACTACGTGTGCAGGCTGCAGCTGCAGCTGCTGCTGCTGCCGCTGCTGCTGCTGTTCGTACCTCGGGGAAGGAAGGTGCCTGGGTCTTGCTATCCTGCTATGCTGCGGCGTCTCTCGTTGCTGCAGAGCTGCTGCTGCTGCTGCTGTCGTTGGTGCGGCTGCTGTGGAAGCCGCACTGCGGAGTGTCTGCTGCCCTCCCTGTGTCACTTGTTTGTTGCTCGGCCTTATAACGTGATTTAGAGGCTGTCCCGGTGGCTCCGCGTAAAGCTGCTGCTGTTGTTGCTGCTGCTGCTGCTCCCGCTCCTTCTGCTGCTGCTCAAAAGGCCTGCTCCCCTGGAGCGACAGGCGCGAGTTCCTGTGTGCTGCTGCTGCTGCTGGCGAACGCTCAGCGACAGCGCCTGCTGCACGAACAGGACTTTCAGCTGAAATGGGCCGACCGCCGGCAGCAGCAGCAGCAGCAATAGCAGCACTTGGAGCAGGAAGTGGGCTCCTGCTTGGCTTTTGCTTCCGAACGGAAGCAGGACGGAAGCCTGAGAAGTTGGCTGAGGAATGCCTGTGCTGCTGTTGCAGCTGCTGTTGCTGCTGTCGCTGCGGGGGCAACGCAGTGTCGCTGCACGGACGGGTTAGCTGCCTGTGGCTCGCAGGCAGCAGCGGCGTCTCGCGCCCTTTTTTTAACAGCTGATGCTGCACCAGCTGCTGCTGCTGCGGTTTCTGCTGCTGCTGCTGCTGGGTGGAGGGGCTCCTGGGACTACGTTCTTCAGCTCGTCTCATCCTAGCTGCTGCTGCCTCGCCCCAGCTCGGACTGCCTCGCTGCTGCTGCGTCATGCTGTTGCGTGTGCCCTGTCCCCCCTGTTGCTGCTGCCGTTGCTGCTGTTGATGCTGGTGTTGCTGCTGCAACTGCTGCTGCAACAAAGCAGCGACACGCTGCTCCTGCAGTTCTCTAAGCCCCCCTCCTGCCGGTGTAGCAACCCAGTCAATTTCCCCCTGCAAAGGCTGCTGCGGCTGCTGTTGCTGCTGCTGCTGCTGCCTGTCCAAATTTATTCTGGAGCCGCCGTGTAGCTTCCGAAGCTGCAGCAGCAGGGGAGTGCTAGCGCCTGCATCCGGTGAAGCACCAGACATCGCTTGTTGTATCGTCTGCCGACGCTGCATCTGCTGCTGCTGCTGCAGCAGCTGCTGCTGCTGCTGGTACAAAGAGTACTGGACAGCGTCGCCGCTGCCCGAATGGGCTAGAGGAAGCTGTTGATGACCACTGGTGCAGCTGTTGCTGCTTTTGTTGACACCCGCAAAGCTCTGTGCGACGGTGCTGAGCTGTGCGTACAACTGCTGCTGCTCGTGCTGCTGCTGCTGCTGCTGCTGCAGCTGTGAACACGTGAAGAACTGCTGCATAGGGTGCCCAACTGATGCCGTTTCCCTCCACTCTCCTTCTGACCACGCGATGCTTCCAACCTGTCCTGAAGAAAGGCTTCTTAGCGGGGCCGCTGCTGCTCCTGCTGCCGCTGCTGCTGCTGCGGAGTCTTGGGTTTGGATTGTTAGCGTGTGGGCCCCCTCTGCCTCCCTGAGTCTCGCACTGGACTGCAGTGACAGCACCGTCTGCTGCTGCTGCTGCGGTAGCAAACGCGCACTTGCTGCTGTTGCTGCAGCAAAGGAGCCCCCGCGAGAGCGGCAGCGCCACTCTCCCTCGGAAAAGGATCTGCTGGAGCGGGTCAGGCTGCTGCGTCTATGCACTCCATCAGCAGCAGCAGAAGCAGCGGCATAGGAGTACTCGAGAGACCTCGAAGGATACAGAACAGCAGCAGCGTCGCCAGCAGCAGCAGCTGACAGTGTCATTTCTGTCTGAGTCTGCTGCTGCACGGTTTGACTTTGCTGACGCTGAGGCGCTTGTGGAGACCCATCTTGCCCCTGCTGCTGTTGCTGCTGTTGCTGCTGTTGCTGCTGTTGCTGCTGCTGTAGCGATCTGCGCAGCGGCTGCCGTTTAGCTGGAGTTGAAGGAGCTCTGCCTTTTTCTCCTGGCTGCAGTTGTTGAGTGCGCTCGAGCAGCTGCTGCAGTTGCAGATTCTGCTGCTGTTGCTGGTGCTGTTGTCGTTGCTGCTGCTGCAACTGCTGCTGCAACTCCAGAAGCATTTGCTGGTGCTTCTGTTCCTGCTGGCGCAACTCAAACAGCTCCTGATGGTGCATCTGCAGGAGCTGCTCGTGAGTACTTGTTCCTCGCTGCTGCTGCTGTTCCTGCTGTTGTTGTTGTTGCTGCTGTTGCTGCTGCTGTTGTTGCTGTTGCCGCTGCTGCAGCGGAAGGGCCGCAGTTTCTGGGCTCGCCTTGGCCCCCGCAGCAGATGAAGGTGGCTGATTCGTTGCACTGTCCTGTTTTTGTAGCAGTTGGTCTTCTTGCTGCTGCTGCAGCCTTTCCTGCTGCTGCTGCCTTTCCTGCTGTTGCTGCTGCTTCTGCTCATGTTTCCGACTAATGCTATTGGCTGAGCGAGTTTCCGCATTTGCCTCGGGTCCTATTGTCGTATGGGAAAGCTGCGGAGCCGCTTGCTGCTGCTGCTGCTGGAGTTGCTGCTGCTGCTCCTCCTGTCTTTGCTGCTGTTTCTGGAGCTGCTGCTGCTGCAGCCTCTGCAGCACCTCCCGTTCGTGCTGAAGCTGCAACTGCTGCTTCCATGCGCGCCCCGGTGTCTTCCCCCGAGTGCCGGTACTGCTGCTGCTGCTGCTGTTGCCGTTACTTCTGTTTGGCCAGCTGTAGGCTCGGGCGAGTATCTCCCGCTGCTGCTGCTGCTGCAGCAGTTCCTGCTGCTGCTTCAGCTGCTGCCGCAAGAGACGCATTTCCGTCATTTGCTTGGCTCTTCCATACAGCCTGAGAGCTCAGCAGCATAAAAGGCATATTGCATAAGCTGCTGCAGCAGTTGCTGCAGCAGACATTTGCGGCGCTCGCAACACAGCCGTTTCTGTTCCTGCACTCTCCCGCCCTATTGGTATTACTGCTGCTGCTGCATCTGCTGCTGCCGCCGTTGCTGCGTCTGCTTCTCCAGTTGCTGTCCCTACCTTGCCGAGATTGCCTCGACCTCAGCTGCGGGCAGTTTTGCTGCTGTGCGCACTTTCGGAGACTCTTGTGGCGCTGCTGTTGCTCCTGCTGCTGCAGGAGCAGTGCTGCTGTTCCATGGGGGCTGCAGCGTTAAGTGCCGCTGCAGCTGCTGCTGCAGCTGTTGCTGCTGCTGCTGCAGCTGCAGCCTCATCCGTGACAGCTTTGCGTCGTACCTCTTCTGCTGCTGCGCACGCAGCTCATCCCGGAAGAATGGCTCCCTCGAAGGCGCCTTCGCTAATTGCTGTTGTCGTTGTTGTTGCTGCTGTTGCTGCTGCCGTTGCCGCTGCTGCTGCGGGGAGCGCGGAGTTGCAGCAGCAGCGCTGCTTCGAGAAGCCTCTGCTGTTCTCCCCGCAGATGGCGGCCGCCTTGACGGTAGAAGAGTTGCAGCATCGTATCTATCTGCTGCTTTGCTGCTGCTTCTGCTGCTGCTGCTGCTAGGAGTGCGGCGAGAGGGTGGCGCTGACTGAAACCGGCGGTATTTGCTGCAGGTATTTGGCGTCACTGTCGCGTTAGTGAATGCGCTCTTAGGCCTTTGCTGCCTGCGCTGCTGCTGCTGCTGTTGCTGCTGCTGCTGCTGCAGAGCTGGGGAGTTACAGCCAACGCACCAAGCCCTTTTCTTGGAGGGCCGCAAAGCCCTGGGGAAAACAGCATCTCTTCCAGGGGAGCTGCTGCAGTAGTTGCCGCCTTTGCTTTTGCTGCTGCTGTCGCCGTTGCTCCTTGCAGTGTTGCTTGCTGCCACTGCAGCAGATGATGCTGCTGTGTCTTCGCAGCAGCCAAAGTGCCGATGAGACTCCTGAGCAGAGAGCGGTGGGGCAGAAGCAGCAGCAGCAGCGGCAACATCTAGAGAAGACACCGCAGCTCCAGGAGGGCGAGCTGACGCCGCCATTAACTCCCTGGCTGCTGCAGCCGTGACGGAACGCACAACCTGCGCAGCAGCTGCTGCTGCTGCAGCATCTGCAGCCTTGGCAGCTGCTTTAGCAGCAGCAGCCGCTGCAGCAGCAACCACTTGCCCTTCTTCCTCCCACGGCTTTCGGCTTGCTTGTCTGCTGGGGGCAGCAGAATGAGCCTTGTTCGCAGCAGCAGAACCACTTAGAGCTGCTGCTTGTATTGCTTTGGCTGCTGCTGCTTCCGGGCTAGCAGCTGTGTTCCCCAAACCCTTATCAGAAGCTGCTGCAGCAACTGCGGCTTCTCTGGCCGTGATGCAGCACATATGGCCGCAGGTACAGCAGCATGTCTTCGACGCATCGGTGTGCAGATGCTGCAGCTGTGGACCTCTGTTTGGCTGCCCGTGCTGCTGCTGCTGCTGCTGCCTTGACTGCAGACTCTGGGAAGGAGAACAAGCAGGAGTGGCGTGGTGAGCATTTTCAGCGCCTTGGACTCTACTGAAGGTGTGGGGTGGTGGCTGTCTCGCTGCTGGAACGAACTTTTTGCTGCATCTGCAGCTGCTGCTGCTGCTGCTGCTGGCAGTGTAAGCTGCGCTTTTTAGCCGGGTTATTCTGCCTTCAGAGCTTTGCGGCTTCTTCGGCAGCTGCCGCACGAGGTCGTCGCGCACAGCAGCAATAGCAGCAAGCGCTTCCTGCAGCAAGAGCGGCTGCTGCTGCTCTGCTGCTGCACCTGCAGCGCAGCAGCACGGTCGACGCAGAAGAGCACTTTAAAGCAGCAGCTGCAGCGGAGATGTACAAAGGTGTCTCTAACAGCACTGTAGCCTTTCGGCCTTCTGGCTAGCTACTCAACTACCACCTTGGCGAGCCAATTATCCAGCTAGCCAGCCAGCTAGCCAGCCAGTTAGCCAGCCTGCTAGCCAGCCTGCTAGTATGTTCTGTGCGTGATTGATTCACAGCATTACAAGAAGATAGCTGCTGGGATGTTTGGGCTGCTCTGGTTAGACGAAGCCTAACTAAGTGGCTAGCTAGCTACTTGGCTGGCTAGCTGACTGGCTGCTCGGCAAAGGCTTAGATAGCCGGCAACTACCAAGAAGACTAGCTAGCTGGCATGCAAGGGAGATCTAATTAGCTAGCTGGCTGGCTAGTTAGTAAGAGCTAGCTGTTTCTATGCGGGACTGGGCATTGGAAAGCTACATAAACAACCGCAGCACTTACTCCGGTAAGTGCACTGCTGCTGCTTCAGCATAAGCAGTCGCTGCTGCAGCTGCTGCAGCCGCTGCCTCGAAGAGCTAAGGCGGACGGGCTCCCCGGTAGCGCTTCGTGGGAGGTCAGCGGCTCGGGTTCTCACTCGCTGCAGCGGCTTGCTGCTGCTGTCCGCAGCAGCAGCAGCAGCAGCTGGGGCTGCGCGCTGCGCAGCTGCAGCGGCCCACACACGCAAGACAAGCGTCCTGCAGCGGAGTGTAGCCACAGCAGCAGTTGCCGCAGCAGCAACAGCAGCAGCACACAAAGCAACGGGGTCAGCGCCAGCAGCAGCAAAGGCAAACAGCAGCAGCAGCAGCAGCAATATTGTAGCGTTATGAAGGCCGCGCAGTTCTGTCGCCTACTCTGGGCCGTGGGCTGCTGTGTCCCCTGCTGCACCGAGACCCCGCCGGGGCGAGGATGGTGGCGTCCGTGAATAGCCGCTGCTGCTGCTGCTGCTGTTGGCTTAGAAGGAGAAGCAACAGAAGAAGCCGTACGCAAGGAGTTTGCATCTCCGGCGTGGCCGGCAGCAGCTGCTGCTGCTCCAGATGCTACCCCTCTGGCTCCCCCTGACCGTTCACCTGCAGCCACTTCACTTATTCCCACAGCAGCAGCAGCAGCAGGTGCTGCTGCTGCTGATCCCGGTACCCGTGGTTCCTTTGCTTTTGTTGCTGCTGCTGCTGCTGGCGCTGAGGGTGCCGGTGCTGCTGTTGGCACCACCATCACTTCAGTTGCTGCTGTTGCTGCTGCTGCTGCGGCTGCAGGGCGTAGCTGTGCAGATTGAGCTGCAGAGTTTCGGCCAACAGGAACAGTGGTAATGAGCTGCTGCTGTTGTTGCTGACTGGGCTGCAGCAGCAGCAACTGCTGCTGCTGGTGCTGCTGTTGGGCTCGCTGCAGTGGCTGCTGTGTCTGCTGCAGCATCGGCAGCGCCACCACAGGAAGATCTTGGGGGCCTTTGAACTGCTGCAGCTGTGCTGCAGGAACAGCAACTGCGACAGCAAGGTGCCTAGAAGTGTTTTGCTGCTGCCTCTGTTGGATGCAGTGCTGCTGAGGCCCTCCTCCGTACGCGTTCTTGGCCGTCACCGTGGCTGTTGCCGTCGCTGTTGCTGTTGCTGCCACTGCTGCTGCTGCTGCTTCAGCTGTTGCTGCTGTCGCCGACCGCCCCAATATTTCTGCATTCCTAGCTTCTGGGGCTGTTGTAAATGGCGCCGGGGGGTCTGCCTGCAGCGGCAGCTGCTGCTGTGGCTGAGTTTGCTGCAGCTGTTGCGTATACAGTTGCTGCTGCCGCAGCTTAACTTCAGCGTGAAACGTGAAATCCTTTTGCTGCTGCTCCGCTGAAGCAGCATGGGGAGTCACAGCCCCTCTGCCTGCTGCTGCCGTCGCTGCAGCGGGCGGTGCTGCTGGTGCGAATACATTTGGTGCTATGCCGCCAGGCGGCGCTGCGCCCAGCGCCTCCTCCCAGGAAGCAGCAGCAGCACCAGGGCAGCAGTCGCTTTGAGAAGAGTTATCTGAAGTGGGAATGGAGCCGCAGCAGAGAGGCGAGATGAAGACGGGCCTGACGCGCTGCGGTGCGCGTTTGGGGGCCCCTGATGGCCTTTCCGGGTCAGCAGCAGCAGACGCTGCTGCTGCTGCTGGCACTGCTGCTGCTGTTTGTGCCAGGGCTGGCGGTGAACCTACTTGGGGCAGAGCTACTGCTGCTGCTGCTGCCGGAGCTGCAGCTGCGAGCAGAATTGTTGGTGCTGCTGCAGCTGAAGTGGAAGCTAGAGATGGCTTCAAGGCAGCGGCAGCAGCAGCAGCGAGTTCTACAGCAGCAGCTGCTGCTGCTGCTTCCGGTTCATCTTCTGTTTTCTCCTCTATTTCCCGACAGCTCCCAAGGCGCCGCACCATAGCTGCTGCTGCGGCGCCGCATGCTGCCGCCACCCCCTCTTCGTAAGAGCCAAAGGGCGGCGCTTTGCTCTTGCTGCCGCTGCGGCTGCTGCTGCTGTTGTTGCTGCTGCTGGTGTAGTTGACTTGTTGGCGCCTAGCGTGCGCAGGGCTGTCAAAGCCGCTGCTGCAGTTTTCGCTGCTTCTGTTTCCTGTCCTTCCGGCGGTATTGCTGCTGCTGCTGCTGCTGCCACGAGAAAGCAAATTGCTGCTGTCTTCAAGATTTTCAGTGTTCGCAGGGAAGGCAAGGGGGTGAGGCGCTTTGCTGCTGTTTGCTGCGGAGTGAGCGGCAGCAGCAGGCGACGCGGCGACCGTCTTCTCGTTTTTGTTGTCGATGCTGCTGCTGCTGCTGCTGCTGCTACTGCTGCTGCTGTTGCAGCTTCTAGTGGCGTGGGCTCCAGGAGCAGACTGCTCCAGCGCCAAAAAAGGCTGCTGAGGGCCTTCGGACAGCCGTGCTGCTGCTTCTGGAGACGGCAGAGGCGTCGCAGTTGCTGCTGCTGCTGCTGGGGCTGCCGCTTGCGGCTCCTGAGGGGCGGCTGGTGTTGCACTGCTACTGCTGGTGGGCGGTAGCAAAGGCAAGGACAGATTTTGCTGCAAAGGACCATCAGTAGGAGAAGCGGATACCATTGCCATCAATGCTGCTGCTGCTGCTGTAGCTTTTGCTGCTGCTGCAGCTAGCGATGACGTTCAGTGACTCGCTGGTGCCGCTGCTGGTGTGAGGGGCCTTTGTGCCTCTGTTGCTGCAGCGAAACAACTGGAAGTTATGAGTTTGGAGCAGCAACTGCTGCTGTCTCCCCACCTGCTGCTGCTGCCAATATTTCTGGTGCCGCTGCTGCCAGTGCAGGGACCCCTACTTCGATGTCCCTCCCAGCAGGCGTCTGCCCTGTTAGGGGGCATGTCCGGCTGCCGCAGCTGCTCCACCAGAAGCAGCACAGCAGCAGCAGCAGAAAGAGCAGCCACAGCAAGAGCAGCACAGCATCAGCAGCAGTAAGACAGGTTGCGGTTGCCGTAGCAGCAGTTTTGCAGTGGCAGCCCTAACAGAGGCAGAAGAAGCCGGAGGACAGTCCGACGGCAGCTCTGATGTGTGCTGGAGTTGCTCTGCAAGCTGCTGCTGCAGCTGCGCTTGCGGCTGCAGCTCCGTTTTTGCTGCTGCGCTCCCCGCCTGGCCAAGAGAAGGGCGTACTAATGCTTATCCCTTCAGATATGCAGTCTTTTGCTCAATAAAGAGGAAAAAATCTGGGGAAGATGCAGAGGAACAGTGAGAAGAAGAAATAGAAGGCGCAGAGGCTGCACAGTGACCCTGGGCGAGACTGGTGTGTACATAGATCTCAGCGTCAGCTGCTACAGCAGCAGCAGCACTAGGCCATCTCTGCTTTAAATGCAGCCTTTTACCTCTTAAAAATTTATGTCTCAGGAAATAACAAATAAAATAGAAACATTTACGCTTATAAAGACACATCTGCCAGACACCCGTAGGTCACTGTGGGCCCCCGCTCCCACCGCCGCCGCTGCTGCTGCTGCCGCAGCCTCAGTTTACGTAAATATTTCGTTTAAATACACTTTTTGTTTTTGAAAGAAATATTAATTAAATAGAGGAGGATAAACCGCCTAAAAGACCCGAGCCGGAAGAGGCACGCAATCGACACAAGGCTTAGAGCTAGGGTGAGAGGCGCAGCCCTTGCAGCTAGCAACGCAGCAGTATTGCCTTTAGGAACGATTTGCCCTTGAAGTTAAGAAGAAAACCCTAAATTTTGAGCCCTAAACCCTAAATCATAAACCCTAATCCTCAAACGGAGTCTTAGTGGGGAAGACGAGGCCTGGGGGTCCAGGGCAGCAAAACGGCAAGGAACTGGAAGCACCAGCAAGAGCAGCAGCAGGAGCAGTATCTGGATCAGCAGCAGCAGCTGCGGCTGCTGCTAGACTTAAGAGCGATAAAACTAGAGACAGGGCCTCCGACGCCTCTGCAGCGCTTGGGCCAGCAGCCTTTTTGCTGCTAATTTGCAGCAGCCAATGCAATTCCGTTTCTTTGAATGCATTTGGTTGAGCGTAAGAACAAATTCATTAAAAAAATGAAACGGACGAAACAGAAAAAGCCGCAGCTGCCACTCTAAGAGGGCTGGGGCCTCCGCGTAAAAGAATAAAAACAGAAGCAACAAATGAGGGCACAGCATGAGGCTCCGCAGCATCAAAAACAAACAAGGGAGACAAAAGCAACAAACGAAAAGCTCTCATTATAGCATTTAACTATTAAAAAGAAATAAATGAATTTTTTTTGAAGCTGCAAGACCCCAGGCCTCCTGTCCACTCGCCCTTGTTGGCTTTATTTAGCTAAAGTCTCTTGGGCTCCGGTGTAGTTATTTATATCCATAGCTGTATTTATATCTATATCTTTTTTACATCTATATATATTTTCACTTTTATATCTATTTTTAAATCTACATCTATACTAATACCCACATGTATATCTACATCTGTATACATGCGGATTTGTATGCTCATACCTTTACGTGTATCTATAATGCTTATACGTAGAGAGTAACTCAAGCTATATATAAATACCTGATTATATATGGATATATGGATATATATATTATATTGTTCATTTCTACGGACTATATACATGAGCATCTTTAGCAGCACCTGCTGGCAATGGGGTGCCTTTTCCCCGCTGCCCCTCCCCTGCCTGTGTTGCTGAGCCCGGCAGTAGCTGCTGCTGCAGCAGTTGCAGCAGCTGCTGCCGCAGCCAGTGCTGCAGCTGCTGCAGCAGCGGCTGCTGCAGCAGCGGCTGCTGCAGCATGCAGCTTCAGGGCAGAACGACTGCGAGGGTCCTAAGATAGTGAGTAATTGCATTTATATTTTTTTATTTTTACCTGCCTTTTGGAGAGTTTGGTCGTTAATATTGGTGAATAGACGCACTAATATGTGGAGGTGTCCAGAAACAAGCATACAGGTACAGATAATAGTCGTATATATATCCATTTTTATATTATTTGAATATATAGATCACCGCCTACATAGAGAGGGCACTAAGATACAGTTTCGGATATATATATAAAGGTATATTACCATATATGTATGCATATGTGTACACATGTATAGTGAAATTTATACATATAGATATATATACAGATAAGGTTACAGATAAGGTTATAGGCACACACATAAAGATATAGACGAAAGTATAGATGAAGCGGCATACATATAGTTGGATATCGATAAAAGTATAGACGCAAATATATATACCAAGATAAAGACATATATACATATAATAAACATAAACATGGATGTAGATCTAGGCCCAGATCTAATCTAGATCTGCATTCAAATACAGGTGTAGATGTAGAAATATAGATAAGAGAGGCACACAAAGATGTAGATATATAAACATGGGTATAAGAATAAAGATAAACGGAAATACGTCCACGTAAAGATATAGTTATAGATATAAATCTGTCGATAGCTAGATACAGTTATGGATGCAAATGTGAGTCTGCAGTTTTATACAAAGATACACAGATATACACACTCACAGTTATTGAGAGGAACTTAAAGATACAGTCATAAAATATACACATAAATAGATATTGGTATAAACGGAGATAAAGGCATGCAAACATAGGGGCAGAGAGGCGAAGAAAGTAAGATATATTTGCAGATCTAGATGCTACAGATGTAGATACAGCCATGACGCCTGCAGACAACGCTACAGATCTAAAACAGAAAGAGTGTCAAGGGAGAAAAGGAATAATCAGAGAAACTGGGCACGCGGACTAAAAGCAAACACCCAGCGCTCAGCAGCAAGCACCACATCTGCAGCAGCTGCTGCAGCTTTAATCCTAGCATGAACCACCGCAGCTGCAGCAACGCCAGCAGCACAGAGCAAGGGCCCCCTGAAAGCAAGCCAGTATCATCTGTGCGCCCCAAGCTCTACAGTTCAACCCCACCGCCTGCTCCAGCAGCTGCTGCTCAGCAGGAGCAGCTGCAGGAACTATTCTGTGCGCATGCAGATGAACTGTAGCACTTATCTCCAGATAATTTTAATAAGCTGAGCAGCAGCGGCGTAGACATCACGGCCACAGTAGCCAGTCGAGACACGTACGCACAGCAGTCCGCACCGCCTTGCTGCTGTTGCCTTCTAGGTCCTATAAAGCTAAGGCCTAAACTCTAAACCCTGAATTTAGAGTTCCTATACAGGAATTCATGCTTAAAATGAATCCACTGTGCAGGCACAACGTGGAACAAAGAACCTCAGGCCCCCACGGCCAAGCTTCCCAGCCCGTCGCCGTTGCTGCGCCTTCTAAACCGCAGATTCCTAATATATTTGCCTCTACATCTATTCTACTTCTCTTCTGGGCTCTGTCTTTTTTGTCGAGGGCTGCAAGGCCAGCGGCAGCAGCAACAGGGTACTCCACAAGCAACCGCTGCACGCACAGCCGGGCGTGCGGGCCTCCCCCGCCACTTCGACTAGAGGCTGAGGCTTAATTCGACTTTGGATCTAAAAAAGATAAAGAAATGGCTGCAGATCTGTTTATCTCTAAAGAGACGCACGGCGCAGCGAGAAGGCGCTGGGGCACCCCGTCTGGGTTGTGGGGAGGGTGGGGCGGGCGCGAGAGTTTGGGCGTGTACCCGGGTGCGCGTTGGTTCTGGAGTTGAATTGTGCATAAAAGAGTTTATTGTTTCTTAAAAATGCGAGCTCCTGCAAGTCTGTTGATCGTTTTAATTATTGAGGCCTTGTGCACGGCCGGAAAGCGGTGGTCAGGACCGCTGGGATGCTCCTGGGTGTCTGGCGGCGCTACTGCCTGCAGCTGGAGCCCCGGGCCTCGGGTGCTGCAGCAGGGCGTTGAAGATAGAAACCGTGCTCTATCTTTTGGGTTTCCCAGTTTTTCGTCTGGCGCATTAATAGGATTTATTTGCAAAATCGGGGAGAGACAGGGGGGGGAGCTGGTCAGGGGTCGGGGACGCGTATCCTGCTACGGTAGCAGGAGCAGCGGCGGCAGCAGCAGCGGGAGCAGCAGGGTGCTGCTGCGGGGGTTTGCGGGTGCGTGTGGAGGGGTGCACTAGAGAGTAGGTAAAGAAGTGCGAGGGTAGTGTGTGGCGTTGGGCGCGAGTGATAGCAGAACAATTTCGCTTGTTTTTTGTGTTTCAGCCTGCGCTCCCCCCCCTCCAGCCGGTGCCGCTGCTGCTGCTGCTGCTGCTGCTTCGAAGATGCCGAACCCGCGGGTGTTTTTCGACGTGTCGATCGGCGGAGGCGCCGCGCGGCGCATCGTGATGGAGTTGTTTGCAGATGTGACTCCAAAGACCGCGGAGAACTTCCGGTGTCTGTGCACGGGGGAGAAGGGAGTGGGCCGCAGCGGGAAGCCGCTGCACTACAAGGGCTCCAGCTTCCACCGCATCATCCCCGAGTTCATGCTGCAGGGCGGGGACTTCACGCGGGGCAACGGGACCGGCGGGGAGTCCATTTACGGGGAGAAGTTCGCAGACGAGAACTTCAACCTCCGCCACGACCGCCCCTTCCTACTCTCCATGGCCAACGCAGGCCCCAACACCAACGGCTCCCAGTTCTTCATCACCACTGTCGTCTGCGACTGGCTCAACGGCAAGCACTGCGTCTTTGGCCAGGTGACTGAGGGGCAGGACGTGGTGAAGGCCATTGAGCAGGTGGGCACAACCAGCGGCAAGCCCAAGCAGCAGGTCACCATAGTCGACTGCGGCCAGCTCTCATGAGCTGCTGCTGCTGCTGCCGCTGCGGGGGCCACAGGGGCAGCGAGGGCGCTCGAAGGCTGCGGAGGCGGCAGCGCAGCGCAGGAGAGGGAGTGCTGCTGCTGCTGCTGAGGCAACGGGCTAATGCTGCAGCAGCCGCTGCTGCTGCAGCCGAGGAGGCGATACTGGCCGCACCCGGCCCGCAGCCTCCGGGCTGCGCCCCTCCGCAGATGAATGACGCAGCCAATTTGGGGACAGAATAAATTTGATTTTAAAATTGATTAAAAGACTTTTAAGGTCGAAGTCGGGAATCGTCTTCAGAGCCTTAGAGCCATCTTCAGGGATTTTTAGCCCGAAGTGCGATAGTGATTTGCTGCCGAGTCAAATATAGTATTTGCTGTAGATGCGCATGCGCTGTTATGAATATAGAGTCGCGGATAGGTATGCATATGTTCGTGAATATGTATAGAAACAGGATAGGTTTATCCATAGTGGAAGTATATGTATAAATGCATATGTATATAGATGCATACATATATATATTAGCTATGTAGGTAATTATATGTATACTACTTGTAGATACGAAGACGGAAGACTGTAGATTTGTATGTGTTGGTACCAAAATGTAGATACGTAGACGTCTATGAATCCTTGTACAGGTGCATCTGTGGCCTGGGTGTCTTACTTCGCGAGTGTGCAAGTACTGAACTACCTTATATACATATATCTATATATTATGTATGTATGTATATATATATATATATATACATATGCATATTATTTGTACGCATATTAATATATATATACGTGAAGGTATAGTTGAACTCGTATACCTTCGTTTATTTATGCATTTACCTGTGCCTCTTATTTCATGAATTTATATTTTCCCGAACTTAAATAGAAAGCTCGAGAGCGCTGCGGCTGCGGGCATTTGGTTGTGTGGGGTGGGGCCTTTCTTGGAGTTTGGTAATTTTCGAGTGTTTAGGGTTTAGGGTTTGGGACTCTTTCCATTTTCTTCTGAATTAGGGTGAAAATTAACCCCTTTTGAATCGAAGTTTAAAGAGGGTTCAAAATTCTGAGAATGGCCAAGGGGGGACGTGCGGCTCCCAAACCCTAAATCCCAAAACGAAGTCTAGAGGGAAGGGAAAGGAAACTCGAAACCCTAGGCCGTAGGCTCCCCAGTGGCTGAGGAAATCTTAGAAAGTAGTTGTGGGGCCCCTTCCTCCCTATCTTTTTGCTGCAGCCCGAGAACTTTCATATTTCCAATATGATTATAAAAATTTTAATATAAAATAAATATATAAATACATATCAGGGATGTGTACAGAAAGGATTACAGTTTCGTGGTCTAGATCTACAGTATGTGTCCGGTGGACCTGCGATTGCCTGTGCGCATGGTTGCACATGTATCTAAATACTTGTATATTGCGTACGCATAAATATACAAGTATAGATAATGTATAAATCTATGTACTGGATATAATATTTGTATTCAAAAGTAGGGCATTTTGCGTGCGCCGAAGACGCCCTGGAGGCCAGAGCAACTGAATTGGGCGCGTCCTAATGCAGTGAACTGAATCTTGCGGTGCCTGTGGAAGAATGAGAAACTAATATGTAGTAAACGTTGTTTAATAGTTTATTAAAGGGATGCAATAGAGCAAATTGGCTCTACTTTCACCCCGGTAGCCCTGAGCTGCCCTTGCTACAAAGCTGCCGCGGCGCCTTTGTATCGCCGTGGAGGCGGAAAATGAGCTATTTTCGCCTGCTGAACAATTGTAATTCCGTTACGACTGGCTTCATTAATGAAATTGTTTACTTTGGCGTTCTCGAGGCGGAGTATACCCACAGTTCAACGCTTCGGGGCCCCCACCAGCCCCAACACCACCCCCGCCGTAGAAATTCTCTGCCTGAGTTAATTTTTTCTGCGACTAAGAGCATCAAATCGGCGTGCAAATCAAGAAGAGATAATTGTATTCAATTTATGTAGTCTTCTGTCCTCAAATTGATTAATCGCGACGGCAGCATTCCCTCACATCGGGCGCCTCCAACACCACCCTGCCTGGAGGCTCATAAGCCAGCCCAGATTTGGGCCTCCTGCGAGCCTCTGCGCCTTTTTTAGCCGTTACATGACTTGTAAAACATTTCTACACTCAGTGTGGGTCTATTTGAGCCGGCTTTGGGACGCGGAGGCCCCGGGGCCCTCCCGCAAGTCCAGAGGGGCCCCCCAGGGCCCCCAGGGCCCGCCAAGGGCTTTGAGCGGCTCCCATAGACGCTAAGAAGCCCCTCATGTATATATGAGCTTGGCGCATAGCTAAGAGCCTCACAGCTCGCACCAGACTTCGTGGGGGCCCCCAGCAGACGCAGGGGGCCACGGGGCGCACGGGGCCCCAGGGCCCCCAGGGGCCTGTACGCTTTCAGGCATAAGCTGAGGCTTGGTTGGAACTGTATGCAGAAGGGGAAGGCTGCACAGGAAACAGCTAAAGAGGGAAAAGGGCCGAAGAGACAAACAGGTAAGCAGCAGCAGCAGCAACAGTAGCAGCAGCAGCAGCAGCAGCACCGCTAGCTGGCAGCAGCTTGTGGCTCTGCAGCGTGGGCCCAGCAGCAGCTACTGCTCATTCGTTCGCGCACTGCATCCCCAGGTTCTCCGTTTTCCCTTATATCTGTCTCTAGATTCGCATTGTTTGAAGATGCGGGTACAAGGGTCTTTGCTGCCTAGCAGCAGCAGCAGCAGCAGCAGTGGGCATGTACGCCCCCCACTGGCGCGGCTAGCTTCTCTGCTGTGCAGCACTGGGGCCCTTAGCACCGATACAGCGGCAGCAGCAGTTCTGAGTTCGCAACAGCAGCAGCAGCTGCAGCATGAGCTGCAGCAGTTGCTGCTGCGGCACCTAGCTGCAGCACAGGAGCAGGGTCGCGCTGTTGCTGCACCTCTTGATGCTGCTGGTGAAATGGTGGAGAGGACTGAAGTCCTTTCGGAGTTGCACGGTGAGTTGCGGTGTACATACACCTGAGTCATTCGCTGCTGCTGCGGCGGCAGCAGCGCCGCCGCAGCAACACAGCAGCAGCAGCGGTGCAGCAGCAGCAGCCGCACAGGCACAGCATCAGCGCAACAGCAGCAGCAGCGCAGCAGCAGCAGCAGCGCAGCAGCAGCAGCAGGCCAGAGACATGAAAAGAACCACAAATTCCTGCAGCAGCAAACGAAGAAAAATTTGAAATGTGAATTTAGAATGGCAGCGAAAGGCCTCAGAAGCAAAACAGGCAAATGGCCGTAGGCAGCAAGCAGCAGTTGAGAGCTGCAGCGCGGCTGGGTGCTGCTACTGTTTGTTACTGCACTTATGCCCTTTGTCTTGAACTTCTTTCTTTCCGTGTCTTGCGTTAGCTCATCTGCTGATCTCGTTTTGCCTGCTGCTGCTGCTTCTGCAGAGAGACTTAGGGGCACTGCTGCTGCTGCGCCTCCCTCGCTATTCTCCCGGCTCTCCACTTTGCTGCTTTCAAAAGAGCAGCAGCCGCTGCAGCGGCCCCACGCCATCCTCAGAGTGCTGCTGCTGCTCTCTAGGGCTCCAGAGCTGCAGCAGCAAAGTGTGGGTCAAAAGATGCCAGCAGCAGCAGCAGAAGCAGCGACAACCGGCAGGGGACGCCAGACACCGCGTGCAGCCTCGACACCGCGTGGCGGGTTCGTAAGCAGCAGCAGCAATGCCGCAGCAGCAGCGACAGCAGCAGCACACCCAGGAGCAGCAGCAGCAGCAGGAGACGGGGATGCCACCTCTGCAGACTCTGCGCAGCACTTGGCAATGTCCCTCAGCCACAGCGGACCGCCAGCAGCAAGGAGACTTGAGCCTCCCGTGCTGCAGTCGCAGCCAGCCTGTGCTTACGGTAGCCCTGCTGCTGCTGCTGCTGCAGCTTTGCTGCTGTTGCTGCTGCAACATTCTTACTACTGGTGCTGTTGCTGGTTTGGCTGGTTTGGCGCTGCTTCTCTTGCTGCTGCCTTCACTGTTGCTGCATTTGCTGCTACAGTGGCGCCTTAAGAGGCCACGAGGCCCCACTGCTGTTGCTGCTGCTGCTGGATGTCGCTGCTTCTCTGTTTCATTTCACTTTCTTTTCTGTTTCTTTTTTGTTTCTTTTCTTGAGCCTCTCTGCCATTTTTCTGTTTCCGCCGTAGCTGCTGCTGCGGCTGCTGCAGCTGAGGCAGCTGACTCTGCTTGCTGCTGCTCCTTTCTCTCTGTCATTTTACTCCTTCCTCGCCTTAGCGCTCGCTTCACCTTGAGGCCATTTTGCTGCTGCTCTTTTGCTGCTGCTGCTTTGATGCTGCTGACTTGCTGCAGACCTTTGGGGCGCCGACGAGATTTCCCTCTTGAGAGACCTTCTTTTCGTCTTGCAAGGTGCAGTGCACTCCCCCATATTTGCTGCTGCTGCTCTTGCTGTTGCTGCTGCTGCTGCTCTTGCTCCTGCTGCTGTTCTGTCTGGAGCTGCTCTCCCTTTATAGTGTCGTCGCTTCTGCTTGAGCTGCTGCTGCTCTTCACGCTGCTGGTGTAGCTTATGCTCGCTGCTGCCGCAGTCTCAGCTGCTCGGCTAGTACTGTTGTTGCTGCTGCTGCGTGTCTTGCTGCTGCTGTTACTGCCCCTTCTAGTTTGTGGCTCTAATACGAATACTGCTGCTGTTGCTTTGTGTCTCGTTGCTGCTGTCTCTGCACTGCCACTCGTGGTGCTGTGCTGCTACTATCTGTGGCAGTGCTGCTGCCGTTCTCGCTGCTGCCGTTGCGGATCTTGTCTAGATTATCACCGTCGTTATGCGCTGCTGCAGAGTCTGCTGCATGCTGCAGTTGCTGCTGCAGTTGCTGCTGCAGCTGCTGGCACTGCTTTACGAGCGTGGGCTGGCGCTCTCGCGAGTGCGGCTGTGCGCCTGTGTTCCTGCTGGCCAAGCTGTCTCTGTTAGAAGCAAATTGCTGCGTCAGAGCTGCTGCTGCTGCTGCTGCTGTGCCTCAGGGATGGAGGGCAGGTTTGTGCGCTTCGACCCGCTGCTACAGACGGCTCGCCTATGCGCCCCTGTAAGCAGCAGCAGCAGCAGCTGCTGCTGCGCAGAGTTTTTCCTTTGCAGCTCTGCTGCAGCTTCTGCTGCTCCATGTCCCCCTCGTCTGCGTCCTCTTCTTTCTCTTCTTGAGCTGTCTACCTGCTGCTGCTGCTGCTGCTGCTACTCCACCCCTGAAGCGCTGCTGCCTGGCGGCAGCTGAAAACGCCAGTGGTCCTTTGCTTCGCTGTTTGTCAGCTAGGTGCTGCTTAGGGTGACTGTTTGTTTGCTTCTTTCTTTACTCTCCCCCAGTCTTTTTTCCTTTTTCCTTGTGAATTTAATGTTCAAAAACTATTTTTTATGTCGAATTCTGTCAGCTAGTGCTGCTCTGCAGCTGCTGCTGGTTGCCCCTTGCTGCATGCGGCTCCGTTTCAAGCCAGAATGCCTAGGGCTCTATTTGTCCAGGCTGCTGAGGTCCAGCTACTGCTGTTCCTGCGCTGCTGCTGATGCGCCGCTGCTGCTGCGTTGCTGCTGCAGGTAAAGGCGTCGCGCAGCGTTCTGGGCCTTGTGGCCCGCGTGGGGTCTTTGGGGTGTATGTACACCCGAGTGAAAGCGGCTGTGGAGGAACCAGGGGTAGGTCAGCAGTCCTTGGCCGGCAGCAGCAAGCTACTGCGTCAGTGCTGCTGCTGGCTTTCAGTGCAGCACCAGAGCAGCTGGCTGTTTACACGTTTCTCAGTGCCTCTCTTACTGCAGCAGCACTTCTATATGAAGGCCAAAAGGCTCGCCATTCTGCTACTGCAGCCGACTAAATTGGGCAAAACAGCTTTAGTGCTGCAGCCCCAGCACTTTGCTCCAGAGGCCAGCCCCCAAACTAACAATTTTGCTGCGCTGCTGCATGCGGCCTCTCAGGGCTCCTTCCTGCTGCCCCGGCCCTTAACTGCTGAGGCTTTTCGCCAGAGCGTCGCAGCAGAGCTGCGCCAGTACTTCAAGCTCATCGCCATCCTCGAAGAAGACATCGCGCGGTTAGCAGTGGCAGCAGCAGCAGCAGCAGCAGGGAGAGCAGCAGGGGGAACAGCAGCAGGGGAGCGGCAGAGGGAGAAGCAGCAGCTGCAGAAGCAGGATGCCAGCGGCAGCAGCAGATGCACCTGCTGCTGCTCCGGCTGTTTGCGTGGCTGCCTTTGCTTCCTACCTTAATGTCTAATCCGTTCTCTGCTGCTGCCCCAGTTATTGTGCTGCTGATCTCCTCTTCGCTTCCATTTCTTCTCTGCTGCTTCTCCTTAGTCGCCGCCTGCTGCTGGCTCTGTGTCTCCGCGTTGCTGCTGCAGCGCCGAAGCCGCAACAGACCCATCAGCAGGAGCAGCAGCAGCAGCAGCAGCTCAAGGGGGCCTTCCCACTTTGCGGCGCCTTGCAGTCTGGTTGCAGGGCCCTTACCAGCGCATGCGGTTTTTGGTGTCTTTGGTTTGTTTCCCATTTGCTTCTGCTCTTTTGCTGCTGCCTCTGCCTGCTGCTGCTCCTCTACCCAGGCTCTGTCTGTGCTGCCGCTGCTTCTGCTGCTACTGCTGCTTCTGCCTCTTTCCCCGAAGCTCTTCACCACTGCTGCGGACTCTTGCTGTCTGGCTTTGCTGCTGCGGCCTCTCAGTGCCACTTATCTTTTTTATTTGTTGTTCTCATCTTTTTAAAATTTGTCTTTCCCTTTTCTCCCCCTGCCGCCGCCCTTCCCTCCCTCTCTTTGATTTTGCATCTTTTGCTGCCCCTTTTTTTCCCTTTTGCTGCTTAATTTGCTGCTGCTGCGCTCTCTTTGTCTCTTTGCTTCGGCTCTTTGCTTCGGCGCTGCTCCGCTGCCGCTCCATGTTGCAGCACAAGTGCTCTCCTTTGCCTCACTCCTACTGCCTCTGTTTTTTTGCTGCTAGCGCTGCTGCGGTTGTTGATTTCCCGCTGCTGCTGCTGTTGCTGCTGCTGCTGTGAGTGCAGACGGAAGCCGCGAAAGGGCTGAAGGGTGCTGCCCTACTCTCCACCATTTATGGTTGGCTGCTGCTGCTGCCGTTGCTGCTGAAGTGGCATCTGCAGGCATAACCAGCAGTACTGCGGGACAGCTGAAAGCAAAAGCGCTCATTCGCTGCTGCTACGGTTGTGCTGCTGCTTCTGCTGCTTCTGCTGCTTCTGCTACTGCTGTTTTGTTGCTCCGCTGCTGCTGCGCTGCAGCTCACTGCTCATTAGGGGATTCGGAGTTGCGCACTGTCGCCCTCCAGATTGTAAGCGGTTTCCTGCTGCAAGGGCCCATCCAACAAAGTAGCAGCAGCAGACAGCATCAGCAACCGCGACAGCAGCAGCAGCAGCAGCAAGGCGTACCACTTTTGCGTGTGTTTTTGCATCAGCTCCACCGATCTCTTCTGCCGATGGCCGACGCTATTGAAAGCTGGACCAAATATGGACACCTACGGTGAGCAGACGACTGCAGTTGCTGCTGCTGCGGCTTCTGCTGCTGCTTCTGCTGCTGCTGCTGCCACTGCTGGTCTGACGCATTTGTTAGTGCTAAGAAAGGCCATGGTGTCGAATTCGTCTGTGCGGCGGGGTCGTGCTGCTGCTGCTGTTGACGGCGTTTCAGCAGCTAGCTCTAGCATTGCTGCTGCTGCTTCTGCCGCTTCAGCTCCTGCTGCTGCAGCTGCTGTTGCTGTTGCTGCTGCTTCTGCTGCTGCAGGGATGAAGAAGGCGAGTTTTTCATCCGCGAGGCGCCTCAAGACCCACAGATGTCCAGTTGGCGGTCTCGGTAAGCGCAGCAGCTGCAGCCGAAGCAGCACAAAGGCAAAATGAGGCAGACACACAAGCTAGGAATGCTGCAGCAGCAGAAGCAGCAAAAGGGGGAAAGAGGGAGAGGGCCATGGCAAAAGGCTGTTATCTGCTAGTTGCAAGAACTGCTGTATGAATCTATGTGTATATATATAATATATTCGTAATATTACTATACATAGTATGTATATAATAAATATGTATGTTTTGCCTCTGCTGCTGCGGGACTGCTCCCGTCGGCGGTTTGCTGGTGTTGCTGCTGCTCCCTTGCTCGCGTGTTACGTTTGCTCTTTGATTGCTGCTGTTGTTTCTACTTTCAAATGCTGCTGCTGCTTCTCTTTGGATAGCGCTCCTGCTCCAGCTTCCACTTTTTGCATGCCTTTTAAGTGCTGCTGCTGTCTCTGCTGCTGCTTCTGCTGCTGTTGCTAACTCTGCTGCTGCTGCTGCTGCCAAAATTCAGATTTGTACTGGTGCGCGAGAACATTCCATCTTTTATCCCGCCGCTTCTCCCTGAGCGGCTCTTGTTGGCTGGCAAGAGTGTCCTCTATAGCGAGTGAGGCATATCACCAAAGAGCTGCTGCTGCTGCTGCTACTGCAGCTGCTGTTGGTGTCGCGGCTTTTGGCTCCGCTGCTGCTTGTGCTGCTGTAGCGGCAGTTGCTGCTGCACCTGCTGCTAGTCTTGCAGCCACTGCTGCTACTGCAGCTGCTGCCGCTGCAGCTCCTAGTGAAGCGATGGCACCAGCAGCAAAACCGACAGAGGCAGCAAGAGCGGCATAATGGCACATTTGTCTTCGTTCTTTGCATCTCTTTCATTGGTTATTGATTTTGTTCCTTCCTGCCTGTCTTGCCGCCCTGCAGGCTGCTGGAGAAGCCACCAAAAGCTGCAGCAAACCTACAGCTGCAGCAGCAGCAACAGCAGCGGGAACTACCTGCCACTTTGCAGGAGCTTCTCTCTCTCGAGGAGCAGCAACAGCTGCTCCAGAGCCCACAACAGCAACAGGAGCATCAGCAACTGCTACCGCAGCGCCACGATGATCATGGGCTGCTGACTCCTCAAGGCCAGCAGCAGCAGCAGCTGCTGCTTCTGCAGCAGCAGGATATGCTGAGGCAGCCGCACGATCCTGAGTTGCCACTGCTGCAGAAAATTGATGAGCGAGTTGCAGCTGCTTCCACGAAGGGCAACCAAAGGCAAGCAGCAACAGCAGCAGCAGCGCTGGAGACACAAGCAGCAGCAGAGCTGTCAAAGGCAGCAGCAGGCGAAACAGATGCCGCAACGTAGCGGAAATAAAAGATGGTGGACAGGGCAGCAGCGGCAGAATCATAGCAGAGCCACTGCACTATCAGTTGCTGCTACAGCACCAATTGCTGCTCCAGCGACGATTGCTGCAGCAGGAGCAAGCGCTGCTGCAATTGCAGCAGCAGGAGCAGCAGCAGATACTCTACTCTTGTGCTGTGTTTCTGTTGGTGCAGGCTGGTGGAGCTGCTGCTGTGGGAGCATGACCTGCTTAGCTACCTCGAAGCCATCAGACGGTGCAGCGTCTGTTTGCTGCAGCAGCCCCTCGGTTGCTGCTGCTCTGCCTGTATTTGCTGATGCTACTGGTCCTGCAGCTCTTGCTTATGCTCGCATTATAGAGCTGGAAGCAAGATGCAGCTGCCGCTGTGTGCTGCACTTACTTCTTTTTCTTCTCCGTACTCCCCTCTGAATTTGCCTTCCTGGGCCGAGCCCGAGGCGTTTGCAGTGCCCAGCGCTGGCTCTGGCTGCAGAGCAGCAGCAGCAGCAGCAGCAGATCCGCTTGTAGATTTTCCTTGTGTCTCCTCTCCGCTGCCCCTCCTCTGCACATCTGCTGCCCCTCCGCCCCCTTTGCCATTCGAGCTGCCTTTGAGCGCCTTTTTGGGGCCCTGCTGCTGTTTCTGTTGTCTATTTGGTCTTCCATTTCTTGTTTGGCTTTTTTGCTGCCTGCGGGTGTCTCCTTTTCCTGCGCTTTTGCTGTTCCCGTGTCTCTACGACCTCCCCTGTTTCTGCTGCAGCTGCTGCGGCTGCCTGCCGCCAGGCCGGAGCCATTTGCTGCTTCGTGTCGCCGCTGCTGCCTCAGCCGCTGCTTTAGGCTGCCTTCAGGCTGCTGCTGCTGCTGCTGCTGTGGTACCCCCTTTGCGTGTCAGCTTTTTTAACTGTTAACTGTTTTTCTTGGTCTCTGTCTTTGGATGCCTGCTTAGGTTTTTGCTGCTGGCGGACGGTGACTTCACTTCGTTGCTGCTCGACGCCGCCGCACAGCAGCAGCAGCAGCAGCAGCACGGCGGCACCATATCCCTGCAGCCCCTCATCCTCTCGGCCATAGACACAGCAGCAAGGCAGTGTCAGTTTGACAAACTGCAAAGGCAGCTGCAGCAACAGCAGCAGCAAAAACAGCAGCAGCAGCGGACACAACACCAGGAGCGGCAACGCAGCCTCCGTGTGATTCTTGTGTTCCCGCAGGCAGCAGCGGAGTCAGCCTGTTTGCTGCTGCACCGGCTCTTGCCTTCGCTCTGACAGCTCGTTTCCCTCACACGTCGTACCTGCAGCAGCAGTGCAGCAGCAGCAGCAGCAGCACCTGCAGCGCGCTATGGAGAGGCTTGGTGCTGCATCTGCGCATTGAGGAGCCGCTCCGCTTCTTTATAGGAGATGAACTCCTGCAGCAGTGTCACAAGCTCTTTGCTTTACTCTGGAAGTGAGTTGCTGCTGCTGCTGCTCTTCGAATCTATCAGACGTTCCTGGTGCTGGAGCTGCCGAGCTACACTTACCACTGCTGCTGCTGCTGCTGCTTCTGCTGCATTAGTCGTGTGTGCCTTTGTGTGTGGTATGTAGGAGCCACCTTACTCACCGCCAGCTGCACTCTGCGTGGTTACGTGGCTGCTCGCTACAGAAGCAGCTGCGGCAGCAGCAGCGCGCAGCAGCAGCAGCAGCAGCAGCCGCAGAGCGCGGAGTCGCTTCCGCCTCATCAGCAGCAGCAGGGCAAAGTCTCGTCTCCCGCGCCACTGCAGCAGCACGGGAAGAGCTGCTGATTCTGCAGATATCCCGCGTGGGTAGCAGCAGCCTCAATTATGCTTTTAGCAGCCCAACTGCTAAAGCGCACACATGCAGCATCAGTGCAGCCACCGCTGCTGCTGACCCCTGCTGCTGCTTGCTGCTGCAGTTGGATCTTGCTGCTGCTGACTGCTGTTGCTGGCTGCTGCTGCTGGCTGGTGGCTGCCACTGCTCCTGTTGCTTATCTCTCGGGCTCTGTCCGTTTGCTCTCCTGCAGTTCATCTGGCTTGGGCTGCAGATTCTTAGGTCTGTTCATTTGTGGCCTTATGCCTATCTTTGCTTTTGTCTTAGCCTCATTTTGTCTTGATCATACTTTTAAGCTGTCTCTTTCTAAGTCTCATTTTGTCTCTGCCTCGGCCTCACTTTCTTTAGGACTCAGCCTCAATTTGCCTTCGTCTCAGCTTCAGTCTGTTTCTGTCTCGGCCTGAATTCTCTTCTGCTGCTGCCTCATTTTATTCGCTTCATTTATCCTTATTCCTGCTGCATCTCTGCATGTTTGCCTTTTCTTGCGTGCAATTTTGACCAGCAGCTGAATTGCCTTTCACGGTTATTAGAACGAATTAAAAGTGATTTAAATGACGACTCCACGGAATATATGCCTGCAACCAAACTTTGTTGCTGCTGCTGCTGCCCATCTGCAGCAGCAGCAGCAGCAGCAACTCTCAGAAAGTCGGTTTTCTTTGTCTTTCCTCATCAGTTTGATTTTGCTGCATCTGTTTGAATTTGGTTTCCTCTCTTGTTTGTCTTCGCCACTTCAGACAACTCATTTGCTGAACGAAATGCTCCATTTCTCTCGCCATTGGCTTCACTTCGCCCACCAGGAAGTCATCAGGCCCAACTGGGTTCTTTTCTACCAAACTATCCACAGGTAACCAGGTGCTTTTCACCAGCAGCAGTAGCAGCAGCAACAAGGAAACAGGCTGAAGCAGCGATAGAACGTATTGTTGCTGCAGCAGCAGCAGTAGCAGCAGCAACAACTGCAGCAGCAGAGGCGGTGAGTTGCCTACTGAGAAGCGGGAAAGCTGGCTGTCTTCAGCTGCAGCTCCGGCATTGTGGCTGCAGCGCCTTTTGGTGCAACAGCAAAGTCGCAGCAGCAGCAGCAGCTCCAACAGCAAACAGCAGCTTATCGAGATCCGGTGTAGAGCGTCGCTAGTCTAGAGGTGGATTCCTTGCTGCAGCTGTTGTTGGTGCTGCTGCTGCTGTTGCTAATTTTCAGATGCCGCGACGTGGATGAGTTTCTTGCACTACTATGGCAGTGTATTCAGCAGCAGCACGTAAGTTCTCCCGGTCACTGTCACCGATTGCTGCAGCTGCTGCTGCTGCAGTTCAGACCCTGCTGCTGCAGCTGGTGCTTCCATTGACGAATCTTCTGCTGCTCAGCTGCAGCAGCACAAGAACGGCAGCTTCTCCTTTTGCATGTCTTGTCAGGATGGACTGTTTCTCTACGATGCAAAGGAAGCTGCAGCGGCAGCAGCAGCTGCTGCGTCTGGCAGCAGCAGCACCAGCATCAATGTGCAGTTGCATGGATTAATTCAGGAGATGCACGAAACATGCACATCGATGGCGTCCAGGGCGGTGAATTTTACTGCTTTGTTGCTGCAGCTGTTGCTGCTCATCTTGTTGCTGCCGCTTTTACCCTTGCTGCTACATGTGCTGCTGCCGAGGCCCGAAAGCGACTGCTGCTGTTTGTTCCATCAGGAGTTTCGCTTTGCTGCAGTAGCAGAGCAGCAGTTGCGAGGGCCTGATGATCAAGAAGCAGCAACAGAAGCCATTGGTGGCAGCAGCAGCAGCAGCATGATCGTGGTAGAAGAGCAAAGACAGGCGTTTCGGCGGCAGATTCTTCAGTTGCTCCAGTTGCTGGACTCAAAACAGAGTGAAGTCCGAGCAGCAGCAGCTGCTGCTGCACAGGCTGCCAGCAGCAGCAGCAGCAGAAGCCGAATGCAGCTCGACCACTGCCTTGCGATCAGGTACGTCACAACGGCCCTTGCTGTGGCTCCACCTATTGTTATTTGTTTGTATTGGTGCAGCGGGAGCAGCCGTAGCAACAGCATCAGTGACAGCAGCAGCAGATGCAGCAACAGCACTAGCAGCAGCAACCAGTAGCTGCAGCATAAGGAACTGTAGCAATTGCAGCAGCAGGGGACATCTTCAGCCGTATTTCATCCAAAATAAACTCTTGCTGTCTCCCTTCTTGCTAAGTCTCGAGACTTGCAGAATAATTCAAGCTGCAGAATAATTCGAAAGAATTCTCGCTTTTTCTATTTTGCTTCTGCTGAATTCCATGCTCTGTTTGATGCGCCCATTCGAGCAGCTCCTCTACGCAGTTTCGTTTCGGGTGTCAGCTGCTGCTGGCTGTCTTCTTGCTGCTTCCCATCTTTAGCTGTTGGGTCTTAATTTTATCTTGTCTTCTGCTGCTCTTTCTGCCCCGACGACGGCCTCAGGTCTCTGCGCCTGCGTTTGGACTTCAACGATTTCTATGAACACCAAAGGCAAATGAGTTCAGTGTCTGTGCAGCAGCAAACGCCGGACAGAGCTGGTGCTCGCTTTCCCTCGCTGCTGCTTCAGCAGCAGCTTGCGGCAGCCTGCAACAACAGCGGCAGCAGCACCAGCAACCCGTACATGCCAGATAAGAGAGCGGACGCCTTAGGGAGCATGTCTCAACGCAGCAGTGATGAAACTGTGCATGCAGCTTCTGGGGGCCCTGTATTCATGTCGAAGCTGCAGCAGCAGCTGCTGCTGCAGCAGCAGCAGCAGCAACAGCAACAGCAATTCGCCGAAGAGCTGACTCGGCCCCCCACTGCCTGTGAAGCTTCAGGGCCCCCATCGCCGCTGCCGCTGGGGCAGAGGGCAGGAGCAGCAAGTGCGCAGTAGCTGCTTCTTCAAAGGGAAGTGTGCAGACAATATTTGATCTTTTTTACTTCTGCTTTTGTCTCTTCGTCTGCTCTTTATTGGTCCATTTATGTGCAAATATATATTTATATATATATATATATATATGCATTAAATAGTATGTTCATTTACATCAGGTTTTGGTCTTAGTTGTTGTTTAGCGAGAAGACTGCATCTTCATCCTCTACACTTGCTGACTTTGCAGCTCTTAAGCACCAAGTCACTTAGAACGTAGATGCGGCTGGCCAGCCTCAGCTAGCTTGGCTAGCCAAGCTAGCCACAGCTAGACAACCTGGCTAGCCTGGGGCGCCTGCAAAATGGTATTAATGAATTTGATTTAAATGGAAAGCTAGAGATGAACTGTTTTTTATAGCCGCGCTGCAGCTTATTGGAACTTTCGTGTTTCGGCTGGACGCTCTCTGCAGCGAAAGGATCCCGGGCGCGGCCTTCTGCCTATTTAATGCTATCTGCGGATGCATGCGCAGCTACTTTCCATTAAAATTTGTTTCTTTATTTGTTTGAAAAAGCATTTTGCTATTGCTGCGGAAGCAAAGGCTGCAGAAGCAGCTTCAGCTTCTGAGAGTTGCCGTGGGGTGTCGAAAAAGAAAAATAAAGGAACAGCCCATAGCCCGTGAAGTCTGTCGGTGCCAGCAGCATCCCCGGGGGCCCCCGGGGGCCCCCAGTTTTAGAATATTGCTGCTCCAATGGGCAGTAGAATTCGTCTAGCTGGACCTTAGCACCTGCTTGTCGACTTCTTACATTCTCCTGAGTTAGGAGATTACGAAACCTAGCCTTTGAGCTCCTTTGGGCACATTTCGAGCTGCAGCTACCTGCGGCTAGCCGTAGCTAGCCGCAGCTAGCTGCAGCCGAATGGCTGGCGCCTGCTAGCAGCAGAACAGCAGCGCCAACCCTAGCAGACGCGTGAACTGTCCGAGGTGTTTGGAGCAGCCTGCGGTACGCCGCAGCAGAGTCTGCGGATATTTGCAGTTTCCAGCCCTCGTTTATTCTGCTCGTATTTGCCTGTCTCCCGTTTGCGGTTTGGCTGTGTTGACTGCCGCGGTGCTGCCGCGGGGTTGCTGTTTTGTTTGCGTTCAAGCTTGGTGTTATAGGGGCCCCCAATATCTCTGTTGCTCGTTAAAGCTGTATTGTGTGTTTGGGCTTCCTCTGTTTCGCTGGACGATTTATACACTTTAAACTTTACTTTCACTTTTGTAGCAACACTCGTGTTACACACTCTGGTGGCCTTCGCATTGAATTCAGTGCCGCTGCGTCGAAATGCGATGGCCCCCTCCTGCCTAGGTCTCCCGGGTGCTTGTCTCTGTGTATGCCACACAACACTTTACTGTGTAATTCAACATAATTTTGACGGTATTTATTTTAATTTAATTCAACTTTAGCTGTTTTTCTGGAGGCCTTCCCTTCTGTAAGGGTGGGGGCCCCCGACCAGCCCGTGGCCCAGACAGTCATTCCGAGGGGTGCGTAGCTCCTCACAGAAGCCTTAATAGATCTTGAGGCCTACTGATGCCGCCGTTTATTTGTTGCTAATGCAGCTTCAGCAGCGAGAGCAAGAAGCGGCTCATTGGCGAACATGCTGCCCCTCCGTGAGAGCAGCAGACAGGTAACAGCAGCAGCAGCAGGGCACAGCTGCCTTGACGGCTGCACAGATGCTGTTGCTGCGTCTTCTGGCGTATTGCTTTGACTTGAAGCCCCGAAATTCAGTGCAGTAGCGGAGATGGAGCCCCCATGGCTCCCCCCGCGAGGTTCCTCTTCTCGCACTGCAGCAGCAGCAGCAGCAGCAACTGCAACGGGAGCGGCAGGAGGAAGGAAAAGTTTCATTGCTGCCAGCTACCTTGGCAGCAGCGATGAGGAGGAGCAGCAGCTTGCTGCTGCTGTGCAGCAGCTGGAGAGGCCCTTACCTGTAGATTGCGGAGGCTCTACGCCCAGCAGCACTCCCCGCACGGAGCGCCGCAGCAGCGGAGGTTTCGCTGCTCCTATTACAACTTCTGCTGCTGCTGCTGCAAAGGGGGAGAGAGGCGAGGAGGCTGCTGCCCCTCGTGGGCTTCTCAACCCACTGCCGCTCACTGTCGAGCACGTGGAGCAGCAGCAGCAGCAGCAGCAGCAGCAGTGGAACCCATGGCAGCAGAACCTGCTGCCTCAGGAGCAGAACAAGCAGCAGCAGCAGCAGCAGCAGCATAAGCTGGACCTTATGTTGGTTCAGCCAGCCCAACTGGGGCGTGGGGAGGCTGCAACTACAGGGAGAGGCTTAGCGAATGGCGGAGAAGACGCAGCTGCGAAAGCAGCAGCAACTGCAGCAGCTGCAGAAGCTGCAGCAGCTGCTGCTGTTACAGGGGATGACTCAGCTGCACAGGGGCAGCAGACGGCGCTCTTTCATGTCGCTCTTGCAGCCAAAGATGCTGCACTGGCCACCGTAGGCAACGGCACAGCACTGTAGACAGCTGCTGCAGCAGGAGGCAGAACTTAGAGCAGCAGCAAACACGGAAATGCAGGGACAACAGCAGAGATGCTGCCAGAGACACAAACTATAAAATAAGAAACAGACACAGAGGCGGCTAGAGGGGCCAGTGGCTGCAGCGAGGCTGGAGGACAGAAACAGCATTAAAAAGAACAATTAGAAGTTTGGATGTACAGATACAAAGCTTTGAAGCTGCCTTTGCCGCTCTTTGCTTTCAGGAGAGGACACAGCGGCAGCAGGTGGAAGGAGAGCTAGCGGAGACCCGCAGGAATCTGCTGCTGCTTCAGCAGCAGCAAGAGCAGCAGCAGCAGCAGCAGCAGTTTTTGCTTCCCCACCTTGGGGTCGGCGTTGATGTGCAGCAGACGCAGACACACGTGCTGCAACAGCAGCTGCTGCAGAAGGAGCAGCAGATGCGGGGCCTTGCTGTGGCACTCGACAGTATCAGGGCCCAGAGCAGAGCAGCAGCAGCAGCACTTCAGCAGCAACTGCAGCAGGCATTTGCGCGAGCGGCAAAGGTGCGCTGCTTCTTGCTGCAGTGCTGTTGCTGCTGCTACCAAAATCAAGGACAGCAACGACAAAGATAAACACTGGAAAAGCGAGCCCTGCTTTGTTGCATTTGCTGCAGTGTCAGTACTGTGTGTTGCTGCTGTAGGCCGAAGCTGAAGCAGCAGGAAAAGTGGCACAGGTGAAGCAACTGCAAATCCAGGCCACAGCGCTGCAGCAGCAGCTCATGGAGCTGCAGCAGCAGCACGCGGCTACCACGGATTCGCGAGACACCCTGCAACGGTCTCTGCAACAACAGCAACAGAGCAACGTAGAGCTTTTGCAGCAGCTGGCGCAGCAGCAGCAAATTCTTCGCGAGGTGCAGCAGCAATTGGAGAAGCAGCAACAGCAAACTGACCTGCTGCAGCAGCAAAACGAGGAACTACAGGAAGAAGCTGCGGAGTATCGACGCAACGCTGCGGTCGCAGCTGCTGTGGGGCCCGCGGCAGTAGCTGCTGCTGCTGGGGGAGAAGGAGAGTCAGATGGCATTGCTGCTCTGCTGCAGCTGGAAAGGCAGCTGGCGGCGAACAAGTACGAGGAGCAGCTGCAGCAGCTGCAGCGGGAGACAGAGCAGCACCGCCGCGAGCTGCAGCAGACCCAAGCCGCTCTGCAGCAGGCGGAGAGCCAGGTCCGGACGTTTCAGGAACAAGAGCAGCAACAGCATGATGCGCAGCGGCAGCAGCAAGATTTTCTCGAGCAGCAGCTGGCTCAGCAACAGCAGCGGCAGTGGGAGCTGCTGGAGGAGAGAGATCGATTTGTTACGGCTATTCGCGTGCTGCAGCAGCGCTGCGATGAGCAGCAGCATCTGCTGGATGCGTCACAGCCGCAGCAGCAGAGGCATCAGCAAGAGCAGCGAAAGCAGGAGCAAGAGCAGCAAGAACAGGAAGAGACCACAGAAGACCCGTCCGCAGCAAATATAGAAACATTGCAGCAGCAGGTGGCTTCCCTTGTCTCTGTGAACGCTCAGCTGTCACAGTGGATTCGCCGTTTGCTGCACCTCGTGCAGCAGCGGCTGCGGCACAGCAGTGCAAATGGCAGCAGCAGCGCCAGCAGCAGCAGCAACTCTTTGTTGCAGTCCTTAGGAACAACGGAGGATGCGGAGTTGCGAGAGAATATTAGTGAGCTGCTGCTCTCACTGCAGCAACAGCCACTGAGTGCAGACCTCACAATGAGCTTGTCAACGTGTCTGGAGCAGCTGCAGCAGCACCAGCAGCAGCAGAAACGAACAGCGCAGCAGCAAAAGGCGCACGGGCCAGAGCGCAAGAGAGCCCGCTCAGCCTCGCCGGGTCGGGAGTTGAAGGAAATTCCTCCTCGCCGCAGCAAGAGCGCCGGCAGCCGCAACTGCACCAGCGGCAGCAGCAGAAGTGGCCACAGTTCAGGTGCTGCTGTTGGCCGCAGCAGCGCTGGGGAGCAGCAACGTCAGGCGCTGCTGCTCTGGCACGAGCAAGTGCAGCGAAGGCGACGCTTATCTGCTGCACTAAGTACTGTTGACTTAGAGACGCAGCAAGAAGTGCAGCAGCAGCAGCAACATCGGCAACGCGAAGTGGCCACGGTTGGCATCCAGACAGAGGATGACTCGCTTTTAGAAGGGATGGAAATGCCAGACGAGAGGCAGCGACTCCAGGAAAAGGTTGAGGAGATGCAGCACAAGCTGCAGGAACAACATTGCGAGCTACAGCAGCTGCAGCAAAAGTGGCAAGGAAAGCAGCAGGAGTGGCAGCAACAGCACCAAGAGCTCGCTGCCGCCAAGGTGAGAGACTGCATCCCTCATACAGCTGCAGCAGCAACTGATATTGGCGCTGCGCCATCAAGCGTTTGCAGCCCCTGTATTCACTGCGCGTAATTAAGTTTTGCTGTCGCGTTTGCTGCTGCAGGAGGCAGAAAATGACCGCGCAGAGGCACTACAGCGGGCTTTGAGTGCAACACAGCAGCAGCTGCGAGGGACTGAGGAAGCATACCAGCAGCTGCAGCAGCAGCGGGATACGGAGCAGAAACAGCAGAAGCGCAAGCGGGAGGAGGCGCTGCAGCAGCACCAAGATCTGCTGAGAGCAACTGAGGCGGCACTGCAGCAGCAAAAGGAGCACTATGAGAAGCTTCTAGATGCACAGAGAAGCCAAGCACTGGAAGCTGCAGCGGCAGCAAATGCAGGGGAGATGATATCTGTGGCTGTGCAGACGAAGCGGCAACAGCAGGAGGAGACTTTGCTGCTGCAGCAGGGAACTCAAACACAGCCAGAACATTTCGTGGCAGGTCTTGTTGGCTCGGAAGTCCAGACAGACCTGTCCTTACTTGAACCCTTGGTGCAGCAGCAACTTGCGTTGCAGCAGCAGAAGCAGCAGCAAGAAGGGGAAAAGCTGGAGGCAACAATCTTGAATGAGGAGGAAGTGCTGCCAGCAACAGCATCTGCTGCTGCCGTTGCTGTCACAGCATTAGCAGGAGAGGAGCTTGCGAGGGTGTCAACCTGCGATGCAGAAACACAGACGCATTTGCTGCAGCAGCGCAACGTGAAAATACAGTGTAACAGGGAGAAGCTTGCTGTATCAGAAACTGCTGCTGCTGCTGCATTTGAAGGCGTTGAAAAGCTTGATGCGCAGACCCAGGTAGAGCCATCAGACCTCATGGACCAGCAGCAGCCACAGCAGGAGCAACCTCAGCAACAGCAGCAACCGCGGGAAACACAGTCGCAGCAGAAGCAACAGAATGCACAGAAGGACGGACCAGAGCTGGCAGCAATAGCTGAAGAAACGACGAGTGAGGGCCCAGCCAAGCAATTCGGCGGCCCACATTTGAGGAGCCCTAGGAGCAGCACTAGCGACAGGAGCAGCAACAGCAGCAGGAGCAAGCGCAGAATGAGATCCCGGGGCCGCGTGTCTTGGGTGCAGGCAGGTGCTGCCACTGCTCGAAAAAGACGGTCCCCCTCAGCGACAGCAGCAGCCGCTGCTGCAGCAGCCGCTGCTGCTGCAGCAGCGGACACGTGCTCCTGCCGCTGCTGCAGGAGGCGGAGAAAGTTGGATCGATCCATGCTGCATGCAGTTGACACTGCTGCTGCTGCTGTTTCTGCCCACGGCAGGCATACGCACAGAAGGGGCCGCCGACGCAGCCATGACCACCGGCTGCTTCAGAGTAGCAGCAGCGACAGTAGCAGCGGCAGCAGCGACAGCACCAGCGGCGGCGCCAGCAGGCTGTACCGCAGTGGCCCTGTGGGCCAACTGAGTCAAAGACATAAGCAACTGCTAAGGGAGCAGCAAGGCGACACGGACTCTTCGTGGGGTATGAGTACAACGCCAAGCCGCCACCTGCGCAGGCTGCAGCAGCAGCAGCAGCAACAGGAGGAACGGCGGCGACGGTACACTCCAACTCAGCAGCAGCAACTCAGGCATGAACCTGCCGTACACCCAGTGGAGGAATTTGTAGATCTGTTGAAGGAGGTGGATGGCATAGCAGACCCTGCAGTGCCCCCGCCTCGACCTCACCGCCAGCAGCAGCAGCAGCATCACGACGCAGCAAACGCAATTGGTGTGGCATTCACGCCGCGTGCTGCCCAACAGCAGCTGCAGCAGAGACGCAGGAACAGAGCAGCAAAGTACGTCTACGATGAAGCGAAGCAAGCAGACGGCGCCCCGCAAGCGCTCGCCGACAAGCAGCAGCAGCTGCTGCTGCTGCAGCAGGAAGCAGCGCTCGCTTTTGTTGCTGTGCTGGCTGCAACTGCTGCAGCAGGTAGTTTTCGCCTCTTGTGCTCTTCTTGTGGCGGATTTTTCGCCTGTCTGCATGCTGCCCGCGCAGCTGCTGCAGAGACAGTAGCGGCTAAAGATCCACCAGCAGCACCCGCTGCTGCCGCTATTAAGAAGCTTGGAGATGCGGCATCTGCAGACCTTTGTGGCGGTTTGCTGTGGGACGAGTCCTTGCTTAGCAAGGAGCAGCGGCTGCTGCTGCCTCGCTGGCTGCAGCCTTGCTGCTGCCCATTGCATGCGCGTGTTACTTATGTGCGCTTTCCTGCAGCAGGGGACTTTGCAACACCGGCTGATGCAGCAGCAGCAGTGCAAGGCTTGCCAGAAGCCCAGCAGTGGCGCAGCGCGGACATGCAGGCGCAGCTGCTGCTGGCCCAGAGAAGGCAGCAGGAGACGGAGCAGAAATTGCAGGAGCAAGAGAAGAAACTTAGCGATGCAAAGTGCCAGCTGCAGCGGCTGCAGCAGCATCTGCAGCAACAGCAGCAGCTGGTGGCAACGGCGCAGCGGGCAAAGGCTCGGGCGCTCGCAATAGCGCGGGGCGGTCTTGCTGCAGCATCTGCATGCAAGGAGTTGCTGCAGCACCTACGCCATCTTTTCAAAGATTTTTTGGAGGGTTTGTCACCTAGTGATCAACAGCAGCAAATGCAGAAACTGCACCAGCTGTTGCTTCTCGCCAACAGCTCGCAGTACCAGCTGCCTCTTTTCCCTTCGGTTGCGCTTCCCGATCGTCGCCTTATTGCGTGGATACTACAGCAAGTGCGTTCGCGGAAGAGCATTGTCGCTGGTGCTACTGCTGCTACTGCTGTTTTTATCTTGTATGCTGTTGTAATGTTGTGCCTTCTGCAGGTATATCAGTGTCTCTACCTCTTCTCTGTGCACCAGAGGCGAGCCATGCACCTGCAGCTGCAGGACCAGCAGCAAATGCTGCAGGCTCAGCAGCAACAGCGACTTGAGGAGCAACAGCAGCACCTTCAGGCGCAGCAACAAAAGGCGCTGCAGGAGCAACTGCACCAGCAGCTGGAACGTTTGCAGCAGCAGAATCAGCAACAGTCTAAGACGCGCTACGTTGACGTTGCCCTGCTGCTGCTACAGGCCGACAAGCAGCAGTTGCAGCAGCGGGAGCAATCGCTCCAGCAGCAGCACCGAGACCTTCAGCAGGCAGTACAGGAGCGAGAGTTGCAGATACGTCGTCAAGAACAGGAGCTGCAGGAGCTGCGCATGGAAAAGCAGCAGCAAGAGCAGCAGCAGCAAAGGCTCTATGCTGAGTTACGGGACCAGCAAAGAGACGCAGAAGACACCATCTCCCGCCTCTCGACCCGCTTGCGAGAGCTCTTAGTAGGTCTTGCATGCTGCTGCTGTTATGACGTAGAAATGTATTCTAGTTGTAACGGCCATTGGGACGGCCTGTGCTTTTGTGTCGCTGCAGTCCGAGCGCGATTGTAGCAAGAAGCAGCAGCAGCAACAACAGCAGCAGCAGCTCGAGAGAGCAGAGCTTCAACTCCGCCAGGAAGAACGCCGGTTGCGTGACGAGCAGCAGCAGCTCCTTCAGCAGCAACAGCAGCAGCAAAAGCAACTTCAGCAAGACTTCCAAAGGATTGATGAAGAGAGACTCTCTCTGCAACAGCAGCAGCGAGAGTTTGATACCCTGAACGAAAAGCTGCAGGAAGAGCAGCAAACGTTGCAGCTGCAGCAGCACGAACTACAGCAGCAGCAGCGGGAGCTGCAGCTACAGAGGCGAGAGCTACAAGAAGAGCAGCGCTTGTTATCGCACCTGGAGTCAAAAGTCCAGCAGCAGCGCGAGGCCATGAAACTGCAGAGCCACGAGTTGGACCAAGAGCGAGGGAAGCTGCAGCACCTGCAGCAAGACCTGCAGGAGCAGGAGAGCCGTCTGCAGCAGCGGCAGGAGGAACTACAGCGGCAGCAGCAAGAACTGCAGGAGCATCAGCAAGCAGCGAACGAACTTCAGCACCGACTAAACAATGAAGAACGTCGCGTAGCTGCGCAGTCCCAGCAGCAGCAAAGAGAAGCAGATCGCCTTGTGCGGGAGCGACAGATTCAGCAGCAGCAGCAGCTGCTGCAGGAACAGCTAGCAAAGCAGCAAGAGGACCACTTCGCGCGACAGCAGCAGCGCCTGTCCGAGTATGAGAGAGAACTTGCTGAGAGGGAGGAGCTGCAGCACCAGGAGCTACAACAACAGCAGCAGCAACTGCAGCAGCAGCTCAGGGAACTGCAGATGCAGCAGCAAAATCTTGCAGCTGAAGAGGAGGCAACTTTGCACCTTAGAAGGGAGTTGGAGCAACAGCGACGGCAGGTGCAGCAGCAGCAAGACAGTCAAGACAGCGCTACTTCGCAAGCAGTGCTGGAGCTCCAGCGCGAAATTGATTCCCAGCAGCAACGCATACAGGTGCTGGTTCATTTTTTCCCTTTGCAGCTGCTGCTGTGCAGACGCTTGCCTTCAGTGCAATCTTCCTGCCTCGAATAACCTGCTAGTCTTGCTGTCTCGGCTTCTGCTTCTGCACTGGCTCCTGCGCCTACTGCTGCTGTTTGTGGCCTTCAGGAGCTCTTTGGGCAGGTAATGAAGCTACAGGAGGCTAAAGGAGACCTGGAGGGGAAACTGCTGGACGCTAAGCAGCAGCAGCAAGCAGAACAACGCCGAGGACTGGAGCAGCAACAGGAGCTGCAGCTTCTGCGACAGCAACTAGAGCAACAGCAGCAACAGACAGCCCAGGCGATCTCCCAAACAAAGCGTGACTGCGATGAGCTGCAGCAGGAACAGCAGCAACACCATGCCAATGAATTGTGCCTTCTGCAGCAGCAGCACGATGAAGAACTGCACCAGCAGCAAAAGCAACAGGAGAAAGAACGAGAAGCACTACGGAAACAGTTCGAGCAGCAGCTAGAACAGCAGCAGCAGCGCGAGGAACAGACACAGAAGCTGAAACTGCAGCTGGAAGAAGAGTTGCAGCAGCAGGTCTCCACAGCGCTGGAGCTGCAGCGTGAGCTTGCGATAGTGCAGCAACGGCTAGACGCAACAGAGAAGCAGAATGAGCAGCAGACGCAGCTGCAAAGGCAACAGGAGCGGCAATACGAGGCTACAGCTGAGCATCAGAAGCAGCTGCAACAGCAACTGAACGCTCTATATTCGCATGCGGAGAGAACTCTAGTCTGCTGCGCATTGCTGGACAGCCAGCTGAAACACCACCAGCAGGTGCAGCAGCAAAAGGGTAGTCCTTCTGTTGCCGTTGGTTCTCCTATCTCACAGACGCTGCAGCAGATTCGACAGCTGCAGGAGCAGCTCTTAGCGTTAAAATGCCTTGCAAGAAACATGAAAGATGAAGAGGCGCCGCATACAGCAAGCGGCAGTAACAGCGGCACCTGTGACGGCTGCGCTGATGAGAACTACAGCAACGTTGAGAGTCAATTCCTGTCGCGCCATCGCACGTTTACGGAGCCTGACCTTACTTACGGCTCGTGCCCTGTCGCAGATAGCCTCTCTGCGCAGCATTGGCAGCAGCAGCAGCAACAACACAGAGAACAGCTGGAGACTTTGAAGCAGCAGCTCACTGAGCTCCAAGCGGAGCTGGAGCAAAAGTCAAGAGAGTTTCTGCAACAGACGGAAGAACTTTCAGCAGTGAGGTTACAACTACAGCAGCAGCAGGAAGAACATCGACAACAGCTGCGGCAGCTGCGCCAGCAAGAGCAGATATTGCAGCAACAGCAACCGCAGTCTGAGGAGGTCGAACGCCAAAAGGCGTACAATGAGGAATTAGCTGCGTTGGTAGAAATGCAAAAGCTGTTGCAGTACTCCATAGCACAGCAAGCAGCGGAACTTCAGCAGCGAGAGGCGCAGATGTCAGTTCAGCAGCAGCAGCTTGAAGAACAGCGGGCAGAATTGAAACTGCTTCAGGAACCACTAGAAGAGCAGCGGCATTTGCTGTCGCAGCAGCAGGCTGCTCTAGAACGGAAGGCGCATGAGCAGGAAGAGCTGCAACAACATCTGGAGGAGCAGAAGCTGCTCCTGCTGGAGAGATCATCGAACACGCAGCAGCGAGAGCAGCAGCAGCAGCATTTTGTGCAGCAGCACGAGCAAGAACTTCGTCTTGATGGCGAGGGGAACACTGAGGCGGAACGGCAACAGCTACTAGTGCTGCAGCAGCAGCTTGAGGCGACTGGGGCAACTGCTGATCAAGTGGAGCAACAGCATGCCGACGATGCTCAGCAGCTGCAGGAAGAGCAGCATGCAGTCCTGCTGCAGAGCCTTGCAACGCAGCGCAACCTCCTGCAGACAGTGTACGCTCATCTTCGGAAGGAACAGCATATGCTTCAGCTCCAGCAGCAAGAGCAGCAGCAACAACAGCAAGAAGCAGATAGCCGCGTGGCGCAGCTCAGCGAATTCGTCCTGATGACGGTTCGAGGGTATGCTCGCTTCTTCAGTATCCACTGCCGTGGGGACTTGAGCAGCAGCGGCAGCAGCAGTAGCAGCAGGAACGAGTGCAGCACCAGTAGCTGCAGCAGCAATAACAACGACGTGAGCACTAGCACTAGCGGCTTCCTAAGCAGCAGCAGAGGCCTCTCTGCTTCTTGTCACTCACACACTCAAGCTGCTAACCAGGCCGAAGATGTAGAGTCCGAATTGAGCCATCCAATGTTTCCTGCAGCTCCTACAGTGCAGCAGTTGCTGGATGCATTGACGTTGCGAGATCATCCAGATGCTCCCCATCAGCTGCAGGAGCTACAGCAGCGGCAGCAAGAACAACAGCAGGAAAACGAAACAAGCCCATTGCGGCTGTCGGTCAGCGGCGTGCCTTTGTGCTCGCTGCAGCAGCGAGATATTTCCTTTTTAGAAGTCTTTGTTTCCGATTTACACCGACTCGTGCTGCGTTGCGCGGCTGCCGCTCGCCGCGCGCAGAAGGGGGCTTTGTCTTTAGCGGAGGGCGAAGCAGGAGGCGCAGAAGCATCAACAGTGAAAGTAGATGCATCACTTGATCTGGCAGAGGAGGAACAAGCAGCAGCCGCGGCTCTCACTGAGCAGCAGCTGTCACTGTCTGGCAAAGAACTGTCCTCTTCCACAGCAGGTGATACGGAAAGTGAGGCTTCTGCAGCATCAGCGGTGCGGATACCAGAACGCCGTGCTAGGGTGAAGCCTCTGCAGCCAGAAAGGCATGACAGCAAAAGGGGGACGTTTGCGTTCGAGAGAACAATTCCTGCTGCTTCTCTCCTTGCACAGGACGACGGCAGCCGCCAGTCAGCCACTGAGAGTCAGATTTCAACTTCCCGCAGCGGCGTCGAGAGTGGCAGCAGCGCTGAGAAATTGAGCAAAAGTGGAAGCATCAGCAGCACGAACCTACACCCTTCCGGGATGAAGCCACAGCAGCAGCTCGTGCAGTCTGATTCGTCTGCCGGATCATCTTCACTTTCTTCTCTCCATTTGAGCCCACAGATAGTCCAGCGCATGCCTTTGCCGGGATCTGCTGACGCTCCAGCTAGTGTAACGACAGCAACAACAGCAGCAACGGCAGCGACACCGGCCGAAGCAGCAGCGGTAGGAAAGCCAGCAGAAAGGGCCCCTACAAGGGCGGTTTCTATGATGCCACAGCAGACGCCGGTGAGCCGGATAAGAAGACACATCGAGCCTCAACAGCAGCTGCAGAAAGGCGAATTTCACTTGAATGCACCGGCTTCTGCTGAAGCGTCAGACTCTACGCAGCGGGAGACGCCTTGCTTTCCCGGAGTCTTTGGCGTGAGCATCAGGCACCGCAGCAGCAGCAACGACCAAGAAAACGAGCAACTGCAGCAGCTGCCAGAAAGAAGGCGCCTAGGAGCAGCACCAGGAGCAGTCCATGCACCAACTTCAGGAATAATATCCACAAGAGATGCCCCTGCGTCACCTAGGATGATGACCTCCACAGGGAGCGGCGGCCGAATTTTTCTGGGTGATAGAAACCCCTCATCTCCTACAGCAGGCGAAGAGGCAGAGGATGGTTCTGATTTCTCTCTCTCAGGCTTATCCACCGTCACTCTCTCCGGCTACTCGTCAGCAGGAGGCCAATCAAGACCAGGCGTCACGGAACACTAGGGTTGATGAGGGCATCAATGGCCTAGAGACAGCAATGGTTTCAACGACTGTCTTCATAAAGTGCATGCAGTTCATGTACGTGCATCTCTGTGTGTACCTGTATTTGACTCCCTATATAATTAAGGCATTAGGCTTTGTTATTGATTTTCCACTTTTGCAATGGAGAGAATGTGCGCACTTTTAATGAATAAGATTACTGTGCAGTCTGTTTTATTTATTGGGAAAATTTTTACTGTCAAGTTTTGCGTTGGCTGAAACTATACGGTAGCAATTTTGCATTTTGAATCGCTTTGGCTAACAGCTAGCCATGAGGAAACACAGTCAGAACCACGACTTAGCTGCTGCCGTAAAGTTTTGTGACGCCTAGGCAGTGAGGTCATCCACGAAAGACGAAGAGTTGCAGTTTCTATGCATTGCTCTAAGCCGTTTGTGAGTGGGTATATTTGCTAGCTTGTGCAGCAGCGAACGTAGACACAGCAGTATTTAGTGCAGAAGGGGTGTGTATCCCTGCACAATTATGTATTTTTTCGTAGGTATAAGCCAATGCATAGTGATTTGTCGCACATGTGAATATCTACACATTTATGCAGGGCCAAAGCGAGTCCTATCTGGTAGATACAGACAAACGGACAGTTTACATAGGCGCTGACACAAGCAGTTGTGCATAAGCGCATGCAAAGCATTGTATACGCATGCGTGCCTACAGGTGTGTGCTTGCGTGTTGAATGCAATGCTCTATGCAGCGGCCTGCGTAAACAAAACTTTTGAACACCTCGCAGTACCTGCAATACTACTTGGCATATTTCAAGCTTCAAGTGCGATGAACAGTTTTGCGCATGCCCGTCTGTCCGTCTGTATATATTTTTTCCCCTTCAGCTCGAGTAAAGTCAGATGTTAGACAAATGATTGTGAGATTTACCCATCACATTGCGGACTGCATCAGGAGCCGCTAGTGACAATTTATGCTTCACACGCACCACGTGGAGTGCTCTCTGCGCCTGAAAAATGATGATACGGTCAAATATTTAAGATAAATAAGATGTCGTTGAAGAATGGGGAAAGCTGTCTGCCTGCTCGCACTGCTCACCGTGCAAACACTCTAAAATTGCCCACGTATGTCCTCCAAATGCACATTCATATAAGTTCGCATGCCTCCCACCTGTGCTCCAAAGCTTTCTCACTGTCTAGCAGTAGCTCAATGCGCGCAGGAAGCGCAGGGACGCATCCAGCAAGGAGAACACGAGAACACGACAGCAAGTAGATTAGCGCGGGTCGCGGGCTCTCCAGCGACAAGGGAAGGGGCAGAGGATCGGAGAAGGATGGTGTAGATGACGTTTTTTTCCGAAGCAAAATCTGAAGACAAAGAATGGTGGAGATGAGCATGCCAGCAAAATATCAAAAATATAAAGGCCTGCAGTAGGGCCCACAAAGCTGTGCGGAAAGCCTACAAGGTAAACATTGCTATAAAATGCCCCTGAAGTCTCCGATTTCATGCAAAATAGAAGTCCCAAGGGTCCTGTTTTGCGCAGAAGCAACAGAAATGCTTTCTGCAGTTTGTATGGACTAGTGCTTGTCAATTTCAGCTGCAGCTGGCCTTCTTGTGACTGAGAGACTATTCCAGCGAACAAAGGCGAGCAGCAGGACATAGGGGATCCACTTTACAGCACCCTCTGTACTTCTTCAGGCAATGCAAAGCAGCTTCTTCAGAATCCATATCGAACATACTCAATACAGCTAAGGGAAGAGGTTCTGAACTGTTGTCTAACTAGCAACCACACGCAAGATGTTGGTGTAAAGGGCATCACGCTGAAGAATGGCAGCTGGTCTCAAATTTGGGAAAGGCTAGGGAGTTTACGCTTATAAGGCGTAAAGGGAGCACCCCGAAAAGTTCAAAAAGCAAAAGAATACGGGCGGACACTGTGAAATTTGAATAGGAAGGTTACGCATGCTGCAGCTGAAGGCACATATCATCATCATTCAGCGGGCTACCGTCGTCAGCAACAGACTGCATTGTATCTTTGCCAACCAGTGGATGCCTACGAATAGGAAGCCGCTGAGCTTTCGTAGCACCTGGAAACATTTGGGAAGAAGCAACAGATAGGAAACATATAAGGCAATCCCAGTCAGCAACAAAACCAGGCACAAATGCGCATAGCGACGTTTCGAGGGCACAGCAAAAGAGTCAGGCACTTTGCACCTTTGGAGCGTTTGTTGCCTTTCGATAGCATGCGACGATGCAAGTAATGCAAAAAATAGCAAGCACAAAGCTGAGGGGCAAGGCAGCACAGAGGGCGGCTGCAACTCCATGGTGCAGATACATTTCTTCGATTCTGCAAGCGGCAACCGTTGCGGTGGCTATACAGAATCGAGCTTCCGCTTTGGTCATACCCTGGAGGGCCTTCACGAACTTCATTGCTTGCTCGGTTTGTTTCTGGCTGTCGTGCTCGAATCTGCTGAAATTCAGCATTTTAAAATGGCATGCTTCTTCACAACTGAGCAACCACTGCCGGGGCAGAATTATATTTCGCGCGGCATATCCGCAAAACAAACCCCAGTACAGCAGCGAGCGCAGTCGCTTGAATACACTTTCTCCAAACACTCCATTGGCCACTGCCTTGGTGGCACAAGCGCGATCTTCATTGGAGAAATTGTAGGAAGGAGGAAGGTTCTTGCTCCGGCCCCACTGTGCAATAGCACTGCTTACACCGATTTTTGGAGTGCTTTGGCTCTGCTCTTCATCTAGGTTTGCAGGCGCCTTGCTGTTGCTTTTTGCCCGTATACGCCCGTCGCCTTTCCTCCTTGTCCCACTCACATCCTGTGAAATGCTGCTCAAACTGGCAATGATAGATGTGAATCTCTCGCGGTTCGCACTTATTGTGCCGCCTGGCTCGTTGCCACTCCTTGCTGCCCGCGCTTTTTCATTCGAGACGAAAGGCACAGAAGAAATATTGGCTTTTTCAGGCGGCGAAGTGCGAAAACGTAATGCTACAGAGCTTTGCTCATCAAACTCTGCATATTCAAAATAATAATCCAGCATGGAGCTGAAAGTGGACGACGTATGTACTTCATTGTTATCTGCCCCCGCCTCGACATTTGCCCTGAGTAGAAGGGATCCCTGTACGATGGTGGAAACCAGCAACAATATGTGGAGCACGTTACCTACAATGGCGATTCTGGCCTTCCACCGCTTTGGTTGCGTATTTGTTGCATACGTTAAATAGCTGAATAAGGAACCAAGCGCGCAATTAAGGAGGCAATGAATGACGCCGCTAGTAGACATAAAGAACAGACAACAGATGCCAACGCTGAGAGACAGAAAGCCCATAACTATAGGCATCCAACACAGATACGCACAGTTGGTGCCATGATAGTCTGGCCGAAAGCTGTGAGAATGTGCCAGGCGCAGTGACATTGTGGAGCTGAGTTGAGTCTTGGAATTTCCTCAAGACCATGAGGGCTTGAGGAACAGACGCAGCAAGAACACGCACTACTGTTCCCCAGGCCCATTCATCCAGGCAGCGTAAATGCCTCCAAACCTTTCATGAGAATTAAAATAACTAAAATATTGCGAAAAACAGTAGGGCGTGTGCTTAAATGGGCGGCGTTTGCGCATGTCTTGCTCCAGCTACACCTGTGTGCTGCCAATCGATGTGTGCACGGAACCTTCGAAAGGGGAAGTGGCCCACTCGACTGCTGAAAAGTAGGGTCTATCTGCTCATTTTTTAGGAAGACAACAACCAGTTGGATGATCTCCCGGCTGCAAGCCGTATTGCAATGGCTACGATCACGGGTGCGTCACCTCCCGCTGCCCCAGTATCGGATCCTGGGAACAACGCGGACTATCCCTATGTTTGTTGTTCGAAGCGCAATATGTTTCTCTATTTATTTCGTGCATTTTTAAGGAGCTTGTTTGGGATCTTCCGGAGAAGTTGGCGGCAAAGAAGAATCGCGCTCGAACAGCGCAGCAGGCGCGTAGTGGCTCGTTGGCGTACTGGTCCACAGACCGCTAAAACTCGTTAATTATAGTTGAGAAGTCATGATTGGTCGGATATGCAACCATTTAGGTTTTTTTTGAAGGAGTGCAACAGATCCGCTATCGTGAGGTTGTTGTCACATTAATCAGCGCAGTATACTTGCTGCGACGACGACCTCCCACGTAAGCACTGTCGGCAGAGGAACAAGCAATAAACACTGAAACCCTACAATGCCTGTCGCCTCCACCTCCCGGAAATGCCCAAATACCAACATAATTTATGCGCATGTTCTTTGCAAAACACTGAATGGGGCAGAAGCTCACGGAATTAAGGCAGCCTCACATCGAGCCTTCAAGGCGATTGACCGTAGTTTGGGACGCATCATCTGGTCATATTAGCGCCATCTATCCAATATGCTTGCCTCCAGGAGCCACTTAATGCGGACACAATAGGCCTGTAGCTGCTATATTTTTGTGCTATCAGCCTTACAAAGCTCTTCTCTTAGCTGTAGAGCCATGGAGAAAGGACATATACTGTCAGAAGCCTACCAAATGTCCGAAAGTACTGCGAAGTAGGCAAGCCCCACCGCGTGGGCTACAATCACGGAAGCGCCACTATCCCAGTAGCGGATCCTGGGAACGACGCAGGTTATCGTTATGTTCGTTGCTTGCACCGATTTATTTTACACATTTCTAAGACACTTGCTTGGGGCCTTGCACATTCTGGTTACAAGGAAGAAGCGCGCTCGATCAGCGCAGGAGAAGCGTAGTGGCTCATTGACGAACTGCTCCACAGTCCGCCAAAACTCGTAAATCATACGCAAGTGGCCATGATTGGGCGAAACTAAGAGCAATCATGGTCCATTTTGAAGCAAAACTGCAGATGTCAACTCGTTGCTGCCAAATGAATCAGCACAATGTGCTTGCTGCGACAATAATCCAGGGACCGAAAAACTGTTGTACCGAAGCCATCATGAGGAAGCAGATTCCAAAACCTTCCTTCGATTCGCATTCGTCTTACACGTGC